CGAACCACGCGCGTCCCCGCGAGCCGTTCGCGGCCGCTTAGCTCGTTTCTTCCTCTCCCCTCGCGACCACATCTGGTTCGTGTTGTCGAACAGCACCAGAGATACGCGCCTGAAGGCTCGCTGGTCTGCGCATACAGCACGCGCCTCACGCTGCTTCGGTGGTCTTAAGTTCGGCTGTAGGGGTGAGATGTCTGTAGATGTCTGCGTGGCCGTCACCGACAGGCAGACCAGCAGTGTGCTTCCGGCAGGACGGTGTGCGTGTTGTTTTATGTCTCCTTTCCGTTTTGAGAGAACTGTTATCATCGTTGTTCAGTCAATGTATGGATCACTCCGGGCGCCCACATGTGCACCTCTGGACGTGTATCCAAAGGCAGTGAGAGGAAGTCGCTCCGGCTCGCTCTCATGACCCGGCTGGACCTGGAGGAGTTCTCCAAAAGTTGATCCTCAAAAGTCTCTATCAAATAGTGGTTAAGAACATGCTAGGAGGGGGATTGGGACGTGGTTTCAGTTTGTACCTGGATAACAGGTGACTTCCCTGACGCAAGTTAAATATTTGTCAATGGTTAATGCTGTAACTGGAACTAGGAGAAACAATCATTCCATCTCTGCTAAACAACAACCCTTTTCCTCTGTTGATTACGAGGATAAGGAAAAACTGAACGACTAGGCTCTTTTGCATGGTGTAAGAGCCTCTAACCCTCGGATCAACACTCTGCATAGAGCGATATTTAAAAAGTCCAACGTGCAGGCATAGAGGGAATAGACGCACCACGTTCTGCTCTCCCTTTTTGTTTTCATATTTCATTAGCAGGTCCAGCAGCATGTAGCATCACCTTCAATTATCCTCCCTGTCAGCGGACTGACAGCGCCTGTCTGCTGGCTTTAGTGATTACAGGCTTCAGGGGACAGGTAATCAGGTCACGGTTACACTGTCCCTCCGTCACACTGCTGAGACCACAGGGAGCATACGGGAGGGAAGGACGCTCACATGTCCACTCAGTCCCCGTCTCGTCTGGAGCGGATATACTTTCATTTAGTTGCGGTGCCATGAAATGCATTATCCCAGTTGTGTTAGTGCGCATGCATCTGTGTCTTTTCCTAACTGAAGCTTTTGGTATATATGAATATGGAGTTCATTTTATAGCTGTCCACATCATTTAGTAACCCTGTTGTAAAACCCAGAATATATTGTGTTGTATAGTTTGGAAAATTGACTTTGCATGGAGCCAAGTCCCATATCATTGATGAAATTAGGAGCTTTTCAGAGGCGCAGTAAAATCTTTAAAATCATAACTACTCTATATGCAGAATGTTCCTCCGCATTTATTACGATTGTGCATAATGAATACATGCCGTCTGATTAAGACTTTTGAAATGTTTATATTTCTTTCAGCCTCACCTCTATTGGTTTTGTACTATAGCAGCCACATAGGCTGGATAAGAGTTTACAGTTAAAGGAGAATTAAACTGAACAAAATGAAGAATTGCTGACATCACAGAATAAAATAATGGAAGCGTAAAGCTCTACGAATTGACCTCTGAACCCATCGATGGATGCTGAAGGAAAAGTGAGATGTTGCTGCTGTTACTCACAGAATAAAGAGCTGTAACTCTTATTTAGTGGTCACACATACGTTTATTGAGTTTATTACAAGTGGCATTCACCTAAATAGTGAACTGCAAAGTTTACATGTTAGTATCTGAAATAATTTAGCATTTTAAATGCTAAATATTGTATTGATACTTGTATATGGATATTTCAGAAGTAAAAATATCTGAAGACCTCCATTACACATCCAGTGTAATTGCAGCAGTCAGCAAGAAAAGGCAGTAAAGAAGTTGCTGGATGTGCAACTAGTGATGTCAGCCATGCACGAACATACATACCAGGAATTAAATCATGTAAAACGCCTTACTGTCAGCACACTCTCACTTTCGTTTCGCCTTTACATGAATGGACATGTGGATGTTGTGTCAATAAGCGGCATGACCGCTCGCCACCCTGGCAGTGGGGTTCCCGATGTGCGGCTCTGTGGAATCCACGCGTCCCCCGCTTGCTATTTCCTTTCACTCCTAGTTTCCCTAATGATATAATATTTGGGGCCATGTGGTAAACAGAAATAGCAACACTTCTGAAGGGAAGACTTCTCTTTTTTGCCCCACACGCTGGAGAAATAGAAGCTCCACTGTGTGTGTGTGTGTGTGTGTGTGTGTGTGTGTGTGTGTGACCGAGGGGGCTATTTCGAGTCCTCCGTGACCAACTGACGGACTTTTGTTTTTTCTAGTCAATTACATGGCCTGCTTTAGCGGGGCACGAGCAAATGCGGGCTAATGCATTTCTTATCCGCTTTGATTCGCCGTGGCGAGGCCTGGCCGAGTCGATGACACGCAGCGTCACGCGCGGCCGAGAGGGCCAGAGGTTCCGATGACTCCTCCGTGAGCGGAGGCGTGTTGTCGGGTGCTTGGAACCTGTCTGGGCTGATGCTAACATCCAGGCTGATGTGATTAGAGAACAGCAGAGGCTCATTAGTTCTGCCCGCTGCACTTTATGTTTCGAGTTTTTCAATGAAATCACGCGTTGGAATATCCCCCTGCTGTTTGACGTGGTTATAGAGACATCAAAACATCTGTTTGGGGAAAAAACATTGTTGTTTTCATCACACCCTGAAATATGGCTTCATCCTTCCTTCAGACAAACCGTCTGAATGTGTATTGGTCATCACTTTCCTTCTTTTGTCACTTAAAAAGCCAACTTCTCACAAATAGAAATACAATTTCACAATGTTTTCTATTGTACTTGATAGTGGAAAGAAATCCTTTTGGTAACTAATGCTTTGGATGTCCTTATTTGTCCTTCCAGAATCTCAGAGCCAAAGGAGGAGCTGCTGTCTGTGACTTTGTCTCTTGTACCCGTCCTCAGAGTTTGAAGCTGAAGAAGAGTCCCTCCTACAGTCAGGACACATAGTAACACTTTCAGGTAATATATATTCAATACAATCATGCATTCCTCTAGGAAATTTATTCCAGCAGCTTACAAAAACCCAACCCAACTGTCTGTCACCCAATGCCAAAACTGATTTCTGGTAATACTTGGGCCGTATCTTTTTCTCTATAACTGATTTCATTTTCAATGTTATAAAATGCTTCTCCTGATTCAAATGACCTGCAGACAGTGTTGAGGGGTCAAGGGAAATATAAAAGTTATTTTATGTGTATCTTTGCAGGGAATTGAAATTTCCATCATGTTTTTCGTGTTGAGCAATACCTTTCTAGCGAAGGCATCTGCTGACGTTCTCTCCTCTGGCTGTGTTTTCTGGAAGAGCTCCTAATCTGTCGGAGTTGAGAACCGTGGGACGCCGGGTAATCAGGCCTGAGCTGCTCCTTCCAAACCAGCCAAACATCTGGCTGCCTGCCGTTTGACCGCCTTGGCCACACACACACACACACACACGCACGCACGTTTGATGCTAAAAGCGCTGCAGAGGAGCTCAGAAATTACACTCAATAAACACAGAAATCAAATAGAACAATTTCCAAATATTAGCTTTGCCATCTACTTTCCTGCAGTCTTATAAAACGGCCTTTGTTGCTCACAGTAAATAGGTTTCCCCTGCCCCCTGCCAAGTCAAACACAAATGTCCGGTCGATGGGAGCGTGGCTCGACTTTAATTAAACTCGGTGTTGATTTGCACGTACAGGCTCCAGACCAGAGAGGCGCTTGGGTCTGCTGAGAGTCCGGACTCTGTTCTTAATGGTGCCAACACTTCCTTGAAGCTGCTTGTGCACCGAGGCGCTCTCACTGCCAGCCGAGTTGAGGACGAGGTTACAGCAGACCCCGTTGTTCACTTTTAACTTTTAAATAGGGCACTCCCAAATATCCAGAACGTAACTCTGATTAAATACAGTCTCAGCTTTATTTTTCTTAGTTTTGACATCATGTGGATGTGGTAATGCATCTTTCATTCACTAGTTTTGTTACTTTAAGACTCCCTGTCTTTTAGAAAAAAAGCGTTACTGTTACTATTATGCTTTGATAGTGGTCGGCTAATTGACTTAATCTCTTCACTGCCGCTGGTTTATTGAACATGTGAGTATCGGGGTGATAACTGAAGGTCAGTAGGAATTCCTGTCACGTCTTTAACAACATGGTGAAGTCAGCTGGCCTCGCTGTGGCCTGGCTGTTCATGCGGATGTTAATTTCCCACAGAAGCACCCAGTGTGACCTCACGCATGGCTTTCAGCAATTAAACACTTTAATCCCAGGTGACCCGGCGGATCCCACATGTAATATCTCCTCTCATGCCAGCAATTCGGTGAAAGAGTAAATGCACACGACTCCCTAATTCCTCCTCAGTAAAGTCCGCTACACCATCTGCTAACAAATTCTACGCATTTGTGAAATCCCTTGCGAGCGACATTTCTTGATCCTGCGGATACGGCGCTGATGTGCGATTGATACAGGACCAATGTATGAGGAATGACTTGAATAAGAGCTTTAACTGACCTTTACTTGTCCTGTTCATAACCCATTTGGAAAAAAAAGTCCACGGTTTATCCAGTGTGTGCCCGTGTGTGCGTGCGTGTGCATATTTAGGGGCGGGGGATTGGATTTTGCTTAAAGGACCCTCAGGATAGAGGCCTCAGATCTACTTTCCGTCGCTTCACAACATTAAAAGGATGATATTACTTTGCTGAAAGCACAGAATTTCAATGAGAGCAGGAAAAAAACGAAAATGTTAAAGAATTCATTATAATATAATTTAGTAGATCAAAGGCTAGAGATACTTTTCAGTGTGCAACTCTTCTGCAGCAGAGGCGATTTACAGAATGTATGCATGTATTTGTCCGACTGTATCGTATGAATGGAGAGTGCTTTACTCTCTAGCTTGATATTTGAGTGTACCCTCTTTAGCATTGCATTGAAAACATATTTTGTTCTGAAGATGAATGTTCTCAAACTTTAAAAAATATATATAATTTAAAAAATATATATATTTATTTTAGTATTTCAGTTTGGTTCTGCTGAGCCCTGTTATGATGTTCTAAATATTATCCTGTTACATGCTTTATGCAGTCTTGAAATGACAGCGTCACACCATTCACCTCAGTAACACGGCTGATAGCTTTGCAGGCAGCATTTCAACGGCAGGGCACAAAACTGGACATGCACACAATATTAAAACACACAGTGTTGGAAGTTCGTCTGAAGACCAATTAGTGTTTTTACGAAAGGAACAGAGAGTAATTTTTTACAGGGCAGCTTGTCTTTCCATCTGCGTTGCAGGCATGACATCAGCGTCTCTTTGTTGAGACAGGAAAATCTTATCCCACTACCACTGTCATAAAAGCAACACAATAATGAAATGACATCACAGCGGGCCAGTAATTAAATGAGCCCACTGCTGTCTTGGACTTTTTACAAGGCTGGGAGATTGTGAACACAGCACGCAGGATAACTGCAGCCCAGAAGCTACGGGCTTGTTGAGTGTGAAATTCACACATTTATTTGAGTTTCTTTTTCTCCCCATCGTGCCTTGCATTAAATATATACACACACACTCACATCTCGTAGTGCCTCGCACTTAAATCAGCCTCTTAGTTTGCTCACTGACTTGGGGAGTCGGGTGGCCTGGCAGATGACACTTTAAGTCGCCTAATCTCCGTGGCCTTCAGCCTGCCATTAAATGCGCTGCTCGAGGAGGATGAGTTTAATTAATACATTTCGGGCAAAAAACTCATTAGCTCAGTGACCTGCAGGGCGCCATCGATACTCTGGCCGCACGGTTCCAGAGGCCAGCCCGCCTGACTGCGGGTGATGAATTAATCACAGTGCTCCCGCCGAGCCTGGCAGCAGGAGAACGGCAGCACTCGGATTCTTTGCTCCTGTCTCGCCACAGAAAAGGGGAAAACGGAACGTTTTTATGGGTGACTTTACTCAACCTCTGGTTTTGTCATTGCACATTGTTACAAGGAGACTCATTTGCAGCTTGCCGTCGCTGGTAGCGACGTGGGCTTTAACTTCCGCTTTTTATAGGATTGTGTACTGTGCCGGAGCATCATTTGCATTTGAAAAATGCTAATTTCTTCGCTGCTTCTTTTAAGTAGCTGTAACTCCCATTATGTTTTTACATAAATTGTCATTCGCTTTCCTTTCATCAAAGAAAAGTAATATTCACAACTGGGTGTGTGGGGAGGGTCGGCTCACCGAGTGCTACTCTAAACAGGGAAGTATTAAACACTTCAGACGGTAAACAAGCCTGATCTCACTCCACCTCCCTCGGGGAGCCACAGCATCGCCCGCCTGTTTACCATGGGTACGCTCCCCGAAGAACTTCCAGAAAACTCCACTCCAACTTCAAAGACTTTCCAGGTCTTGCGGGGGAGAAGAATCTTCTATCAGTCCGCCTGGTTATGCCTTGAGCAAGTGATAACTCTCTCTCTCTCTCTCTCTCTCCCTTCCGATGGAAATGATGCAAATAAGATGCGAGAGGAAGAAGAAGGACGAGATTGAGAAAAAAAGAGACGAGCAGAGCTGCAGGGAAGGTACGTGAATAAGGAATGTAATCAGTGTCACCGGTCCTTAACACTTCGGCTGTGATGAAACAGAAAACTCTCTCGTCCTCCCGGCCGATGGCCGTGAATCTCGCCATGGCCGTTTCCGCGGTGACAATAAGGCCAGCTTCAACGATCAACCCAGCGAGAAGGATGTTGATGACGCACATATTGGAAACAGTGGTTCTTTTAGTACCGGGGTTTATCTAGTGGAGCGTGCTGGGTAGCAGCAGCGTGACGCCTCATTGATTCCCTGTCGGAGGGACTGGAGCAGAGGTCATGGTGGGGTCAACGCAATTAGAGATGAACCCGTGGTCATTATGAGGAGGAGGGATGAAAGGGTAGCCAATTACTCCGTGCCACTTTGTACCGAAACAACCTGGCGCTGCTCAGGCTCAGCGTGATTTAACCTTCACCAGCTCTGACTGTGTTTATTCTTTACATGAGACAGAGTCAACGGAGGAGGAGGGGTTGTTAATTAATGCTCATGATGTTAGAAGTGTTTTCTTTTTAGATATTAGATTTAAATTACTTATTGATGAGCCCGTTTATTGGAGTGTATTGGTGTCATCTGGACAGAGGGGCCCTGCCTGGTTTTCAAGAGGGCCCACTGGATGCTGAAAGATTAAATGTGTGTGTGTGTGTGTGTGTTCCGGTATGCAAACACAAACTATTTACTGAATAGCAAATCCCTGAGCTTTAAAGTTAACACTTTAAAGTCTTGATATTCTTTGGTCGGTGTTTTTAATTCCTCAGAACTGCCATTATTCAAGAATTCATATGCTTGTCATGGACATTTCTCACAAATGATGACACGGATGTAGCCTGAACCATGACGGATGGAGGTGACATAAAACCTACAGGCATTACTTGCAGTTGTCAATATATCAGTTAATATGGAGCTTTTTTCACATCTTTATTTAAAAACGTAGTCTTTTTGAAATCGTATGTATTTGACGTCGAGGACAAACAAATGTGAAACCAATGAGTAGAAAGTGTACTCTAACGTACAGTTATGGGGAAAAAAACCCAAGTATTCACTTATTGTGAGATTAAAATCTTGGCAAACGCACCGCATTGGCTTCCTAGGTGAGAGTTGGATTAGATGATCAATACTCCAGTCGGAGTTGCGCTAGCAGTTTAACCCTGTCTTCGGCCTTAGCGCTAAATATGAGTGTATGGATCTCATCAACTAAGCAAATGTAGTGCTTTCAGTACCTTATGAGGATGTTGAGTAGTAGTAAATTACGTGACCAATATTCAAACCACTAGGACGACCGTTTTTACCCAACTGAGAAGTAAACATGTTTATTTTCTGCTCATTATGTAGTTGCACAATGTACAATAAAAATTGCTGGACTGAACCCAGCTCCATAAACAACAATGAGTGCCATATTGCTATTTTATAGGCATAACGGATATGAAATCCTGTGCAATCCAACCTTAGAAAAGTGTGTTTCACACCCTCACAAAGCGCTGTCACGCTTCCAAAGATCCGCAGGAATTGGATTTCATGGGTGAGATGAAGAGAAGCGTATTTGGCTGTGAGGTTCGCTTTGGGGGCTTAGCACTTCTTGTTAAGACTACGTCCAGAGAGGCGGGGGGTATTTTTTGAAGTTAAAGAAAGGCGATGAAAAGGTCAGAGCCAAATACAGATTAGAAAGAGCTGGTTTCATTGATGTTTGATCATTTTTCAGGCCTTTCAGGAAATTAGGAAAATGATTTACCTGAATACCAAATATCTAGAATAATAATCGTGAAATAGCTTATATTTAAGAAGGTGGGAACCCACCAATAATATATAATTAAATCCAGTGTCATCACAGAGATTCATGCAGTCATGAGTTCAGTGTTGAATTGGGAAAGATAATATTTGTATTCCAAGTGCTACACTTTCTTAAAGGAAGATGCTTGAAAATAGCTGAGGTTGACATTTCAAAATAATAAAGCTACTCAAGAGGATTTAGTCCCGTATCATCGCCATCAACATCTCCTCAAAACGTTTCTTTTAGATGTAATTACAACACGTTGCTCAGCCTTGAATGTGTTGGTGTGGGAGCTGGTGGCTGCAGCCTGTTGGCTCATCCTGGGGCCTCTATTGATCTGTAGAGCAACTAGGTAGTTTCTGCCATAGTAACATATTACATCCGCGTTGATGTGGACAACTTGCCTAGGATGTGAGGTGTAAACGTGGCTCCATCGTTCCACAACACTCGCAAACCCGACTCGCAGATGTATCGTCAAAGAGAGAAATTTGGTTAATCTGTATTTTATTTTTTAATGCATGTTGTTTGTGTTCAAGGTTCCATTTCTCACCAACATTATGCATGATAAAGCAGTCACAGGACAGCATGTGGCCGCTGGATATCTTCACTGGTAGATTTCCACATCTAAAGGCTTAGTGTCATCTGTACGAAGAAAAAAAGTCTAAACTCATTAAGTGGTAGCGTAAGCAGTGGTAGCCCTTAAATTAGTTTCCGGCATTAGCTGCACTAGCAGCCTTGTGTCAGTCACACGGTTTCAGCTTTTCAGACTCGGCATAAATAAAACCCCTATTAGCATCGCACGAAGGTGCGAGAAAACCCTTCTGCTTTTCAAGGAAGTTCCTAGAACTCACTGTAGCGTTATTTTACATCACTACAAGGATTTGGCTTTCTCAAACTTAGCAATACAACAAATGAGTTCAACCGAACCAGCAGCCAAGAATATCCGCTGCTCTTTTTTTCTCATGGAAAAAGCAGCTAATGAGAGTGGTGCAAAGCGTTTATTTTTGATGTAAATGGTAAATGGCCTGTACTTGTACAGCGCTTTTCTAGTCTTCTGACCACTCAAAGCGCTTTAACACTACATGACATCATTCACCCATTCATACACTGATGACAGGAGAACCACACACAGTGACACCTGCCCATCAGTAACTAACATCCACACACTGTAGTCGCAGCTACAGGAGCAATGTTGGGTTAAGTGTCTTGCCCAAGGACACAACGACATGCGGGTTAGCCGAGCCTGGGATCGAACCCACAACCCTCTGATTGGAGGACGACCGTGCTCCCCCACTCACCCACAACCGCTCATCTCTTTTCAAAATACTTGTATCTTGCTCTCAAATCATCCAGATTTTAAAACCGATAAATCCTCGTGACGTTGAATCCCAAACGTGTAAGGAGTCTCTTTGCAGTGTGTGCCCTGATCTGACCCCGCAGGGTCCGCTGCGATCTGGCATGGCGGCGAACTCAAAGGGTTTGAGAGGATAACGTGCAGCTTCTTGCAAACCAATTTATATTATATTCAAGGACATAAATTGGAATATTTGGGTGGCTGTATTTTCAATCGAAATCTTTTAAACAATGGAGACCTCAGTCCTGTAAAATGACTAAACGCACTCCAAATCAACATGGGATTTACTCTCCCATTTCATTTATTGAACAAATCTAAAACTACATTCATCTGCTTTATGAGTGTTTTCTGCGACTGGCACTCATTTTGATTATTTCTTTTATCTAACATAGAGATCGTTTCAATCAGCAAATAATCACCACTAAATTTCCACCGGCGCATGACAAATGCGACCCTGTGTGCTGGCAGCGGGGGCTTTGGTGGCTCCTGCTCCGGCATCCACATGCTGCAGTAATCCAGCGAGGGTTAGGATAAAGCCCGGCTTCGCCTCACTCTCTGCCTCCTCCCAGATCAGATGAGATTATGAAAGCGCTGAGGAGCTGTGGGGTAAGGCAGGGCTCAGAAACGCCGAGGGCTGAGGAGAAGAGGGACACGGCGGGGCAGGTGGGCCGTCCTTCAGGAGGAGGCAGCACCAGACGAGAGACGAGTTCACTCCAGGCTGCCGCACTGAGCGCTGGTGCTGGCGCACGAGACTGAGTGTTGCTGTGGAGGTTTTCAGCCCGCTAGACAAGGTGTGTGTGTGTGTGTGTGTGTGTGTGATGAAGTAGATGCAGTAGATTTAACTCTGGTGGTTTTTCCTCTGACAGCGTGCTTTTCAGTCCGCCCTGGTGTGTTTAATGTAAATCAAATGTTCCCGAGATTAAATTCCAAAGCGAAAGACTCGTGAGGCCCAAAAGGCACTTTGGAAAGGACTCTGAAGGAATGAGAGGTAATGACGCTCCTTCGCTGGAAGCATTGCTTGTGGCTGGCTCGTGCCGTTTGTGGGTGGGAAACCTCGAAGAGATCAAGTCTTTGTTGCTGGAATTCCAGTCCTGCTGGTTGATCAGTGAAGCTCGGCGCCCGGCTGTCCGGTGATATGAGGCAGATCTAAAGGTCTGGCCACGCTGGCACAGAAAGCCGCGTTCATGCCGGTTGCACGTTTGACCAGCGTAAAAAAATGTCTCCGGCAAACAGTAACAAATCTCCGACCTGTTTCACTGAAAATTCCTGCTTTTATGACCATCTGATTTCTGCTAGAATTTAAATGTATTCGCTGAATATCGTTTATTGTGCCACTGTTTACTGACGCTGTCTCCATCTCACTCTTTTTCAGCGAGCCATGCCAAACTGATACCAGTAACCGTAGCAGAGTTGACAGTGGAACTATGTGTTAAGGATTCCCCGTTTCCTGGAGCCCACTGATATTCTTCTTCAGCTGTTAGAGGAAGTCATTTTGGCAATGGGGAGGAAGAAGATCCAGATCACCCGCATCGTAGATGAGAGGAACCGACAGGTCAGTGTTTTCTTCTTCCTGTCCCCCCGGCTCATCCCATCTTAGTTGTATACTCCTTCAAAGCCCAACATAACGGTGCCAATGACTATAGCAGCGCTGACGGAGCCAACGGTGTTGACCTGCAGGGCAACAGAAGGGCGTGCGCTCGGCTTGTGTGTTGATATCAGTGGGAACTCCTGTATGAGCCGTGCAGAGACAACCGGGAGCCTGCCAGCAGACTCCCAGCCGCTTAAGTGCTTTGTTAAAATCTCAAAGAGTAGATTCAATTACAGCACACAGAGAGAGGGGGACTTATTCTCCATAGTGGCTTTACATTTGTTCCGTTTGTTCCTATATTAATGCTCTTAAGAGAGCAATAAGCAAAGTGGTGGTCGACTTGATAAAAGTGGGTTGGAGAGGCAAAATATCATATGGAGTATTGAAAGGTTCATGAACACTTTGTAAAAGGGATCCCTCAAGGAGCCTTCTGTGGACGCCTAAAGATCCACCAAAGCCGTTTTCCTTTGGAGAGTGCAGCGGTCACAGCTGGTGGCGAGGACGGTAATTTGGGGTTAGCTGGGTCTGCACGGCACCCTGTCATTAGCAGGGTGGGTCAGCGTTTGGGACACACAGCGGCCTTCTCTGCTCAGCGTCGCCCCGCGCGGCCACACTGCTGCCCACTGGAATCCCTCTCTGTCTGTCTGCTCTATATATATATATATATATATATATATATATATATATATAGATCAGCCCAACAGCACAACAAATACCAGCCTGTCTAGGAGGCAAGGCTGGCGCTCTGGGAATAGGGATGTGGCTGAAAAATAAATATCTGGGACGATGTTTATATTTGATCTTTGGTTGTCTTGGCACGAGCCTTTTTAGATCGACACTGCTTTGGCTGTCGTGTGCATCGACGGAGCCTGCTGTATATTTAGCTCCTTGCACGCTATTTTGGGAAGTTGGCTGGTGTTCTTGTTTTATCTTTTAAGCGCATCAAGTTTGTTCAGCTGGTTTTCCTCTTTCCTATCCGCTATCACACTGCTAGACTACTATACACCATGCAGAATATATTATCACGACAGTAGAAAGATGTGTCAGCGATGTAACAGTCATACGTGTATTCTGAAAGAGGAACAAGGCGGCTCTGTTATCTCTTTTCACAGAAATATATTTGCAAGTCATGCTCAGGAAATAATGAACATCATTTAAAACATGTTCTATCAACGCAAAGTAATTGTATAAAATATACAAAAGAGACTCTCTTACAGTTACTCCCCTTGAAATTATAGTGAGAACTGTGACGTACATTTTACCACTATCCTCTAATCTAGTTACTTTAATGAGATGCAGCATTTATTCTGTGACTACTACTACTGTTCCAATTGCTTCTGGCATTCAAGCAAATGTTCAGCTCGGTTGAACATGAACTTTTTCTGGCAATCGGATGCAGTCCTTGCCCCATAACTAGAACTTGTGATGTTGAAGGAGCTCCAAGGACACTTTTTGAAAACAAATTAAACCGCACTGGACACAAAATGGGACATTATGTCACCTCCATTGGGGAATGTTTTCAGAAAATCTAGTTTTATGGCCAGTGTAAGAGACTAAATCACTTGAAAACAGCACATTTCTCTTTCAATGTGGCTTTCAGTGCTGTGAAGTATAAAAAGCCACAGTGCTATCATGCATATAATGGTAGCGTTCCTGAAGTGAAGAACGCTGTAATGAATGAATAAACCCTTTATTATCCCTCTGGGAATTTGCATCGCTCAAATAGCATTAAAGAATATCGCAAGGTCATCAACAATTACATGGCAGCACATAATACAGCAGCAGGTTCCAAACCTTTCTCCCAACAGTTTCCTTTCTGTGTTTGTCAGCGGTCTGACTTCCAGTGAAGCCCACAGTGAATGGCCTTGATACAATATATAACCCATAACATCACCTCACGTTATGGGTAATGATTGTAGAATAATTTCAGCATAGCATAAACCTTTTGAAAAAGTAGAACAAAAAGAGTATTTTCCTTAAACCAAACTTCCTGTTCTCTGCCTTCATGTGGGAGGAACATTTTCACAAAATAGTTTTCAGGGAAGGAATTGTAGCCCTTTGTTACGTGGGGGACGCAACACCCTTAATTGGTGTTTATATTTCATGTTCAATTTTCATATTAAGCTCCAGTTCACCCACCTGAGCTTTGAGCAAATGCCTGAGTAACCACCATGCAGCCAAAAGTAGAGAGGACCAACACAGTGATCGCTCACTGCATCACTGGGCGTCTTGACGGTGGCGTGAGAAGGTGTGAAGGCAGCTGCTGCTACATACGTGACGAAATGAGTCAGCATCGCAGAGGCCATGATGGAAGGAACACATACACAGATGACTGCACACAGGAAAAATACATCTGTGAACCTGAACACTTTCATTTATTTCACTTTCATTTAGTCTTTTGTTTGTTCTTTAGTGTGTTTCGGTGCCAGTGTGGTTTGTATCATTTTAGATGTCACAATGCGATACAATACTGCACACTAAATAGATTTATTGACTATATAATTTACTGACTGTATGTGGACCTTCAACAAATATAATTATGATCAATGCTGATCGTAATCATTGATAGAGGGGGAACGTTACTCAGTTGGTTTCCACCAACTAGATTAGTGGCATTCTTCCGCGTCCTCCCTCCTCCTTCAAGGTTCAGTCAGCAACTGGCTGTGTGTCACAGGGTCAGTTGCTTTCGTGTCGGTAACTTGTGTTTCCTCTGTATTTATTGGCTCATGGTCAGTGGTTCTGGGTAAAAACCGCAGCAGCCAAAGGCCTTTGATTTAATTTATTAAATGAAATGTATTTTCTTTTATTTATAAAATATATATGATATAAAAAGCCTGTCATGCAAATTTCAAAAGTCAATGAGTACCTGAAAGGACCCGCTAGCTTCTACCTCCATTTACAATTGTTATTGTGTCTTCAACCATTATGTCATCAATGTTAAAATAAGGGTGTCTTCTTGGGTCAAGGACAGTACAGAATTTGCTTTAGATCAAATAAAATGAAGAGAATAAGATGGGAAGAATATGCAGATGAGCATATCCCCATAGCCGGATTCTGGCTTCAGAAGACTTTTAAAAAGCAATCACTTTTTCTAGTTTTTTTCCCCTCATCTATGTTGCTCTCCTTGGATGTGAACTATTTCTTTTTTGGACTAAGTTGTATAAAACTGAAATGTATTTGAAGAAAACAAAACAAATCCTTGGTTTCCATCTTTCTAGGTGACTTTCATGAAGAGGAAGTTTGGTCTGATGAAGAAGGCGTACGAGTTGAGCGTTCTGTGCGACTGTGAAATCGCCCTCATCATCTTCAACAGCTCCAACAAGCTGTTCCAGTATGCCAGCACCGACATGGACAAAGTGCTGCTGAAATACACCGAGTACAACGAACCCCACGAGAGCAGGACCAACTCTGACATTGTGGAGGTGAGTGGCCCCTAACTGCAGGTCGAGTGGTCTTCTGCATCACTTGTGGTTGTTGGGAAAGCTTTGATCTGACACAATATGCTACCACGTCTGTGCTGGAGAGAAAATGTGAACTTTCTTTTTCCTCTTTTGGTCGGTGGTCTAATGAGACCTGCTATGCTTTTGCACTGGGTGCATACTGGCTGAGAGCTAATTTACATTGCAATCGACAAGCTATCTTTCCTTAACTCTTGAAAAATGCAAGAAAATACATGATGTTTAATAGTTCCTCTCATTTGAAGAGCGCACTGATGCCATGGGGATCGTTAGGAGGCCGTAGACCTTTTGCTTTTCAGGTTTATCCATTAACGATTGGTAGAAGGATGCTTATCTCAAAAGTGCAACCGCAGAGGACTCGTTAACGTTAAGCAGCACCTTCAGTGCTGTGTGACTATTTTTCAAATTTCAAACACATTTTGAAAGATATATAAAATGTTATCTTTTTTCTTTGAGTCAGCACATAAACGGGGAACTTGTTCAACTCAACGTGCATGCCAATACACGAGGGATTAAAACACCCGCATAATACTACAACAAATATAAATATTATTCTCTTTAGTTGTTTGACTAGATTTAGCAAGCTTGTAAAAGGGAAAAAATCGTACTAGAAGCTGCTTTGTGTTGTGTCAATTTAAATGACTCAATAGTCATGATTTCAATATTGACCAAATAAATCCTCATCATGGTTTATGCCAGAATCAAGCCCAGAATGGACATAACGTCATGAATTTGCAAGACTTGGGTTAAACACTAGGTTGGTCCTCCAACTTTGGGTTATGCAAATCATCTGTGAGGCGGTTTGTTGTTGCATTAACACGCGCCAGACATCGATGCTTTCAGCGATACCATCTAGCCGTTTGGTTGCATTGTGGTCCCTTCCCTTTTTTTCTCACAGACTTACTCTTTGCAGCCGCCATTAATAATGGCCGACCATCGTGACTCAGATTGTGGCGTTTACCTGAGCTTCCAATGCGTGTTTGCCTTGCTGAGAGCCTTCATACGCTGCTTTTACACACAGACACATAAAACACAAACTGTCAGATGTAAAAAAAAATCTAAACTTCCCAAACTGTTTATTTTAAAAAGGCCTCTTCCCCCTTCAGTGTTCAGGTTTATTTTTGAAGGATGCCGGCATGTTCTACCAACTTCTTTCTACATTCTCGTCCTCTCACGTTTAGATCTAACGTTGTTTCTCAGGGGAATACGACTGCTGTATTACTGAGAAAAGGAGTTCATGATGAACAGGAGCACGCATGCGAAACAGTCAGACAACGACCGTTAAATACTAAATTCATCCTCCTAAATGTACTGATTTGTAGAGGTTGGTAACATGGACCATTAAAATAAATCGCCCATAATGATTGTAAATGGCATAGTGGTGTGTGTCCTCCTGCTTTAATAGACCACAAGCAGACACCTGTGTCGGCTCTGTAGGTCAATAACCCGGCTGGATTTGCCTGCTTTAAGCCTCATTTGTTTTTTTTGTTTTTTTTCTCTACACATACAACATACGGACAGGCTGGTTAAAACAAAGTCTGGAAAGTGAGAGCTCGCTCTTTTGCATATCGGTCGGCCCATTTGCGACATTCAAGACTGAAATTTGACTATGTGTCAAGTAATAAGCCGCCCTCATGTCCTGGAGGAGCGGCAGAAAGCTTCTTTGGAATCATTGTCGTTGTTGGATCGGACGCGATGTTTGCTGATGACTATCTCTCTGCTGCAGCCACGCAAACAGCCCACTAGTACTGCAGTCGCACACACAGGCAGTTTCCAGCGCGTTCTGTCACCTCGTGGGTTGGACCTTTCCCACGGCACCGGCTGACTGACGTCTGAGAGTCTACGACAGCGAGCCGCCTCTTAACGCAGCTGTCCGGCTTCGTCACTGACCAGAGAAACGCGTCACTTCACATAAAGTCACCTTCTTAATTCCAACTGTTTGTGCAGAAAACCCACGACACCTTTGATTTTGTTCTGATGATTTAACTCGACGATTGTGTATTATTTTTTCTTTCTGGGGCTCACGAGTATTCGTATTTAACGATTTAATCAACAAAACAGAGGAGGCGATACCGAGGAATAGTGCCACCCTCAAACGAAAGCAGATGCCAGGACAACTTATTTTTAAAATGGTTTTGAACGCTGATGGTCTGCCAGCTGAAAGAACTGGTCAGCCAACCCCACTGAGGGATTACTTTTGTCATAATAATAAGACGGGTCTGCGTGGCAGCAGAGTTTCAGGAACAACAGAGCAGCCGGCCAAGGTATGCAGTGCAGTCATCTCGGCCCGCGGAGCCCCGAGATAAATGAGAACCATAACAGAAAGAGAAAACTATGAACACTGAAGCCTGACTCTGGCACACAGCGGCTCTTGTACAAGCCAAATATGATAGGATCCTTCATTTAAATAATAAAAAAAAAATCTGCAAAGACTACTTGGACGTGGAGTTTGCAAGCGGGGAAGACTATCTGCCGAAGATGTGTTGAATGGCATCTCAAACACAACCTGGCCTTTTCTATTTTTAGGCCACAGGACAATCGCCTGACTGGAAAAGACTCTCTCCAGGGAAATGGTGTGTGTGTGTGTGTGTGTGTGTGTGTATGTGTGTGTGTGTGTGTGTGTGTGTGTGTGTGTGTGTGTGTGTGTGGTAGGGGGGCGGGGGGGTATTTTATCTTTGATGCGGCCCCAACAGCAACAAGACATCACCCTCACATGTTAAGATTCTCAACATCTCAGCTGGTGCCTCGTGGTGGCCGATGGTCCACATGCCGGCGCAGAGCCCCTAAAGCCCCCTCTGACATCGGAGATGATAAGGAGCCGAGCGCCCCTCAGATCCTCTAGCAGACACTCAGAGATAGCCGCCGGTGCCCAGACATGACGCAGTGGTTCGGGCCGCGTATGGCCCGCTGGGACCGACGCCCCCCCCCCCCCGGGAGTGCTCTGCGGCCCCTCTCGCCGTCCCGCTGTCACTTCTCTAAAGAGACAACTGCTGTTCAAAGGCAAACGTTTAAGCTGCCTGAGAACTGTGTGAGACATTTATAGACACAGGAGTGGTCACATGACCACTAACAGCCGTCCTCTCCCCTCCCTTTTGGTTGAAAGGTCGAGCGGAGTTCACGCTTGGAGGATGTTCATGAAGCCCTGATGCTGAGCAAACCAAAGATGTCCCTGTCATAAACTGGCTAATTTCGCCACACATCAGGAATGTGAGTCATTAGGCGTTGAATACCTCAGCTGTGCTGACTTACTGTATTGTTTACAGTATTCTTGCAGGGTTTGTGATTGCAATCAGCCAGATGGCGATCGCTGCCGCATGTTTTCCTGTTGCAAAGTGATTGGTTACCGCTTATTTTCACACGACAGATACACATTTGACTATTGTGTGACGTGTATTTAGAATACAGGTAATCTGTCACGGAACTTACCTGTAATAAACTTTGATTTAAGCTCTGATTTCCTTTTTCAAAATACAGTGTGTAGAACTGTTTGTGATTTCTAATTTCCAGAATTCATGTTGTTTCCTTTGGTACTGTTGTTTTGCACAGCAGCAAATAATTCCAGCGCAGCGACCAGGAACTCGCTCCTCGCTGCAGCTTCAGGGAGCGTTTGAACAAGCTGAACAAACACCGTGTGCGTGTCCCCATTTAAACCGGCCACCTTCGTGTTTACGGGGGTGTGGACTGATATCCAGCCGTAGAATTGAGCGTGTGACTTCTCTACGTGATCACCTGTTGTTTAAATGTAGTTTTAAAATAGACTCGCAAGCGTGCGCTCTAAAGCTCCGATGCACCCCCGGTGTCTGGGAATGCGCCGGACATGTCGCGGTCGGCCCGCTGCCGCGTCCGTCTGTCCTTTCCACGCTGTGACGTCTAATGTAATGAGGAGCAGAAGCGAGATGCCGGATACCAGAGAAGTGATGTCAGTATGATTTGATGGCCTCTTGTACCGGATTCCAGGTGCTTTAAATTTACATCCATCAACTCGCCCGTGTTCTAAACCAGTTGTCGAAGCCTAATCTTTCTAAACCACCTGAACGGCTTGATTTAGTCTTCAATGGGAATAGCAGATCTTTCTTGTAATGAGATGCGTTTCACAATTTCAATCACCACCGTGTTATTTTGGCGGGGGGGGGGTCGGGGGTTATTTCACATTTTTTGCCCTTAACTTTGCCATCACAATGTCCAAGCCTTTTAACGTTGCAACGTACCAACAACGTAAGTAAGGAGCCAAATAGTGAAATGAACGTGTAGCCCGTGATGAAAATATAAGTGTGTCATTTGTTAGTGTGCGTTCTATCTGGCTTCCCTGCATTTCCACAGCAACCAGCTCGGCTCTGCCCTAAAAACGATTTAAATTGGAATGTTGTTAAGAATGAATATGCTGCTTGGATGAAGTGATGAAGTGATGAGGCAGACGACGAGGCGAGGCGCTGATTCTAGTCATCACCAGGACTGCGGCGGTGTGGCGGCGTGGACAGTAATTCGATCCTGTACAGATTTGTTTGTGCTGATGAACCGGATCTGAGGGCTTTTCCTCTCTGGTGATCAGGGGCACATTAACACCCAACGTTTTTGCCTTTTATTCCCTGTCTATCCGCCCTACACAAACATAAACACCCAAACAAGCCCAAAGTTGATTCAGTTTTGCTGTAAAGAAGATCTGCTCACTGCAGTCATTCTATCTGAAAAGGCTGCCGTTAACATTGATGATGTTGTGTCCACAGGAAGAACATGTGCTCCTTATGGGTGTGATAGTCAAGCATATAGATGCTATTTGGATAAAGCACCGATGCAGCTGCTCAGCTACTGTACATGCAAAATGTTTCCTCAATGTCGGAACCAATTGGACATCGGATTTAGACATTTTTGGATTAGTAAAAAAACGTATTTTTTTGTAAAAACAAATAATAATAATAATAATAGTTTGCAATATTCAACCACCATATTGTTTGTATAAATGCCCCCTCTTGCATCGACCACAAACCCAGGACAGGAATTATATTTTAAGAGAGACTTTATGTGGAAAAACACTGGTCCTTTGTGTTTAAAAGCTGTGGGTCTAAGGTACATTCTAATTCCTTTCCATCATGAGGAATTTATAAAGATTTCATGGACATGTGAATCACATTAACAATCTGGTTTATGGTGATTTCTGAAGTGCTCTTTGCTCTCAGTAGTAAGCTCACCACTCTCTGGGGAAAATGTGGTTTTATAATGAATGTCAACTACAGGCCACTGTGAGCTGTGCCAAACCGCTATCGATGTTTGTGACATCGCAACTACTTCACCGTCGCGTTTAATCACTACGTGTACATTTCACCCGCAGGCCCTGAACAAGAAGGAGCACAGAGGCTGCGATAGCCCCGATGCCGACGCCTCCTACGTCCTCACGCCGCACACCGAGGAGAAATACAAGAAGATCAATGAAGAGTTCGACAACATGATGAAGAGCCATAAAATAGTGAGTCACGCCGTAGTTTATTGCGTACACCCAGTATGCCACTAAGCACCTCTGCAGACGCAGAGCCTTTTGATTATTAATGCTGGACGTCTGTTAAGGGACTTTAACCCGTCGCCATCTTCCCCACTGGATCTGAATGCCTGTTGGTTACGATTGGGATTCTTCTCCCTGTTATTTTAGTTTCTATCATAAAACGTTACATTTATGTCGGTCAGTAGTTGATCACGTAGATACCTGTTCAAACTAACACAGACATAGGACACATAAATAGATTCTGGCTAATTTAAACTGTGCCTCTGTGTTGATCGAGCTCATGATGACATGTCTCTATCCGGCACTTCCATTCCAGACCCCGGGCCCTCCACAGCAGAACTTCATGCATGGCAGCATGTCGTACAGCCCCGGGGGAGGAGGAGGAGGAGGAAGAGGAAGAGGAGGAGGAGGAGGAGGAGGAGAGACCTCCCATGCTTTAGCTGCAGCCACAGCAGCTCTGGCCGACAGTGGAATCCTCTCCTCGCCTCACACACACCTCCAGAGAAACATGAACCCCCCACACAGACCTCCCAGCACTGGGAACACAGGTGCGTGTGTGAGTGTGTGTTGTGTGTGTGTGTGTGTGTGAGAGTGTGTGTGTGTGTGTCCATTTTTGGTCTGGAGGGGAGCGAGGATCATAGGAGGAGCAACAACTGTGACCCAAAACCACGGCGGGGAGTTGAGGCTGCAGTAGTAACGACTAGGGAAAGCTATTACAACATCTCTGTCCTGAAGGGTCTTTTATGTGAATATTGTTCCCTCCAGCTTATTTGGCTAATTTAGTTCATGTGCAACGATATAAAAGACAACAGATGATGATTATTGGGAGAAAGCAAAGACCAGCAAACTCATTCTGACAACCAGCAAAACCAGTTACTTGGGATACTCATCAGTGGTTCGAGAGCACAAAGATGTCAAATAACAGCCAGCGTGTGTTTCTGTGTGTGTTTATCCTCAGGTGGCCTGCAGAGCAGTTCTGATATGGCTCTGCAGAACGGGTCTGGACCAGTTGGTACGTATTTCACAGGAGTCCTGCAAACCCACCGTGACACAAGAACTTTACCCCCGAGCCGCTCCATCACCATCAGAAGATTTAGTTTGACTTATTGTGGACCAAGGAGGTTCTAATCGTTACACAGTTATTCAGAGAAAAGGTCAGAGGCAGATCCGAACAGTGACACACCTTCTACAGTGGTTAAGAAATCTGTCACAATGACTCTATGGGCACAGCAGCTGACTTGGTCAATCTGACCTTTAACCTTCTCACTGTTGTTTTGTCTCAGAACGCTGTCGTGTAGGATCTCCTCTCGTCACACGCTCTGTACTCAGCAGCTTCCCTGATGGGGGGTTTACCTGCTATGACCTCTCTCTCTCTCTCTCTCTCTCTCCATCTCTTTGTGGCTGCCAGTATACGGTTGTAGTACCCTGTTTTCTTTGACCATAAATAATCTTGCCTGACAATGATAGAAATGTTTCCTATTCAAAGTATTACATTATATTGTTTTACAGTGTACTCTTTTATTATATTAGTGCTGTAAACTTTAAAGACTGTCTATCTGTGATCATCTTGCAGAAGAGAATCATGACAAAACCTGTAAATCAAACCAAAGACATAAAAAGGAGCATTTAGTACTAATAGTACTAATTAAAAAAAACTAGATTGCCATTGGAGTGGTTAAACTGGCCTTTGAGGAAATATAATTAGAGTTGGAATGATCACAAAAAGCCACTGCGGTCTTCTTGTCTTATAAGAAAAGAAGAGATGGCTTATCTCACTTTCTTTTATCAGGACCTCTCCATGTTATCAAATAGAGAAGACCATCTGTATATGTATCCTCCGAAGAAGCAAAGAGTCACACTCACTCTTTGCCATCTGCAGCTCAGATGACCGGTGAATGCATCATAATAAATCAAACACTTGAGCAAGAAATCCAGAGGCCGTCCTGTGGCGACGCTTTCAGCTTGAATCCCAGCGGAGGCCTCTTTGTTATTTTGCAAGTCCCAAGGCTCCTGTGTCATTTGTTACTGGTTTACGTCAGATGTATTTATCTTTTCTGTTGGAAATTGAACCATCGCCACAAACCTCCTTGCAGACTACCCGGCCTGTCATCTTTGTGGTGTCCCTCCCAGTACAGCATGTCTCAAAGGAACGCTGCCATTATGTAATGTCAGAAGCCAGAAAATATAAATGATTCATCATTATCTCCTGTATAATATATAGCTGTACTTTCTTCATTCTCCACTCAGCCTGGTAGTGGACAGGGTGAGATAATGGATCTAACACTTGAGACTGTAGGCTCCTTCTGGGTTTTAACGTACATTCTGAAGCTCCAAATATTTCTAAATGTAGGTGCACGGAGGCTCCTGATACATATAGAGGAGCTCATATCTTCCCCTCAATCAGTCTGTCGACTTGTCGGTATTTCCTCACCATCATTAAACCTCCTTGTATTTCTATGTTTCTGTGTTCAGTGAACGGTTTCGTGGGCTCGCCTGGTGGAGGCAGCTTGGTGAAACTCATCTCGCCCAAATCTCCTTCTCCTCTTCCACATCTGGGGAACAACCTGGTCCCCGCCAGCCACAAGACAGACCTCCGAGTGGTCATCCCTCAGTCCAAAGGGCTGATGCAATCATTGGTAAGTGTGTGTGTGTGTGTGTGTGTGTGTGTGTGTGTGTGTGTGTGTGTGTGTGTGTGTGTGTGTGTGTGTGTGTGTGTTCAAGATCTTAACACTCCTAATGGGAGTGATGGTCAATATTTTTTCAAAACTCTGTAAACTTTGTAAACTAAAAAGTAAACTAATATTTAGGGTTGTTGTTGTTACAATCGCACGTAAAGCTGCATCATTTGATGGGTGGCCACTAGAGGGCAGCCAATCGCGGAAATAAGTCAACATATTTGGTAGAATAAACACAGTTTTATCAGGAACCAGTTTTTGGATGAACAAGAAAGGGCTTAATAGATGTTAGAGTTGCTCTGCAACTTTTTATTATTTGGACACCATCTGGACCAGAATATTGTTTTGTGTGCAGAGGAAGCCACTGTTTTCTCAAAAAAGACTAGTTCCACGCATCAGTATTGTCAAATAATTGCTTTTTGGATAAAAAACAATGCTACAACCAGGAAGTCTTCTCACGAGCTACATTTCCTTTCAATGTCAGCTGTTTTCCTCGTTGGGTGCATCATTATGTACGATCATATTGGATGTGTTTCATACCCAAAGACTTTATGAAAGAACTTCTGACCATGACGCCACCCACTGGTTTGTGGACTGTTCTACGTTTTGGCTGCCGGCATCTTTTTATCTTTTACAGCCACAGTTGACATGAGTGGTCGGAGCTAAGTACAATTAAAGCTAAATAAGACATTTGTCAGAATGTTACAATCATCCTTCACCAACTGAAAAAACACCGTTCGAAGGGTAAATGTTCTAAGACAAAAACACAGACAACTCCCAGACATGAACAACGTGGTGATAGTGACCTGTCAATCATAAGGTAGACCCGCCCTAAAGCTTACCCTGGCTTATCAACTATTAGTTGTAACCATCATTTGCTAAATTACCATTATATAGAGTTTTTACAGAGGTAGTAAATAGACTCCAATCAGAATTCTTTTTGACGCCCCCTGATGGCCACTAGACGTCAACTTCAAGGCCCTTAAGCGTTGGCTCCACTTCTCAGACCTGCAGGTTGCCGCCTGTTAATACTTAATGAATCCGCCTTATTTTGGGTGTATTCTTTATATCGGCTTTCAGTGTTCTTCTCCTTTTTTATGGGTGAATTGCTACACTTTACAGCGCTTTACCACCACTAACGGAGAAAATCTCTGGCACGTCTCGTTTTCATATTCTGGCGGTGCCTTGATCTCCGTACCCTGTTTGCAGAAAGATCCACAAGAATCAGTTTGTTCGTTTTGTGTGTGTGTGTTTTTATTTCTTTACACACAACGGGGCACCGCTGACTGTTCGTGCAGACTGACAGCTCCCCTCGTTCTTTTGCCAGATTGAATTGTTTCCATCCAAAAGAACATTTTTAGGGTAAAGTGATACATGTTGGATTGTTGTCATTTACAGTAATCGACGATGATATTTCAAGCAGGCTGCCAGCTCATCCATTTTAAGAGAGGGCAGAGTTTCTGTAGAGGCTCAAGCCAGGTAAAGAAACAGGACCAGACAGACTCAAATGTAGAAATAATATGCTGGTACTCTCTTCTTTGTGTCACTAATAGACCCCTAAAACTGGCGTGGGAAGTGACTCCCTGCCCCGCAGTGTAGAAGCAGCCTGTGCATTCAGCAGCTGAGCTGAGCTATTGAAGTTATTGATTTGCCCTTCACTCCCTTACTGTTGCCCTTCCCTCCCACACTGTGCTCAAGCATGATGTAACGATTAGCAAACAATGGAAAAGAAGAATTTCCTTTTTTTCTTCTTTTTACTATTGTAACCGTACGGTTTCTACATTTTGCAGTGATCCTTCAATAAAAGGACAGACGTTGTTATTTCTCCTCTTGTTGGTATATAAAAAAGGACTTTAACACAGTTTTTTGCATGGATATGACTTAATTTTAGGTGATGGTTATAAATGAATACACACCCTTCCATGCAAAGTATTAACACCGTCCCTACAGAATTAAGTCAAAATATGATTACATATTTGTTACGCATCATAGTATCGCAACCTCTCTCTGAGATGATGACTGACTCACTGGATGACAAATAATGAATAGCCATTCGGTTTTCAGCATCGGGTAGCAGTCTTGTGCAACTCTGTTAAATACCAGCTTTTTAAGTGTTGACACGTGGCGTGCAGTTGGAAAATGCAACGGTACCGTAAACAACAACATGCTAATATTTCCACAAGGTTCAAACCGACAGAAGAGGCGGTAGCTGCTCAGATGATCACACTTGATTGTTTCTGCTTTTCATTCAGTTCTGTCGAAGATGTCGAGTTGTGGTCAGATAGCAACTCATCTGTTTGATGGTTTTGAAACCGCCTTTGACTTCCTCCTCCGTGATGTGTGTGCATGTAAGTGTGAACTGTTTCTATGTTTGCACAAACAGGATAGAACAACTCTTTTCAACTATCTAACAGTATAAGGCTCAAACTTGGATTCTATGCTACTCTGTCTGTCACTCACAGTGGTCGCATACCACAGATGTGAAGCAAGCAGATGTAAAGTGCCAGGCAGTCCTATTGGGTTTACTTTTTTTTTTTTCAGGCGTGTTTGTTTTCAGTATGTTTCAGTTAGTTAACCCACTATCTGTGCGTGTAGGCGTGTGCGCAGCAACGAATGACCTCATACTGGGTGATGTCATTGCTGACATTATCGGGCTGGAACGGAACACAAAACTTCCAATGAGCGTTAGACATGTGTCAAGTTAAAGAGCAGCCATACCAGCATGAAGTATGCCAAACCAAAATGGGTTGGAGTTTAATTTGAGACTGACTGATTAAGGATGAATTGCCCGCTGGTATTTGGTGGGGGGGGTTTTCTAATAATTTCTAACACTCAATCAAGCAAATTGGCGCACAGGATGCAGCGGTCTGCCTGTTCACAAGAGCTTGAGACTGTGACCAGCAGGTCCCGGGACACCAGTTGGGGGGGCATTCTGGGAAATTAATCAAATAAATACTTCCAGAATAATTTGATGTTGCAGTTGAACACAGAGTGAAAGCACATTTTAGATCATGCCCACGGCACGGTGACATTTCGTTGTCACCGAAGCGATATTTCGTTTTTATTTGAAGGTGAAGTGCTTCTCCCTTGCTTTAGAAAGACTCCCTTGAAAAGTCACGTTCTGCTGACACCTTGTGGTTGAAGTGGGGCATCGCACAACTGGTTCTGCTGCATGCCATCGCTGTACAACACAGCGGGGATCTAAACACAGACTGGAAACACACAACAGAGACTCCAACGAATAGCCTTTCTGTGTGTGTGTTCTTTTGTATTTCCAGGGTAGCCAGAGGCAGAGTCCGTCCAGTCAGTCGCTGTCCACCCCGGTGGTCTCCGTCAACACACCCAGCCTGCCTCACCAGAGTCTGGTGTACTGCGGCATCAGCTCCGCCTACAACAACGGTACCCCATGATGATTATTGGAATGTGTGCTGCTTACACATTGTCCCCAAGACATTGCAGTGTTACTGTTTTACTTCATGTATTATTCAACACATTTAATGGAAAGGTTTGAAGAGCTATTCTCAACCCCTTTGTGCTCACATGTCGCCTCATAGATTACGCGTTGAGCAGTGCGGAGCCGCCGGGCTTCGGCTCCCCTGCAGGTCACTCTATGGGCTCCATGACAGCCTGGCAGCACCAGCTGGGCTCACTGGGGTAAGTACCAGACACGGTCAGCCTTTCTCCCCTCATTACGGATAACGTGTTTACGGATTCACAGGTCAACCCTGTCTATTGCCACAAAAGCAAAATTGCTTGAGACATAAAGGGCACAAAACGGATAAAGTACATGAGACAACGGAGATGTGAGGGTTCAGACTCAGTTACACGTATGACATTTTGTTATGCAGGACAAGTGATTGGCTACTTTACGCTGACAAGTTCAGTGGTGGAGTATGTATTCAGATCCATGACTTAAATTAAAGTAGCAATGTGACACTGTAAAGAAGCTCTATAACAAATTTTAAAAAGCAAATCTTTTTGAATGCATTAATGTGGCAGTAGTTAGTAGTTGTAGTAGTTATGCAGGTATAAGTTTGAGCACAGTCTAATATATTGATTCACTGACAATTAGGTTGTTGAATTTATTAAATACAATAATATCTTATTCACATGCTTCATACACGCACGGTGGTGCGGCGGTTAGCGTAGCCCCCTGCAGCAAGAAGGTCCTCAGTCCGTCTCTGTGTGGAGTCTGCATGTTCTCCCCGTGTCTCTGCGCGATTGACTTCAACCCGACCGCGACCCCGTATGAAAGACAAGCGGCTTTGGACGTGACTGATGTTTTATTTGGGAAATATTTTCTTAACCAAAGCGCCTCTTATCTAATAAACATTTATTTTGATAGTAGTGAAGCTTAAATTGTGAAATAGAAATACAGAAAATAAGTACAAGTACCTCAAATGTGTACTGTAGAAAATATTCCACCACTGGAGAAGTGTGCATACTAGCCAACCAGATAACGGGCCTGTTAGTTGGACCAGCAGGTGGCACCATCACCCCCCCAATTCACCGCCTACAAGCATCCTCTCCCTCTGTTCCTCCTTCTCTAAAGGTCTGGAAGCACCAACCACCACCTCCACATCAAAGCCGAGCCGATCTCACCGCCCCGCGACCACCTCAGCCAAGGGTCGGGGTACATGACCCACGCTCACGCCCCTCCCCATCCCCTCTCGTCCACCAGAGCGGAGATGGGAAGGTCTCCCGCAGACAGCGTCAGCTCCTCCTGCAGCTCCCACGAGGGCGGCAGCGACCGGGAGGAGCAGCAGCGGCTGGACTTCCTCACGCTCCCCATGAGTCGGTCGGAGGGCAGTGAGAGTCCGACGGTCAAACGAATGCGGATGGACAGCTGGGTGTCGTAGACGCATGCCGACACATGGCCGGGGAAAACACAGGACGGGCGCTGTTAATGCAAAATTGATGTGTGTGGATTGATGTGTTCTGTTATTTCTATTCAGTTCTCTTTTTTTTTTTTTGGCTTTTTTTTTCAGAAGGTTTGAGCAAAAATCTGCTTAAAAATTCTGAATCCGTCCAAATCATCTCATCCCATCTTTCAGAAAAATCTTACTGAACACATAACATGACGTCCTTTTCTAACATAAACCATCACAGACTTTTATTGTGGTTCCACTTGCAGTACAATCTGTCATTTTGTTGTGACCATCCAGTGGAATGCAGTGCTGCAAACAGAACAATGAAGAAAGGTGAGATTAGTGTTGTCAGTGATGGTAAAGTAGTGAAGGGCTTCTGGATGTCTCCCACCGGGTGTCACCCGATTCATTTCTGATCTTCTCAGGGTTTGAAACATTGAACAAGTCTAACGTGAAAGCAATACTCCCTCGCCATCACCACCTTCTCTTTATAGAACCATATATTTATATCAGCCAAAGCAGTATGCTGTGCTTGTTTGTTTGTGTTTTTATATTGTGCACAAAATAAGACAATAATTCAGATTCAGATCAACGGAACGCCACGGATGCTTGTTCTGTATGTGCTATCCAAATATGTTGTTATTGTTTTGTACATACTCTCTTTAATATATATCACTTTTGGTGTAACTATATATTGTTGGTCTGCCTGTTGCATCGGCCTGGTTCAAATATGACACCTCCAACAGATTTTACAAAGGTATATTTATGTTGATTCCAACAAGTTATTGGTCCTTTCTTTTCTTTTCAAGTGTTTCTTGATGTTTCACCTCTATTGTGAAATAAACGAAAGGGACTTGCACTCTAGAAAATATTTTGTAACGGTCAAAAACAAATGTAGGTCTTCAGATATTGTTTTACTATAAAAAAAAAGGTAGCAATAAAAAGTGGTAAAACTGCTAGATTTTTGTCTTACAGCCACTGCAGGTCTGAATTTGGGACAATTGATGAAGTTAAAAGGGGATACATGAGCTCATGGGATGAGGAGAAATCTGCTTTATTACGTAATTACAAGAGGAATCTCATGTCGCTTTCACGACAGTGAAACACGCGAGTGAAAAGTTGCACTTATGTAATGTACGTTTGTACGTGAACGCAATTCCTCTAATGTGTACTGTATGTAAAGGTGCAATGAATATATTAAACTAAACTAAAAAGCATTTGAACAGAAGTCCATATGAGTATTTACAGGGTTGTGATGCGATTATCCTTTTTTGCCTTCGATGCATGTTTTTTATAATAAATATAAAGACAAATGTAGGAGAGCAAAGGGTTAGGTTGGAGAAATAAAATGACCTAAGGGTTCTTTGAGATGGGAATTTACTGAGCAGTTGTGTGACCTAACAGTTTGTGAGGAAATGGAACGTGGGTAAGTATGATGCAGCGCATGTGGTGAGGAGTGCAAACGCTGCAACTAACCACAGCTTAAAGTGAAAGAGTCAAAGAGAGCAGAGCGTTCGCTCGGCTTTATAAACTATTACAGAGAGAAAGGTAATGTCATTTCATAAGCAATGGGGCCTTTGCTGGTACCAGCCTTTAAGTGTCACGTTGGCCGTTTAGACACAGTAAGCAAGAGTTTGCATTAGTATACTAGATTTGTTTGTCATGCTTGTTAGGCTACAACGTCCTGCTGCCGAAATACAGGAACTATGTAGATCAATGAGGATGTTTGATACTCTGATATAATCTGTGTAAATCACACCCCCATCTAGCCACGTGTGTCCATGCATGTCAATGTGTACCAGTCAAAAGTTTGGACGCATTTCTTCATTTAATGGAATACATACACGTCCTACGTATATGTGACCGTCCAGAGGTGACTCCTGTTAGAAGGGGAGGATGCAGAACCCCTCGGCCTGGTGGCATTATGGCTTATTTCACTGTATAATGATGATCCACTCTATTAGTGGGTATACAGATAAATGGTTAGTCTTTGAGAAAAAAGAAACTCGCTAAGCAGCAAAGATGGATTCAATGCCGACAAGATATTATTTGATATTTCCACCGCAAAGCACGCACTTTGATGCCAACAGCCACTGGATTATACTAGTTGAGATAATGAAAAAAACATGCAGGCCAAGGCGTCATTCACTTATTACACTGAAATGGAAAAGTGGAAGGGTTGAATCCAGCAAGGTCAATGGGAATGATGAGAGCCAAAGGACCAGGTTTGTGTGAGCCACAAATGAGTGCGGTGGAAATAAGTTAAAATAAAAACAAGGATTAATTTCTTTCTATTCACTGTCGACATATCAATGGGACTAATGGACTTGTGATTCAGCTTTACGGGGACACATCTTGGTCCAAGCAACCTCACAGAAAAGTAAATGCATCTGACCTTTTATTTGCCGTAGAGGCGATATGACCACCAATGCAATGGGCAACTTCCACCTTTCTGGAGGGATAAATTAAATATAGATTTTAATAATGTGCTGAATATCCTTACAATAATTTAAAGCCTGCTCGTATCGCTCATATATTTATAGTTGCCGCATCTTGTTTGTTTCTGTTCTCGTGGGCGGTGGTTTTACTTTGAAAGTCCCCGCCCGTGGCCGCTCCTCCCCGGGGAGGCGGAAGTCTGGCGGGGCGGCGGATCGGCGCTGATGTTCGGAGGAGCGGCTGCCGTCCAGCAGCCATGAGGTGGATGAGAAACAGACGTCAGAGGCGCCAAACTGCGGAATAAAGGTACAACTTCCACCAGCACTGCCTTTGTTTTCTTGGGGGAAGTCGGAAAGTACCGGGTGGAGTCTCACCTGTAGGGGGGGGGGGGTTGTTTGACGTGGGGCTCGTCCAGGTGAGCCTCCTTCCTGCCCGGAAGCCGTTCCTCCCCGCGGACAGGTAAGGAGCCTCAGCTCCTACTGTTGAAAACTTCGCGGTAGTATCGCGTTTCTCCTGCTTACGTTTGTTTCTTTGTTATTTTTTCATTTTGCGCTGATATCAACCAAACTAAACCTGTTTGAATAGTTACTCTTGAATAGACTGCGCAGGCCGCGGACACGCAGACGTTTGATGACATCATATATTTCATGTTTTGCACGCCAAATTTAAGTTGCGACCTTATTGATCTTTTCTGATCGGCATGGTCATTTATGTGTATTTTTGAAGGCACCTGCGTGCACGCTGTTGTGCCTTCTTCAGGTTCCGTCATCACTCGACCACTTTCACTGCGTGAGGATGCAGACGTGAACCTCTGCAAAGCTTCTGTTCCAGCAGAAATTCCGTCATCTCGTGCACCCTGTCTTGTTTATGCAGCGCGCAAACACATGGAACCACTAAAGAGACAAACGCATGTTTGGAATCCACTGCAACTCCGGATGGTTCCTTGAAGAGCGAGTTTTATTCTCCGTTCTCGTCAGCCGTGCACAGTCACGTGTGGAGACGGCGTGCTGTTTCAGGAAATAACTCGTCACGTTCTGTCGAGGCAAAGCTGTGAAGTTGCTCAACTCGTCCCAACCATTTGAGGGGAGAAGTAAATCATTTTTTCAAATATCTGTTATTTCCCATCGGAATGAGAATTCACCAGGAGGTCATCTCAAGGCAACACATGCAGATAAAAAACTGTCTGAGAATCCGGTCTGCCAAAGAGCCTTTGTGTTTGGACTGATCGGTGTCTTTCTTCACTCGGATGTCGGTGACCTCCTGTGGCAAGTAGACAGTCGGTGCATGTGTCAGCCTGCTCCCGTGTGTGTAATAAGCTGCAGAAACTCCTCCATTTCACACTCTTAATAGGTGGTCACATCCCCAATTGATGTACTTTCAGTTTATGTTCCAGTAGCCCAGGAATCCGTGTTCTGAAAGGATGCACGTATTAATATCCAGGACCAGTCAAAGTGTTGGACACACTTTCTCATTGAATTTGAATGACAAGTGTGTGTAAACTTTTGACTGGAACTTGTATATATATTGTGTTCATCCTCCTCTTTCCTAGATTCTCAAATGTCACATCTTACTGCCACTTTCTGCAATCAGCAGATGCTGTTTGTGTGCATACTTTAAAAAAAAAACACGCTCTTCTCCAGAGCACAAGTCGTCGTCATTCAGTGTTTTCCTTCACAAGTTGTTTCATCCACTATCTGGTTCCGTTCAAAGCCATGTTTGTTAAGCTCCTTCACCTCTGGTGGCTCGTTCAGCCTGATCTAAGACACGGATCTAGTTATTTCTCCATAACTCCTTTTTCCATCTGGCTGTATTTTCCTTGACGCAAGAGAGTCAGATAAACGACTGACATGTGGTGCGATGGAGGTCAGTGAGATGGGCTTTCTGGACAAGGTTGCCTGCAGGAACGGCGGATGTTTGGTCACCTCGACCTCAGCCGGCCTTTTCTGCATCATAGCCTTCACATGTCCACAGATTGGGACAGGGGAAGGTTGGGGGGGGGGGGGGGGGGGTGTTGCTCTGGAAGTAAAAAATCCCATGATCTAAATCTGGTTTTGATGGAAGCAGTTATCTCCATTAACAAATTGGAATGCAGGCCTAAGACTAAGCTGGGGACTCTTTGCTTGGTCCGGGTTACGGCTGGCTGACCCCCCCTCGGGCCTGACTTGCAGTTCAAATGAATATCACGCCCCGCTCAGATGTTTACGTCTCCGTTATACACCCACACCGGCTCCCTGCTTCATCAGGAGTGGACTGCTAATCTTTTTTTTTTAGGACCACACCCTCGGTACACACTTTGAGGCGTTGATCATCTTCTAGCTAACTACAGTAGTAGTGTGCACACGGTTACTGAAGCCATTTTCATCCATCCAGCTGGTGTGAAAGTTCATAACCGGGCTGTGAAGGACGTTGGAGATTTATTGATGTGGGGGCGTCTTTACTGCAGCGTACGGGTTATTAAGCGCCGCGGTCTCCGTCCCTTCATATGTAATGAAGATGCGGACAAGAACTTAATAAAACCGTTGCTCCAAATTCTCCACTTTGCTTCGCTTCTGGACTTTAACGTGGTATTTCTGGGGTCGTAAGTATATCTGTTATACTTCCCTTGACCTCTTTTCTGTTGATTCTAGTATAACACGAGTTGATTGTAACGAACACGATGCAGCGACGGGGACGAACGCAGACTGTTAACCTGCATGACGGTCAACAGAGTTAACTGGTTTGTCCTGGACGGACGGGGGTTTTTGTTTTTACACTGCAGTGACGGACAGGTTCTCCCGTCCGGGCTCCTTTTCTGAATCACCGCGGAAGTGGGCTGATCTAATCACGCAGTCTTTTGTTTACGTTGTAACATTTTTTTTTTCACTGCGAGCAGCCACTTTCTCTTAAAACATTGTTGTTTAGTGATGCTGCTTTTATTGCCGTAGTATCAATAAAGATGTTGACCGATGGCCTCTTGCGATTCAAGACTTTTATTGTCACAGGACTTTGAACGCACCTCCTTCCCCGGTGTTGCGGATCAGAAGGAACCATGATCTTTGGAAAATGTTTTTCCTCCCACTGATGGATCGCTCTGCCGCCTACGAGCTCCAGCAAGTTTACAAATGAACCTGAATTCATGACGAGTCATGAAAAAATAGATTTATATATTGCTCAAAAACGGCATATATGTAAACATACAAAAAAAAGACGTTCCATTTCACTGTTGCTTTGCAGCTTGAGTTTCCTCAACCCTCGACGTGTTGTAACTGTGTCCCAACACATGTGGACATATAGATGCAAGTACCTCTCGGCCGATGCTTTCAGTGGCCATCATCCTTTTTCCTCTGCTTGCTGTCTCTCACCCTGTAAAAGACACAACGCAGATACGTTTTTAATGTACGCAATTGAGACCGGACATTTGGGCAAAGGTATAGATCGTATACCGTCTAACCGCTGTATTTTGGGTGAAGCTAGAAAACTATGATTTTGGATGTCAAAGTCCTCATATTGCTGATTTGGTCGTGGTGGACGGCTCGCCTCTAACTCCCCGTGGGTGGAGACCGTGACTCCCAGCTGATCATGCTGTACTTTGCTATCGCTGTCTGAAATCAGGTGGCAATTTTAGCAACATTCTTGGACACACGCTACACTTACTCACATCTTTCAATGATCTGCGTGTTTTGTAAACAGTGGCTCATGTCTCGTTCAGTGATCTGCCGGCTTCCCCTTCCTCCACTTCCTAATTCCAGCTGATAACGTGGCTGCAGCTAATGACGATACAAAGAATGAGGCCAGTATGAAGCTTATGGGGCGGCTGCTCCGTGCTGCGGCCTGTTTGGGCGTCCCTCAAGAAAATAGCGTTCTAAAGGACGTCGTAGTGGATCAGTCCCGCTATTCTTCTACTGTTATGTTATCTAATGCCGCTTTTGGACAAAATACTTTCCATTTTATGAAGTACTTCCTCCGTCACTCTAATTCAGAGGTAATATAGTCAAATATATCCTCCAATATATGTATCTCTTAACCTGCTCTGTAACCTTAGAGGACCCTAGTAAAGCACCTGCTGCGCGTGTGAAAACAAACAAACTGATGACAATCATTGGACTTTATTTGCTTTACAAAGGGAAAGTAGTCCATGCATATCTGTTCTTGATATAATCCTGATTATGGTCTGTCCTATGACTCTAAGAGAATCCCCACTGTTGAAAAACGTCCTCTCTACAACCCGGAGCGTGCTTCCCCCTCCTCACCGAACATTGCACTGTTCTCTGCTGCTCATTTGCCAGGAAGCGTTTTGCAGTCATGTGTCCTTTAAACAAAGACATTTAACAATTCACAGTTGAAACAGCACCGGCGCAAATGATTATTTCGCCCGCTCTCTATTACTGCAATTACCTGAACACTTGAATGCTACAGAATAATTAGTAACTCTTGTGCTTTTCCTAATTGTCAAAATGTTTGCTTTCAAAAATACTCTGACAACAATAACTGTTTTGCAGTTTACATGCAATTCCATTCTTGCAATTCCCTCTTTTCTACCCTTTTTTATTCCCACCGCTGTTGATATGCAGAGATCTCTGAGTCTGATGGTAGCAACACAGCAGACTTTGTTCTGTTGTCTGCTGATGGCTTAGGGCTTTGGTGTAAAGGTCACCACTTTGTGATGGTGACTCTGGAGGCATCTTGTGTGATGACCATACGTCTCAGGAACGACGCACAAACATTTAGAGTACTTGAAGGAATAGTGACGTTTTGGAAAGTGCTCCTGCTTCCTTTCATGACCGGAGTTGAATGAAACGAGGAAACATGACACCTAGTGGTTTCATTCTGGGTCCTTGATGTATTTCGGGCCTGTTGCATAGACAGGCGACCAGTCGAAATAGTCCAGTAAACGAGATGCAACTTGTTTATTCATGAACTTTAGGGGCAGCTGCCCGTGACCCTTTGGACAGAGCAGGCCCAGCTGTTTCCTGTCTCCATGCCAGCCTCCGGCAGCCAGCTGCTGGCTGTGTACATCAGACGGCGCTGTACATGTGACTCTCTCTGTGTTTTGCATTAGAGCTGCCGGTCATGTCCACGTCTTAGAAGCCGACCGAGCCTCCCTTCCCGTCATGGACCCCAAGAAGCCGGGCAAGCTGCAGCAGCTCCGCCAGAGGATGCTGCCACAGCTCCGGCGAGGCAAGACGAGCCCGACCAAACATCTGGTTCATCTGGAACCCACCATGGACCACCGGATGAGCTCTTCCGTTCCCGACATGCGTGACGTGAGGCAGCAGCACGCTCAGGTCCCCGCCGGCGCGCAGGTCCAACGGTACACCTCTCCCAGCTCCAGCAGCCCCTCCACGCCGCTCCTCAAGCCAGCTCGAAGCCCCGGGGGCGGGAGTGGGAGTGGCCGGGTGATGCGAGACGCTCTCGGAGGAGCCGGGAGGAAGGTGCGTGCAGACTGCACGGACTGGGCTTCCTCCCAGGAGTCATTCGGCAGTCTCTGCCTGGAGGAGAAGAAGCTGGAGACACACCACAGACCTGCCGGGGGCATGGAGCCCGAGGAGCTGGCCCTGCCGGAGATGATGACCGTGTACAGCCCAGGACCCCCCTCTGAGGAGGTGTCCCAGGACAGCGCACAGGTACGGATTCTGCATTTGAATCAGTGTTAAAAAACCGCTCAGTCCCACAGAAGCATCTAATTTTCACTTTTGTAGAATCATTAACGGGGAGCAATACACCGTAGGATAAGCCTGTGTAGTATTCGTGCACTGTGACGTGCAGGTACATGGATAAAGTACTGGCTGCTCTGTGTACTTTGGTGGGTGTTGGATGTATTTACACTGGACTCCCACAACGTTTAACTTGGAGGAGGCAGGTAAAGAGATGATCAGGTTCCAGGTCCCTCCAAAATCAATAGTCTCCAGCAGCACTGGCAGAACTCTGTGTGTTTTCATGTCACCAGTGCATAGTCCCACATCATTGTCCCCAAACGGATTTGCTCACATTTATCACGTCTTAGTCTATTAATGGCCGAGAAAGAACAAATTGCATATAATCTGACATTTCTAAGAGGCCGTATCCAGAATATCCCTTGTGACAACATCCAAGGCCAACGTTTCACGGTGTTGTGATCCACCACCATTGATCATCGCAGACTAAATGACGTTCGTTCATGAAGGAATGAACATACGGTGATGCTCTCAAATGGCCTCAGAAACATTTCCCAAGTTTTTTCTCTTAGATATACATGTGCATATTTCCTTGTTTAAGACGAGAGATGAAATAAAAAAGTCTTTGAACGGCATTTGAGGCGCTTTAGCATTAAGTGTTGTCTCTCTACCTGGATGGGTTGTAGACGACACGTTGCCTGCTCATGGACATCAGGCAGCATGTGTGGTGAGTGAGCAGTAACTGAACTCATGAATGGATCAGTTACTCTTTGGCCCAAGTGGGGCTAAAAGCCCAAACTGCATGTCTGTCACTAGCTCTAACATGACACCTGAGCCTTTTCAATGAACTACATTCATTCTTTGTTTTCAATAGATGAATGTAGGGAATGGTGTTTTATTCCCTTGCAGTCTTGTGTTGCGGATCAGTGACAGTAAATAGTGAACGTTGTCTTTTGACTCGACTTGTGATGACACGGCATCACATCCAGTTAGCTTTTAAGTACACATGACATGCTGCCACGCGATTATAGAGATGTTCACGTTCCCCTTGTGAATTGTAACCCCTTTGTGTAATCTTTATTTGAAAAGTATTGAAATGTGCACACATTGCAGACAAGAAACAAGAATACCCTCTAAGGTGGATAAACAAAATAATAAAGATTAAATTGATAAAAATGCAATGAACTACAATAATATGAAAATATAAGAAATTGTATATTCTTCTTTAAATAAATCCCTGTACCGTATGTTTCGTTAGTTGTGATATATTCTTTACATTTGCATTAACAGCCTATGGAATTTGGGTACACTTTTATTATTTTATAATCCCTTTTGATTACCCCCTCGGCTCGTCATTGTGCTGACCGCAATGGATTCTTTTTGTTTTTTAAATAAATATTCTCATTAACACCAGCTTTACTTTGTGTTTGGTGCTTATGATGCTAAACCAACCAACTAGAGGGCTGATCATTGTAAACATCACCAGATCTGCATGTTGGCATGAAATGCTAACATTGTGTTTTAACAATTCAATACAAGCATTGGTGTTGCAACAAATACATTTGCTGTTCATGTAACAAGGAAATCCTTTAACGTATTCATTCTTTTTCAATACTACTTCATTTAATTATAAATTGAGGGCCGCTCCTCGTGGTTTACAGGAAGTCACCGGCTCAGAGTTGGAGTAGCTTTAAACTGAACATCATTGCATAAAAGCCAGTTCCCTTCTTGGTTCATCACGGTGTTCCCCGGGGAGATGCTTTCCAGTCCCCAGGATACGGAAACCTTTTATTAAATATTCAGAGGATTTGTGCCGATGGTAGAAATGCCAGAGTTCAGTTCTTGAAGCTTTTACGTGATCATCACACAGACACTTTCCTCTTTCGTCAGCCGGGAGTTTTTACCACACGTACTCGTCATTCATCGCGTGATCGATCGGTGAAACGTGTTTGTCTTTGTCTCCGCAGTATGATGATCATATCAGCGATCATGGGTTGAAAGACGGGGACAGCCAAAATGTAAGTGCATCTCTTCACTTTGATCGGGGATTCTGTGTTGCTGAAGTGAAGTCATTTTGATTGTAACGACTTTAGTGGCTTCTACTGATTTATCTCTGGGGCTAAAAGGGCTCTGCCGTAGACTTTCTGTCGGGTGGTGCAATCGTGTTTTTGGGGAAGAGGTTTTGTTTCCCGTTGGTCAGAAGGTGACGTTGCGCTTCGGCAGACACACACTTGTGTCAAAGTATTAAAAAGGTGCATTCTGGTATGTGAGGAACATTAACTTTGACTTCAAAATCTTTTAAATGGGAGGAAAACAGAGCGACAGTTGTCACAATGTTGTGAATAAAAGCCCCGGACAGCTTTAGTTTTACCAGAGCGGATTGTGTGGCAAACAACCGATGATTTGACATTGTTGTTATCATGAACGAGCACAAAAGGAAAACTCTTTCACTGCTGTAGTGACGGCCATCTGTGAGTTTACTGTTGCATGGGAAGATGAGAGTTTAATAACGCAAAGAATGAAGGCAAAACCTATGAAAATGAGTGTGTGTGTGTGTGTGTGTGTGTGTGTGTGGTAACTGTCAAAAGCTGTCTAATACTGAAAGCCAGCGACCTTCTGCAAATTGTTTGATGGGATACTGTTGAAGTTGAGTAGGTTTTGTTTTTCTATTGAGGGTTAGATGTGAGCATGCTTTGCAGTGAAACTCAGGTGGACTTTTTGAGAAATGTCCACCCGATGTTCCGTACTGCTAGTCTTAATGAAACTACTCATGAGAATGAATGGATTTGTGTGTAGTCTGAGATGGGGAACGAGTCCCTGAACGTGCCGGAGAGCCTACGGGACCCTCTCAGATCCTTCCTGCTCACCATCAACCTGAAGGAAGGACGAAACCTGGTCATCAGGGACCGCTGTGGTAAGAGCCTCATCTCACCAACCGCACCGACATTAACACCATCACACTCAAATGGCATCCCTGGATCCTTTTACAAAGAATGCATACAGCAGAACCTTCTTTGTGTATTCATGCACGTAATCTGTATTCAAACATCCCTAAATCAACATCGCTGAACCACGAAGCGTCGATACGAGATGAAACGGTAGGAAACACAAATATGAGAAGTGTAGTATAGGATTAATAATCACATTCATGGATCACCTTACCTTCTAGAAAATAGATGCAAGTATCAATTTAACTTCCCTAAGAGTCAATGAACTCTTTCACATTGGTCTAATTCTTACATTCTTGTTCATTGTGACCCGTGGTTTTATTTTATTTACTTTTTACAGTTTGTCACCTCTGTGATCATGCACTTTTCTGTCCCAGTGAGTAAGAGCCACAGCTGTTATTCATCGATTCTACCCTTTTGCGGTCTCACACTCATTTTAAAACCGGTGCTTGGATGTCTCCCTCTTTGCACTCCCTGTCATATCCAAATTGGTGTGACCTGTATAACATCTGACACAACAAAGACATCATTGTGAAGGTGTTCAGATACTCCTCTTTCCTCATTGCGGTGTGTTTTCCTGAATCTACCAGACGTTTAAGATCATCGGTGCCCAGCAGGGGTTTTCTGAACTGTGAAGCTATCAGTGTTTTTGCTGGCATTGTCCTCAGTTTGTGTGTTTGGCCTCGACTTGTTGACGATGGCCAGAAATACACAGCGTCACCGACACCCGAGACGGCCGGTTGTCGGTAACGCTGTGAAGCTGCAATAACAGCCTGGGCAGGATTCCACGCGGCGTATTAGAACCTGTCATAGCCGCGCCCTGCATTCATTTCACAGGCCTTTCTCTGCAGGCATGTATTTGGATATTATATTTCCTGCCTCGCGTGGCTTTGTATTCACCAAACCGTGCTGTGTGTGGAAAGATAATGCAGGAAATGATTGATGGGGGATCAAGGCGCAGGGGGATTTGGTTTCCCCTACATTATTGTTAAGACCGTATTCCTTTTAAAAGCGGTGAATTGACAACACTTTTATTATCTGAACAGATTATATAATGTGCATGCGCAGCACACACCGACAGCTGTTTGCAGCTGGTCTCCGCTCACCCCGGCCAGCTTTGCTGTCCTGGTTTACAGCTTATGCGATGTCTTTTTCTCTTTACATTCATCTCTTAGAGAATCTCTTCTTCTGGTTCCTGATGGTCCATAAACTGTGTTTGGTGGTCTGCTGCCCTCAGCTCGTCGATTGGCAGAATAGATTGTAAACGCTCACCTCACAGTGAAAATGATTTGATTGGACACGGCCTCAACAAATGTGAGATGTAAAAAATAGAGAAACACTTTCTTGAAGAAATGGCTGCTTTATGAATCCCGGTACAGTGGCCACCCAGGTGAATCATGCAGGATTCATAAGCCACAAAACAAAGGTTTTTAGCTGCTGTCACTTTTCACACTGGAAGCCCACTTATGATTGGCTGTTGAGTCAGGAAGCTGTGGTCCCATTGGCTGCAGAGGAAAGAAACCACATCCTTCACACAGGGATTAGAGATGACTCTTTATGTGGGCTGGTCCTCCCTTTTACTGGAAACCTGTACATTTACTTAGTTGAGAAACCTCAGTTTGAAATTAGAAGCAGGCTCATTTCGTCTGTATGTGTGACCTTTTGTGAAAACGTAAAGTAAACCTTGCTTTTGGAACACAGGGAGAAAGTAAATTCTGTCACGCTTTCTCGCTTTGTTTGGGTCTGATTTTATTCTGCTAATGAAATCTATGAGCATTATGGTTGTTATTATTGTTGAAGTTGAATTAACAGCTGCAGTGTCGTCAGTTGGTCAATGTTTTCTGCTTCAGCAGGACAGTTCAGTGAATAACGTGAGCTGCATGGTTTTGTATTTCATAAATTGTGGTCAGGTACCAGCGACCCGTACGTGAAATTCAAGCTGGAGGGGAAAACCTTCTACAAAAGCAAAGTGGTTTACAAAAACCTCAACCCGGCGTGGAATGAGACCTTCACGCTACCTGTGAAGGATCTGAACCAGAACCTGTACATCAAGGTGAGTAAAAGGCCCCGGTTGTGTTACGAGTATGGTCTCCCTGCATTAACGCTCTCTTTGACGCAGGTGTACGACCGTGATCTGACCACCGATGACTTCATGGGCACCGCCGTCGTCAGACTGCACGACCTGGTGATTGACAAGTGAGTGTGTCAGTGAGGGCACGGTGGTGAACTCGGTGTTGGGGGCGGTCGGAAGGCGCGTTGTGTAGCTTGTAAACCGATAGTGGGTTCTTGAGGATTCGGATTAAATCTGCTAATAATGTATCAGTGTTTAGTTGTTGTTGTTTTTTTAATACAAACACATTTTTATGAATATTCTTTAGTGTAATGTCGACCGGCCGGTTGTCAAGAAGCATTAAAGATCTTCATTTTAGTCAGACAATTGTTGGCCATTTCAATATAAGATTCAGATCAGTGTTATTTTGTCAAGATTTATTAAGCTTTATTTTATAAGCAAAAAGCAAATATTTTTTTTCAGAAATGTGTTTTTGTGCTTTTTTTATCCTGTAAATCTTCCTTCTCTGAAATAGATCTGTTGAACTTAAATTTGAAGTGTACATGTTGGGTTACTCTAAGTATATTTAAGATGACATTTTCTCTTATTTTCAGGCACAATGAGATGACTTTGCGCTTGGACGACCCAAACAGCCTGGAGGAGGACATGGGGGAGGTGCTGGTGGACATGAGGCTGTCACTCAGAGATGGCAACAGCAAAAGAGGCAGTGTAATACATAATCCAGAGGACCATTGCTATGCATTGTATTTATTGCACATGTATGCTTTTTAACGGTCTCTTGCTTGCGTAACACTAACCACAATGTTGTTTTGTTTTGTTGCTAACATGCATGCTCCTGTCTGCAGCGGTGGCCCCAAAAAAGAAAACCAAGTACTCCGGTATGAAGGAGGGAACGCATGAGACACACAGGAAGTGACATCCAGTTTGTTTGTTGTTGGTTTGATCAGCAATCTGCAGATATTTGCCTGATGTAAAAGAGATACCAACATTTTATAGCTGTAGTTGGTCCTTTTGTGTCTTTGCACCAGAGGGCAGCAAATGACCATGTTGTTGTTAAAGAAAGTATATGTCTATTTTACAAAGACAAATCTGACAAACATTTTTAGTAATTAATAAGATTAAACACTGAGAGTCATTCTATCGATGATAGCTGCTGTACATTTAGCATATAAAATACTGAGTACAGATCACATTTGTTGTGTGCTTGAAAGTAGCCGCTCTACACAACAACAACTACTGCCGCAAATACTTTAAAAGGAAATTAATTTGCCTTTTTAAAAGAATAACAACTATCAGCGGAGTAATTAGTGCAGTCAAATCTAAAAGCTATTCGGATACTGACACGCTGCATACTGAGGTAGATACTTTCAAGTATATATTATGTATTTTTTATACATTACATTATATACGTGAACGCTTGCATTTTTTCTTTTCTAAATGCACCTTTTAATATAACTTTTTCTAAATCCTTCTCAGCTATTTTTGTTTATTATTTCACGCAGCAGTCTCTCAATCCGGCATCGCATTCTGTTTCTGGGAGCGTTGATTATTCTCAGCTGGCCCACGCCTCTTATTCCAAAATGTGTCGCCAACCAAGTAAACACGAGTGCATTCGGCAGAGCAACATCATTGTCAGCTTGATCTGCATTAATTGAATCCGAGTTAAATATCTCCCTGCAGTGGCGCGTCTTCATGTAAGCTTTCGGCTAATTATAATAGGAAGCCACATTCTGAGATATGTGGACGAAAGACGCCGCTCTGCATTGTAGCTACTGCAGGATTTACCTAATCCCTCAGTGAACTGAGGGGACAACTCACTTGTCTTTCCCGGGACAAAAAAAGATACTGCTGTTTCATTCAGCTGTATCTCCATTCGGATCGGCGTTGCTGTACGATAAAAGCTTTGTGTTTTAGAAGTGAAAATGTCTTAAGTAGAATCACCATTTTATTTACTGCAGCGGTTAGTGTTTTGTGTCCTGCTGTTCCTCTCTCTGCACGATGTTGCATGCTTTCTCATAAAAGAAAACAGGAAGATTTATGGTTTTGTGATTATATATTCTGGTGTTACATAGGAATTGTCTATTTTAAATCTGAATCCCCCCCTCTTTTTCCTGGGCTTCAAATCCCAGCCAGGAGGCTCTTCTCTGGGCTTTCGCCAGTTGGAGACACTGAGGAAGAGTCAGCTTTGGACTTCTGTTGTGTCCGTGACTCTGGTCGAGGGTCAGGATCTGCCGCTGGACACTCAGGGGGGTCAGTTCTTCGTACGCTTCAGACTCGGGGAGCTGAGGCACAGAAGCAAGGTACTGGAAGCAGGACTACTGCTTTTCATCTCCTCCTCCTCTCGAGTTGCACTTAAACTCTCTCCGCTCCTCCCCTCCCCCTAGTCTCTTTCTTCTCCTTAGACTCTCCCTCCTCTCCTCCAATCCTAGACGCCTCTTTTTATTTAACCTTTAAACCTTCTCCTTCTAATTATTTCCCTATCTCCTTAACCAAATGTATATTCACGTTTATCTGGTCATGCAAAGTGGTTGTGACAATTCAAATGAATGAAACCCGACATGTTTAATAAATGTATGTGTTAGTAGTTAGTTGTATACTCACCTTGATATTGTAATTGTGTATTACAATGTATTTCATGCAGTATATGCTATGTATTTAATTTTGCATTCACAAACTGTCCAGATCGATAATTAATACAGCAGTAGAATAAACATTTCAAAGGGCCAAACGCTTTCAATGCCCTTATAATCTGTGACTGGTCACAGATCACCTATGAGAGAGAGCAGTGTAGTAAGATAAAAATTAATTGTTGTGTGTGTGTGAGACATAAAAGCTTTCATCAGTCCTCATCCTGGCAGCTTGATGATGTCTAGCATTGATGGTCCCTGTCTGGCGCTCTGGCTACTGTCACTGCTGATTGCCCTGCTATTCTGCAACATCAGGCATTACACATCAAAGCGACCAGCTAATGAGCCGCACCGCTCCTCTCTTTTCTTCTATGCAAGTTCAGGATGACAGTAATTACTTTTTATGCCTTCATGTGCAATTGGAAGTTCTCATAATGATTTCTGACTGTGCTTGGGAACAAATCATTCACACACCAATCTGTTGAATATAATTCAGTACACTACATCTGGCCATACTGTTTATTTCTAAATAATAGGCTCGAAATGCATTTGAGTAATATAACAGGGGAAATAGCGAATGAACATTTTCTGACTCTCGTCTGTATTTGAATGGCTACTCTCAATGTTTAATATATATACCTGTCTCTATATGTTTTGACCTAATTTATGATTCAGAATCACTGCAAAGTGTCCAACCCTCAGTGGAGAGAGAGGTTCACCTTCAACCAGTTTGGGGACAGACCAGAAAACCTGGAGGTGGAGCTCTGGTCCAAGGAAGGACGAAGGAACGAGGAGTGTTTGGAAACGTGAGTCTGCCCTCGGAACCCGGGGGCCTCTGAGATAAACGCTGTAAATGTGGTGCTGTGAGGATTAAGTGTGCTTGTCTTGTGTACGGAGCTGTCTGCACATGTGCATGTGTGTCCCCATGTCTGTCCACCATGCATGTGCCTTTTTGACATTTGCATGAATGCGTCTCTGTCTGCGTGCGTGTGTTTGTGTGTACAGAAGTGAGGTCGACCTGTCCGCGATACCGTTCAACCAGACGGCGCTGTTCACACAGACCCTGGACCAGGGGAGAGGACGCCTTGTCCTCCTGATCACACTGAACCCGTGCAGCGGCGCCTCCATCGCGGACCTCTCTGCGGCGCCGCTCGACGAACCTCATGAACAACAGAAACAGCTGGACAACTATGTCAGTACCTGCACTGGTGTATATATTCTCTCTGTACGATGTGGTTGCCCCACATGTCCCAGTTGAAGTGTTCGTGCGTCTGGGAAAATGGCCCCCTCACTCTAGGCCCCTGGCTGGATTTATGTGATCCCTCCACAAAATGGTGTGTAGTCATCAGTAAAATGTCCTTTGCTCTATTTAGACTACGGTTGAGTCCAAAGATGCTTAACTAAAGCAAAGGAAAGCCCAGAGCAGTAGGAGATAAGTGATGGTTGACCCATATGTAAACATTGAGTCCAAACATATATTTATCTATAGTCTGGTGCTTTGATTTAACATTTACGTCTAAACTGCCACTGGGATTCTTGCAGTTCTTTCCGTGTTGAAAGGCCATGAGATGGCAGTATCTGACCGGCAATGTGCTGAGAGTCAGCAACAACAGATGTCAATGTCAGGCGGAAGGTTTTGACATCAGCAATGTGCTGATGTGTTGTCTGGATGAAGTATATTACACATTCACAAAGAAAACATGTCCAACTTTTTGCCCTCTGGCAAACTGTACCTCACAATGTGCAGCACCAGTGATTCTCGTTCAACGGGAACGTGTGTCCAAACCTGCCTGGTGCTGAACAGCCAGCCCATCACGATCTGCCCTTACAGCTGCTGCGGTTATCTAGAGCTGTGTTTTCTATGTTTTAGTCTGTTATCTTATCATGCCTTTTACCGTTAATCATTCTTCCCAAAAAATAACAGATATAACTAACATCTCATATTATATCATGCCTGTCTTGCAGCCACTCTTTGAGTTCATGCCAAAAGCACGTCGAAAATAAATGTCCTTGGTAATCAATCATGGCAAATAGGATCAAGGACTTTTTTGAGATAATGTTTTGTTTGGGTATTCAAGTTAAATACTGACTTGAGATCTCCAGGTCAGCCGCTGAATACAAATCTCCCTCCTGCAGAATGAAAAAATGCCCTGAATCACTTTGTGAAGTATCTGGTCTATGGACCAAAAAACGTTTTTCTCTTTTGTTTGTTTGAAAAACATCATCTAGCATGGACACTGCAGCGCTTTTTGTTGACTGCCTTTCTAATCGGAGGTGGCACAGCTTCACAAAAACATATCGGTGCCCCACAGCATTCACCGTGACTTCTTTCAGCTCATTTATTTAGTTTAGATTAGCAAAGTGCGCAGTCTTTTTGGCACCAATGTGGGAAATCTCTGCATTTTGTTAATGCTGTGGATTTATTTTCTAATGATTACGAGGCTAATTAATACAGATACAGACACTGTTAAAATACTTTCTTTATTTTGTGATTCAACCTATTTGTGAATATTAAGTCTAATGGAAAGCTAGGCCAAAAAGCTTTGTCTGTTTTTGAAGCAAATCTCTTGATCCTGGTTTTGTACCACAGATTTCTTTTTTTAAGGGTTCCCTGACATTGTGAGATGGTTTGAACATTTTCTATTTTTCCTTCACTACAGCAGTTCAATGAAAACACGGTCTGGCTCATGTATCATAGGATTTGTTGTTGGGATTTTGCAGGCCTCTGATGTGTTCTGTGTTGTGTTAATGTATCCGAACCCCCGTGCCTCCTGTCTGTTCCCCATAGAGTTTGAAAAGGTCCCTGAAAAATCTCCCTGATGTTGGTTTCCTGCAAATCAAAGTTATCAGGGCTGCGGATTTGCTGGCTGCTGATCTAAACGGTATGTCACACATTTGGATTTGTTTCTTTGTTCTTTTGTTACACTAAACACGACGGAGGGAGCCAAGTGTGAAAGTGTTTTTGTTGTTGTTGTGTTCCGCAGGCAAGAGCGATCCCTTCTGCGTGTTGGAGCTGGGGAACGACCGGCTGCAGACCCACACAGTCTACAAGAGCCTCAACCCAGAGTGGAAAACCGTCTTCACATTGTCAGTTTGAGTCTCCCCCCTTTTTCTTGTTCCCATTAATACAACGTTGTATTCAGTGTGATAACAACGTTGTAATAAACCAACACTGTGGCCATCAGGTGTGCTTGTTTGTGAGGAGTATCTGGTCTCTCTGTTTGTGTCTGCAGCCCTGTCAAAGACATTCATGACGTTCTGGTGGTGACCGTCTTTGACGAGGATGGAGACAAGGCGCCAGACTTCCTGGGAAAAGTTGCCATTCCCCTGCTCTCGGTACTCGCTGCCTCACTAAGAGTCCGTCGTGGACAACAGACTAATCTATTTACACTCTGCGTCTAAATTAAAGTGAAGAGGGCGATAACACTCCAGCGCTTTGAAGACTCGCTAAGATGTAATGCAGCATGACTGATGGTCAGGTTCATGGATGAGGTCAGCACCTGACGCCCTCTCTGTCCCGCAGATCCGCAGGGGACAGCAGATCGCCTTCCCGCTGAAAAAAGAAGACTTAGGTGGGCTGTCGAAGGGGAGCATCACTCTGGAGCTGAAGGTTATTTTTAACCCTGTGAGTAAAAGTTCTGCCTGCAATGAGGACATGAGAGTGAGATGAAAGATGGGCCCCCATTCTGTCTGCTTCTCATTGCTCCCGATTTCTTTCCTTTTTTCTCAGGTCAGAGCAGGTATAAGGACCTTCAAGCCAATGGAGAGAAGATTCATGGAGGATAATCCCAAATTTTCCAAAAAGGTATGATCAATTGTCTGTGTAAAACTGCATTGGGGAATAATTGCTTTGCTAGTCAGACAAAAAAATACATTTGAACTGGTGGCGACTGGTGAAAAATGTTCTATGTAGATCTATCAAATCAACTTCAGCAAACAGACCAGAATCATTCAATGCAAAACTGTCAAGGTATCAAAACGCAATACTAATTAACATTGGCTAAACATTTTTTTACTAAATAATCAATTGGCTAAAGTGCTTCTTAGACCCGCCTTCTCCAGGCAATCTGGCGCACACATTGAGGCGGGCCGTGTGTGAGGCAGCAGGGACGTGAAGGCAAGGCATGTCATTCGCGCTAATTTCATATTTTAAGAAGTATTACTGGGTAGAGTTCATATTTCAAAAACAGACATTTTTTATAATTTGAATATTATCTCAAGGAGGGACGCTCCGGGTGGGGCGACCCCCTTTGCCCTCTATTGGCCTGCCGCCACTGATTTGAACACCGCGGCGTACAAGTTCTACGTTTCAACTAAACTCACTGTTTTACCGAACAAACAATGAATTATTTATTGAACAAAAGTATTAGCGGAAGGTTTCCTCTGGTAAATTAGTGTTTTCAGCTTTAAACTCCACAGCGTTGAATGTTACAAGCAACCAACAGTGAAGTGAGTGAGGGTCAAAGGTCACTGCACTTTTGACAGTAATCATGTGATGCTTGGATAGTTAAAAAAAAAAAAAAAGCCGCTATGAGAGAGAAAACGCTAGAGGACATTTTGTGGTCCTTGTTTTTTATAAATTGGCTCTATGAACTGAAAAAAAGGAAGTTTAATGACCACGTTGAGGGTTTTTACTTCTCCTCTCGCTGAAAACCAGACGCCTGCAATTTGCCTGAATTAGTTGAATGAAGCTTTAAATGACCCCAACTGTGACTGAGTTTGTCTCCACTGTTCTGCTACATTAGTTTGATATACAGTGGGCAAGACAGGGTGCGAGACAGGGTGCCTGACTGTCTGTACTTCCCACAAAGACTCATTGTTGTCAGACAATACATTGCTCGCTAAATTGGCTTACACAGCGAGCACCCGAAACGAAACGTGAAGGGTTCCCTTCTGTTTTCATGTTGAAAGTCGTGGTTTGCTAAATCAGGTCAGATTACTGACATTTTTTGCCCCCCTGACCACCGGCTACTTGACTATTACACAAGCTGACTGGACTTCTCCTGTTTGGCAGGAATGAACGCCATGAAAGAAAATCCCCCTACGCGCGACGACAGCGTTGCTTTAAGCACTCCCGTACACGCTTTAAACCCAACTGCTGCAATACGTGTGTCACGTTTCTGATGTGTTCCTTTCAGGTGCTGGCCAGGAACGTGCTGCGCGTTCAGGCGCTGTACAGGGCCATCGTGTCGACTCTGCAGTACATCAAAAGCTGCTTCCAGTGGGAGAGCGTTCAGAGGAGCCTGCTAGCCTTCCTGGTGAAGTGCCTCAACTGCTTATCGACACGCAATCTGCATAACACCCCCCCCCCCACGCTGCAGCTCGGCTATCCCCTGCTTGAACCCTCCCAGCGAGATTATTAATCAATGCGGCATGGGCTCAGCAGAAACGCAGGCTGGGCCCCGGCTCCGCGGTGGAGTGGACGCTTTCGGTGTTTGTGTGTCTAGTGGATACCGAGTTAAGCCTCAGCTGGAGAGAGTAGAGTCCCGGTGGAGTCGAGATGGTCTATTTTTGTTCCACTTCCCTGACAACTCATTAACCCTCCCGTCCAATCTGCGCGCGGTTTGATTCAGGCACCATTATGCGGACAGAAGTCCAATTAAAAGCCTCTTCAGAGATAAGGCTCATTCTCCGTCCTGCCATTGTTGAATACAAGTGTTCACGGACGGCGAGGAGAAGCCTCTCAGCCTCTCAGCCTCTCGTCTTCAAACTGTAAAGTGGAGTGGGTGCCGATCTTCAGACGTCGTTCTCTCACAGATCGTAGCTCGATTGACACGGCACACAGCGAGTTGGCCATTAACTATGCAGGAAATTAAGGTCATGGAAAGTTCTTTTTGTTTTTGCGACTTGCGTCCTGTAGATGGCACTGAAGTTTTGGAAAGACTTGTGAAGAGATACTGTACGCCAGCTAATAGTACAGTTTGCTCAATTTGCTGCTTTCTGAACAGAACCCACACTTGAGCTTTGCATCGCGCATTGAGTTTTGTCATTTGGGAGCTGCTGTACAGCTACTGCAGAGCTACTGCACCTAGAAATACTAGTTAATGCACAGAAATCCCCCCCTTTTTGTATTGTAAGTATGTGTTCCCCCCCTCCCCCACATGCACACACCCACTAGCGTACAAGTCGTACAAGCATGAACAGGCGCACAATGTGCACACACGTCCTCCCACTGCATCTCAGTGTTTGAGAGACAGTACCATCTGTACTCGTGTTTTCACACTAACGCACGCTGCCATTTCAAGCCTCGGTGAGAAGAAATAAGTGGCTGCTTAATATCTCCACATGAGCGCGCTGAAGCAAAGCGTCCCTCTACATGACAGGATACCTGCAGCATCTGCCGATTGTCAAGCGCGTCGGTGCGGCACGTTGTAGTCTGTGCGGTGTGCTTTAAATGAGCGGGGTTATCCCACGGAGAGGCCTGGAAACATGCAGGCCTCTTTTCCCTTTTTGCAGCTTTTATTTTGAAATGTATCATTAGTTATGCATAGACATGTGATGTCATCACAATCACTATATATTTCAGGATGTTTGGGTAGTCATTATGGTTCACTGACTTTATGACTCTTCACTTTTAGCATAAAGCCATAATTATCCATTATAATCCGAAGCTGCTGACCAAAGCCTACTTTAAATCAATGAATGTGCTGAATAATATCAGTGATTTCTGTGCTCTTGGATTACGGCCGTGCCGTGCAAACTCTTCCCTGAGCACAAGCGTGGAAATCCCGCTGCATTCTGAGAATGCGTTACCCTGCAGTTCAGTAGCACCAGGTTTTTTCTTTTCCTGTTTTCCCTGTTTCCCCCCCGTCTCTGATCTGGATTGTATTTCCAGATCTCTCTTTGCCGTGGCAGACTTTCTAATGCCTCTCAAGCTGAAATGGGCTGCACTTATCGCAGTCTTTATGGGCTGGGTATACATTTCAACCAAAGCGTGACTTTGCTTTGCCTCTGTCCCGGCGCTCCCAGTCATCACAAAGTCCTTTCCAATAAAACAGAACCCTTTCAGTGAGGAATTAGTTTCATCTCCTCTCCCAGGCCCCGTTTTGGCATGTGATAACACAGACAAGAGCATGCATGGCTTCTCACACGCTAAAGCTGATGTTGGCGGCGGTGGCGAGGAAGTTACAAGGTTGCGATCCGCCGTCTTTTTATGTCAATCGGTGCCTCCAGAGGAGTGCAATGTCTTTAGCAGATGTTAACTCCTTTTTATTAGCATATAAAAACCTACAAAACCCCCTCCCCACGCCTTCTGGAGCGCTGCCATTTTGGCCGGTGCTGCCTCTCTGACAGGATTATCGTATCGTTCCATTTAGCCGTGCCACGGAGCATCACGCGCCACTTTCCCTTCACCGCCATCCATTTTACCTGAGCCACACACCGGTGTCATGTCCATCACGAGTGCCATTACGGATGCTAATGTCATATCCGCACACAGACACCCCCCTCCCCCCCGTGGCTGCAGTCAATCGCGTGGTCGGCTTTAATGTACACAAGATGAGAGAGGCAGATCAATTAGACGTATGTGGTTAATGTCAATGCATATACGGGGGGTGCAGCGGGACTCGGTCCAGCTGAGCAAAGTGGCGGCCCCTGCACAGCTTATGCAAAACAAGAGCAAATGTACGTAGGAAGCGAGGCTTTGATAGTGGCAGGGTAGCCTTCATCATCTTGACCACCGCTAATTAATTTCATAGAAGATTGGATCAACCTTTAGCTAGCGGGGGACTCTGGAACTATTGAAAGTGTCTTTGGATGGGACTTGATAAAGAGCAGGCTGTTTCATACTCCCACCCCCTCCGTGTGTCCGACCTCACTAATATCTGACCCCTGTGCCCCTCCGCCTGCAGGTGTTCCTGGTTACGGTGTGGCACTGGGAGTTTTACATGCTGCCCCTCTTCCTGGTGCTGCTCATCTCGTGGAACTACTTCCAGATCCAGACCGGTCGGGTCAGTCAGGACTTGGTGAGTCGGGAGCCGCTTTCGTCAGCCTCGTCCATCTTCCTCTCGTTTTGCAAAGTGACCTGCGGGTTCCTGCTCAGGCTCCTTTTTCTTTTATTTTACCTCCAGCGCATTTTGTTCTCTTAATTAATGCTGGTTTGTTTCCATAGCAACATGCCTTGCTACATAATAAACCAATACATATAATGCATACGCATAGAAAACTGACTGAATAGACTAATGCAAAATATCATTATAGACTCTGCTAATTTGCCTCGTTCGTCCCTCACTAACAATGCCGCTTCCTTCCTTTTTATGTTAAAGTCTGCTTCTAGTTCATGTCCTGACTCCTTCTTCTCCTTCTTTTTCTTCTTCTTCTTCGCCGTAATTGGTCTGTTGCCCTCGTGTCGTTGTGACTGGTCAAATAAGACACAGTTTTAAGCACTCTGCTTTGAAAGATCACCATTCACACCTCGGTTTTTACCCCCATTGAGATCGCTCTCCTTTTCACCGGGAAAAAAATAGGATGTTGCATCTGGTCCCAGTGTGGAGTGGCAGCTGTATTTACTGTACACGGTTAGACACAGACTATAGGTTATAGCAAATTACATACACAGCACACTGTTCAGACAACAATGTGCTTTATTGTGTCGTGAAGTCAGTGAAATGTGTGCTGGTTTACAACCATGTAGGGCTACAACTATAATCATTATTTTCATCATCAGTTTAATCCGCTTGTTATTTCCTTCCATTAATTACTGAATTCTATTAAAAGCCAGAAAATTGCCGACCACCAGTTCTTTGACCCCAATGTAGTGATCTAAAAAAACATTTCAAGTTCCTTTAGCGTATATTCCTTTCAACAGAATATTAAACCATTTACCAAAACATCCAAATCCTTCATGAGACGCTGAAATAATTGTGCATGGACGTCCGATAATGGGAACACGCGAGGTGAAAGAGAGATGGAGCTTGGCGACGATAAAGCTCAGCAGAGCGGACGAGAGTCGGAGGATGATTCCTCGTGGCCTTCATCACTCTGTTCCACGCACAAGTAATCGCGTGATCCGCCGCTAATTTTAAAAGATTGATTCCCGCCGCTTCAGAGAATTCTGGTACAGCGGCGCGAGCTGTCCTCCAGTTGCCAACGCGTCTCTTCGGTCAGCTGAGCCGCACTGCTGAATGTTATTCGGGGGCCGACCCCGAGGTCGCCGCTGATCCCCGCAGTCAGATGACGACCCCGTGAGCACGCTGGCGTTGATGCATGCAGTCAGAATGAGAGAGTGTTTACAGTGTAGATAATCTCAACTTCTTCTCGCCGCAGGACAACGTGGATGCGGGCGACGAAGATGACGACGATGAGAAGGTATGTATAAAGGCTTTTGGATTGATTTTTTTTTCTTATTTCTTGGCCAAGCATCTGCATTTCTATATGCCGATGAATTCTTTATTTGGAGATGTTGACAAAGATGTCTGCCTATGATCTATGATTTCATCTAACTAAGCTCTTTATTCTGCGCTAAATCCTCCGCAGCATTGTGGTTCCTGCCAGCCACGAGTTGTATTTTCTTTTTTTAACTTACCAAAAGACGTTCGGGCTTAATGAAGCCCTCAACCGCCCGTTTCCACATGTCACAACACATTCATATGCTAATAGAGGGGCGGGGGGAAGGTTCTGCTGCATTTGGGGAAGTCCCTGAGCTTAACACGCCATATAATACCATCAATATGGAACTAATGACGCCACTTAGACATGCTGCTCCAAAGCTCATTTTTAAAAAGTTGGCGTTGAAGTGTGACAATGCTTTTAGGACATGAAATATTCCCTCAGAATGACAGCAGTTTATTGTAGACATTTGGAATGGCCTGCATCGTCCTAATGCACTGTGGTTCTCATACTGGTTTCAGTGGGAACGTGACCCTGAAACGGCTCAACCGGTTGAGGGCAATGAGGACGTTTGATGGGTTTTTGACTGAGGTGAAACTAAATGGTCTTGCGTGTGTTTTTTGAGACGGGTAGTCCCCGTGCATGTGGAACATCCCAGGTTTGGGCCCCCTCTCCGGCTCCTTTCCCATGCTCCTCTCCGACGTCTGGATGGCATCGGGTCAGCAATCCCCCGAAGACATTCATCACAGAGATCACATAAGTGACAAAGACCATGGCTTTGGCCAGTAAACAATCCCTCGATAACCGGCACCCCCACCGACCCCAGCGCCTCCCTTCACTCCTCTCACCCCCCCAAAGCCTCCCTGCGTTTGATGTGGACGCGAGGCCGCGTCTCCGTCTCATCGTCTGTCTCTCCCTCCAGAGACCTCGGGAGAGTCTGGTCTCCTCCATTTACTTTAAAGCCGTTCGTCCCTCCTGGGATCTGCACTGGCCTGAGAACGGCAACTCGCCTCCTTCATGATGGCGATTCCAGTCCCCTTCTGAAGAGCGTTCACTTGAAAAAGCCATTTGTGCATTTTCTGTTGAACTATCTGCCGTTCCATTGACATTTAGCAGACTCTCTTATCCTAAGCGGCATTTTAAAAGTCTTTCACTGTCAGACATTTTGTATTAGTATAATTATTACTATTTTTAAGTCTGGTGTCAATCTGTGGCCTTGGGAATGTCTTTCGCTGACCAGATAAAGCTTTGTTGTTTAAAATGACTACAAACCGATTAAAATGAAGATATTTATGAGAATCGTATTTGATCTCCTGCAGAATAGTTCCATTTATTCAGTAAATAATACTTTAACCTTTTTATTTCACAAGGGTTTATTTATTTTTGGTTCTGTTTGTGAAAGTTGCTAAGACCAAATGTTCTTTGTTTTACAATTATATTGATGTAAAAGTACAGAAGTACAACTTTATTTTTTTTAAGTGGTTTGTACTTTTTACCACCTCTTATAATCTGTGTTATTTGGTACTGATAGTACTCAAGAGTAATTAAATGAGCGAGTGTCTGACAGTCTGTCACCAGTTTTTTTTTTTACGAGCATAAGCCTTTATTAGTCATAAATGCCCACTCTTTTATTTTTTTAAATGTGTACTTTTGTTGAAGTTTTAACAATTAGCAGCAGAAAATGATCTATTCTCTGCTCAATGATATTCCCCATCATTATATACTGAGATGGGACAAGTTAAAAAACCTTCCCGAGCTTTCTGGACCCTTTGGTTTTGTTTTTTGATGCAGGAGTCGGAGAGAAGAGGCTTGTTGGAGAAAATCCACATGGTCCAAGACACAATCATCACCCTTCAAACCCTGCTGGACCAGATGGCCTGTTTTGGGGAGAGGATTAAAAAGTATAAATACAGCTCACCGTTGTTATTTGTATTTCAGCTGGACGCCTTTAAAGTGTTTGAAATCTGTCAAATGTTCCAAATCTCATTTTCTGATGACCCTTTGCTGTCTTTCATGTACTTTTAGTATATTAAATTGGGACAAACTTTCTTCCTCAGCACTTTCAACTGGTCGGTGCCATTCCTGTCCAGTCTGGCTTTCCTTATCTTTGGGATTGCAACGATCCTCACATACTACATCCCCGTCCGCTACATAGTTTTAATCTGGGGTGAGTCTTATTTTTATTACGTCATCCGCTTTTTTACGGATGCGTGTGTTTGTCTTCATTTGACCTGAGTGCATCATCCCATGATCTCTTTATTATGTTTATGTTTGAATGTAAGCATTTATTGTGTTAAATCTTAACTGGATAAGATGATATTATTATTATTATTAGAAGAAATAAAGATATGGGCACAGGCCGTAGCACTCAGCGCCACATTTCTTGGACAGCACGAGTCTCCTCGGCAGGTATTTGTTTGTGTGGAAACAAAGCGCGCAGCCACAAGAGACTTGTGCTAATGATATGTTGGTGTGAATTTCTGTTTTAGGCATCAATAAATTCACCAAGAAATTACGGAACCCGTACAGCATTGACAACAATGAGGTGTTTGATTTCCTGACAAGGGTGCCTTCAGATGTGCAGAAGGTAAGCCCCGCTGGATCCGCCAGCCCAGGAAGCCCCAAATCCCAGAGCCCGCTAGCTCTGCATTTTGCTTAAACAACTCCCAGGCATCCATCACTCGTGTCTGTATAATTAGCTCCATCTTTATAATTATGTAGCCCCGTATAATTTCTGTTGTGTTTGGGTCCCGATACATCCCTGGTGGAGGTCTGCTGCTTAGCTGCCTGGCAGGGCAGGCTGTTCCCAGGCCGGGACAGGAGACGCTGCTGCTGTCTCCTGTATGAACTCACCCCCCCCACCACCCCCACACCCATCCGTCCGCACCCTACAGCTCCTACAGCACCAAAAATACACAAAACAAGTTCGAGCTGATTTTCTAGAATATTTTAGACTATTTTTTCTTTTTTTTTTGAAGATTGTATTTTCTTTTTCTTTGCGTTTCCTCTCTTCTTTCTTTAATTTCCTCTCGGTTTCTTCCCTCTTTACCCGTTGTCGTCTCTCCTCCTCCTCCTCCTCCTCCTCACCCTCTCTCCCTCTCTAAGCTGTTTGACCCCATTTGCCTCCTCCCTCTCCTCCCCGGATGCCCTTGGGCCTCTGGGTTTGGTGAGTGTGGCTCTCCAGCTACTCAGAGGACCACGGTTATTCTGTCTGTGCGATGACTGTGGTCTTCCTGCTCAGCAGCACTGTGTCCATGCGCTTCCTCTGGGAAAACGTTGTTTTGAAGTAGTTATTAGATAAAAGCACTCCTAGTTGAACATAAAGTAATGCCTCATTGGTGATGACTGTTTCCTGTTATTTCTTACAGGTTCACTACAGTGAGGTGAGAGGCAGCAGGAAGAAGAAACTCTCGTAGGCTTTCTACTCAAAAACAGTTTGCAGAGAACCCGCCCGTCTCCCGTTGCGTGGCAGCTCTGAATCTCAATTTGTTTTGGCGATGCACAGCTCGGCATCGGTCATATCAACCAGCACCTGAAGACTTTTCATCCAAAGACGTCCACGACGAGGGCCGCACAGACATTACGCAAGAGGAGTTTGTGATATTATTGCTAAGGATGGAGGATGTTGTGTTGTTTGTACAGTTTACTCTTCAAGCCAAACAATGGGAAGCTGCTTTATTTTATAGTTCCTGGTTGCATCCTCTTAAGCCAGCTGAAATATCAGATTGTATTTTAATGAATGTATGGAAGATTTGGGTGTATATTTTTAACTGATTTGTATAATATTATTCTCCCTGCAAAAAGAAAATAGCAGTTGTTGCTAAGATGAAAATGAATTCTATTATGGGTTTATATTATTTCATGCAGCGTTTTCATACAAAAAACGCATTTTAAAGTACAATGTCTTTGCAGTTTTAAATGTTATGATGAAATGAGGTAACACTTATTGTTGGTAGACAATAGTATGCCTCACATCCTGTTATTTCTCACTATATTTCCTACTTATGGACTTATGTTTACATGCAAAGATGGGTGCCGACATTCATTTTCTCATCTTCATTCATCCTGCGTGGAGTCTGTATCTCGCTGTTATATTTGACTTTTGCTGGCAAGTGGGATGTGACCTAATCTATACACTGCTTTATTTATTCATAACAATCACTCTCATTTCTAATGGCAATAAATACAAACAACCACAATTTCCTACGCCGCCTGCCCCCATGTCTCAGCTCTGTAATGCGCCTCTTTGAATCCCCCGTGCACATTGTGTTGCTCCTCCCCGTGCTGCAGGATTGTGGGCGTCTAGCAGCCCCCTCTCTTCATTAGAGTTTCATGAAGCGAGGCTATGGGAGACCTCACCGGCACCCGGGCTCCCCGCTGTGTTGATGGCCCTTGGGCGTCGCCACGAGCAGGAGGACCCCGGCGACCTGCTCTCAGCTGCAGTGACGAGACGCCTGCAGCCAGCATCCTATCAAGCACAACAGCCGGCCGAACCTCTGGTACCGGGCTGCACACGCCGCCCCGGAGCAGGAGGAAAGATTTTAAAACCAGCCACGAGCAACAACATCTATACCAATTTAGGGATTGGAGAATAGGAATAGTTAAGATGTCGGCGTTTAGAGTAATACCCTGGGATTTATGGCTTCAGAGTCGCAGCGCGTGGGCTCTGTCAGCAGCCCCCTAAATGAGAAATGAGTGAAATTAGAGGAAAACTGCTCTCATGAAGTATAATGCAGAATCCCATAACTGTTGTGTCAAATGCTATCCGAAAGCAATGCAGAGTATGGGAGGATTGATCTCTGCGTTTGGAGTGGATGTCTATTAACGCTGGATTGCTTGAGAAATTCTTGAAATTACCTCCAGAGAAATAGACGTCTCATAACTGGTCAATGCCATATACAGATAACACCCTACACGGTGTGTAAACCGTATAAAGGATTATTTGTCTGTATGTTGGACACAGAGAGTTTGGGGAATGTGGTAGAAGATGACCTGTGCATCTCTTCATCTCGTTATGTTGACTTAAGTATTCAATATTAATAACCCACTGTCAAGGACACAGGAAGGACGTCTCAATGTGACACCTATAGGCTCAACATGAATATGTATAGGCAGCGAGACGCCTCAGAATTACCAAGTAAAATCACGGTTCACACGTGGGGACTAATGTGATCTGGCACATGCATTCTGATGAGCCACAAATACAGCGGCTGATCGGTCTCAAAAGACTTGTTATAACTCAATATCCGCACTGAGAATGCTCAGCTGGGTCTATGTGTGTGTGTGTGTGTGTGTGTGTGTGTGTGTGTGTCATGAAGATGTCTAATGGGCAACATCGTGTTACCAGCATAAAACGCTACTTGTGAGCAAACTGCAGAGCAGCAGGCAGCGCTTTCATCACACTGTCTCTAAGAGCCTCTAACTCTGACTGCTGGTGCATCTGCATCGGTCTTCAATACTGAGTAATTGTTGTGAAATGAGGGTATAAGAGCCATGGCATTAAATCACATATATGGATGCCACTAAAATGTTACAGAATCATATGTGTTTATTCGTCCTGGGACGTTTCAAAGCGTCTTCGCTCATCATGAAAGTGTTTAGGGTGTGGTATCGTTGCCTCATTGCTGGTGATATCGCGTTAGCAACTGTTAACCTACTAATGATTTCAGAAATTAGGGGTTTTCAGTCTACTATGGAGTTCAAAATCACATGAGAACATTTCCCAAATGTTGTTTTATCCTGTTGTATTAACTGTAAACGCATACACACACTAAATGTCCTGGAGTTGTTTCAGCTTCTCTGTAATCAACAATTTTATTATAGGTTTCCATTTTCTCTGTTAACCAGTCATTACGCTCAGTAATGAGCTTGGTGTGAAAAGCCTCACATGCAGCCCACCACTCCCCGTCGCCTTCAGGGAGTCTGAGTGCAGGTAAATCACCGGCACAGAGTGTCCTCGCTGGGCCTCTGCCCAGAAGCCGTGGGGCGACTGTGTTTTCCCGGAGCGGGGCCAATATCAAAGCCCTTGATCCAGAAGAGCCCGAGGCAACCAACAGCCCTCAGCTCTGATTGACAGAGCAGATGCAAAGTGATTTTATGAGAGAAATATCTGTGTTTTGTTTGACTTTTTGCCAGAGACCTCTTGACAATTACTCGTTTTTATCAACAATCTTCCCACCATAATTATGAATCGCACAGTGGCAGGGCGTAATCATGAAAAGCATGATGAACAAATAAACAATATCTTAAAGGAACAGTTTGTAGGACTTAAAAGGGTTTATTGGTAGAAATTTAATATAATATTTATAACGATTTTTTCTCCCTCTTCACGTAGGCCGCCATGTTGCACCGCCATGTTTTTACTGTATCGCAGAACGGACAGGACGAAGACTCACTCCATGTCAGCATTACGTTATCCGAATGTCACTTCAGCCCTCTGACACGCTTTGAGGGGGACGGGGGGGGCAGTGGAGGGTAATTCACTCGGACGCAATCTGCAACCTCACCACTAGGTGTCACTAAATCCAACACACTGCTATTTTGTGTAAATTGCTTAAATTGCTACATTGCTTAAAACTGGGAATATTTATCTGTGAATAAATATTGGTCCTCTGTAGGGTTTGTAGCCTGTAGGCTTTGTTCTCGATGCTGGTGTGGTCGTACTCGCGGCGGCGGGGGACGAGGTCCCGCTTTGAAAGGCCATCATGGCGGAGTCCATCTTCTTCCTCTCCCAGCTGGTGAACCCGCTGCTCACGTTGAAGGGGATCATCACCAAGCCGTTGGAGGCTTTCCTCACGTTCTGGGACCAGCTCTGGTTCTGGGAGCCAGCAGGTCTCCGTTCAGCAGGGTCTCATCTGTTTGCCTTTGTTGGAGTTCAGAACCCTTTTTGGGGCTTCTCTTTGTCCTTCTTTCTCCATGAAGGAGCAACAGCAGCCGCAGGCGTCTTCAGGGTCGTTGTGAAGCTGCTGTGAAGAGACTCCTTGAAGCTTGATGTTTGACTCGGTTCAGTTCAGGTCCTCTACAGGTGTGTCTGCAGGAGGATGATGGGTCGAGGTCTACACTGCTGGGCCTGAACAAACCTCTGAAGACACACAGACAAACCTGCTTTTACATGTAACAGCTGATCTTCTTTGCACCTTTATCTGCATAGCTCCTCCTTGGCAAGAGCAAGGGCTTTTTTCTTTAGTTTACACGTGTATTTTTAGCAACCTTTACCAAGTTAATGTTCAAATTAAACGTATGTGACCTAAATACAGTGGCTTCACTCTCTGATGACCTGCGTAATTGAAATCCCCTGTGCGCGTTTTATGACAAGCTGTTGAAGTCGTAGCAAAAGCTGCGTGTCCCTCTGTGAGGATGATAGACGGCCTTTTGGATCTCTTGCATATGTAGAAGATGGTAATAGGTTCCTGTGGGACAAGTGGCTGTGAGTCAAAAAAAGAAGAAATAAGAATACTAAATTGTGTGAACAGTCCAACCTATTGTACAAAGCAGATGAGACGATGCCAGTGACTGCATCCGTTCACTGAGGCATGCATGCTAATTTATTTAGTATTTAGTGTTTCATGGAATCAGTTTTACATCAGTCTGACTTTTCTAGTTTTCATCTTTTCCTCACGCATTTCTTAATTTTAGGATGAATGGGGAAGGCCAGATAACTGGCATTCACTTCATTTCAGCCCTTAAAAACGTCTTGGTTCTGTAATACATTTTACAACCCAAGGGTTTATTTGTTAATTGGTGTTCAGAGTGGTACCAAGGATGTGCTGTGTACTTTTGTCTCATGAAAATATGGTGCCTAATTTGCTGGATTTGATTATCATATACAAACCGACTACGCCTCCCTTGAATCCTGGCTTCATATAAAGTGTAAAGATGAATTGTGAAAAGAATGTGTGTTTTCTCTCAATCCCCCTCTCCCCTCCCCCCCAATCTCATCAGCCACCGTGATTAAGGTTTGGCATTGGGGATTGTGCTGTCTTTTTGGAGAGATATTTCAGCTGCATTTCTGACACTCTGAAAGGAGAGGAAGATAAAGGAGGCGTCGGGGAAAAAACTCCTTCCCGTTGTGTGAGTCCTAGAGAGGGCCTTGAACCCTGCCATTCACGCCTTTCTCTCCATCAGCTGAGTCTAATTGCCAGAGAGGACAGGAGACCCCGGGCCCGATCGTTCCTTATCCTCTTTAGCGCTTTCAGGCGAGTGAAAGGCGAGCTTCTGCTTTTGATCTTTTCTCTGATTTGCTTTTTCTTCTCTGTCATCCCTACCATCCTCTCCTCAGGAGTGACACCAGCTCCTTTCACTGCCTGCCCCCGTCTCCATCTGCCCAAAATAATGACCAAGGCCCAGGCATTATTAAACAGAGGTGGAGAAGGGAGGTCAGCGCTGGGAGAGGGAGAGGGAGGTCTGGATGGGGACTCAAAACGTGTCTAAGGAGGGGTGCCCCTATTCCAAATCTACTCCGTAGCCTCTCTGTGTTCCCCTGGATTCATCCCTTACAGTCTCCCTGGCCTCAGCCTGGAGAAAGCCCATTCTTTAATAGACTACGGACGTGAAGGCCCGTCCTTTCCCAGAGGCGCTGCTACAATGAGACCCCAGGCTGCTTGAGACAATAAGGTCTGTGTGATCTCTCAGCCAGCCTCGGGATGAGACGATGCCTCGCCTGCCAGTCCCATGGGAGGGTAGAGCCAGTGGTCATTGTTGACAGCTAATGGACAGCATCTTTCCACTGGTAGGCCCCCCTGCAGACTGTGTCATTTTAGGTTGCTTAATAACAACACTCAGGCCGGACCGACTGAGGAATTCTATCAAGAACAGCAGTTTGTTTGCAGATGAAAATCATTCCCCTTACAAATCTGAAAAGCCAACACTGGGGGGTTATTGGATGAATGCAGCCAGCCAGAAAAGGCGGTATTCATGGGGGGTGGGGGTTCAATATAACTTATGAAAAGAGAAACTGGTCATATGACTGAAAAGACCACAATTAGAATCACTTCTTTCAGCGGGAACAGTACATTTACAGGCGTTGTTTTTTCTTCAACCAGAGCAGAGACACGCTGATCACTATGGCTGTCGTCCCAACGCCGCTCAGTGCTCTAACGCGTGCTGTATATTTAGTCATTATTGATACGCATGTGCGCTTTCACTGCAATAGTAAACGTTTAATGCTGTTAAAGCCTCTGTAATGGATGCAAACAGTGAAGGAGACTTTGTTTTTTGTCCTCGGTGCGCTTGGGCTGTTCATCGTACACACTGAGGGGCTTTGTGCTACAGATGACGTGTCGCTGAAGGTCAGAAGTCTGAAGGTCAAATATGTGACATCTTTTCTTTCATGCGTGGCCAAAATCCCAATAAAGCCGAAAACAGCCGTTAAAATATTTTCAAAAAACATCAGCATTTGTTAGACTTATTGTATTAATCCTTTATTGTAACTGTGTAAGATCAGGTTAAATGTTTTTATCTTCTGCACGAAAATGCAAACATTTTTCCTCTTGTGGGTTTCACTGTTTTGTTCATGACTTTTACTTTACAAGTTTTCATTTTATAATGATTTTTTTTCAACCTGCCTTACTATGACTTTTTCAATAGCTACTCTATGTCTATTTTATTCTTCTTGTGGGATCTCATTTTAAGGCTTTGAACTTTCAAATGACTATACTATGTCATTTGAATACTATGATTGATGTAATTTTGTTTATAACTTTCTTGGATGGAGACTGTTTCCATGACTTCCTTTGACCTGCGGTCAGATCATGCGTAACCTCCAGGGAGTCCAGACACTGGTGGTGGTGTTGATATGGAAGCAGTTGGATGAATGTGGAGCATGAATATGATGCTGACTGGTGACGACTGAGGTGGAGGAGGGTCACATCCGATTGTCCTGCAATGACAGTTGACAGTTAACTTCAAGTTAAACACCAACAATCAGCCGACCACAGAAGAAGAGAGACAGATGATAAATAAAAATAGTCTGGAGATTCTTGTTTTTTACTTATTTCCAAATACTATATTATGCCTTTTTTGACACACTGTACTATAATGTTTACAAAAAACTATTATATAGATTTTTTTTATCATTCTTTTTTGGAGGCACAACATATTATTATTAGTTTTTAAACATAATTTACTATGACTAAGAACAAACTGTTGAGTTTTTCATAACCTTTTCAAATTTCATAATATATTTTTTTGTTTTTTCTATAGGTTTATTGCTTTTCTTTTAGACGGGCTATACTGATGATTTACATGCTTTCCTACACTGACAAGTATTACTGTAATGTATTAGTTTATTTTTTTAATACTGTACTATGATTTTTTTGCCGCACATTTTTTTCATTATACTATAATGTGACTCTTATTTCTTTGTCTGAAAAACTAAACAATGACTGTTTTTGACATGCAGTACTGTAACTTTTTTGTGACAAAGACTGGAAAAGACTAGTGAATGTTAATTCTCCCCACAGGAAGTTTTAGACCAGTATGCCTCATATGTTCAGACACGGAAGCGATTATTTAAATCGTCAATGTGATGCACCACTTTGACAACAGGCAGAAATATTAACAGATTAACGAGTGGCTTCAATGGGAAAGGGAAAGTCCCTGCACTAAATCTTATCTTACTATATGATGAGAAAAATATATAATATAATACTGTGGCTTTTTTGGGAGAGACCTACATTACACACGGCAGGACCAGATTTACATATTCTTAAGATATCATTCAACTAAACTTTCCTAATTTAATTTGACAGCCAGTTGTTGACCTCATACAGATGTTAATAAAAGTTCAATATATATAAACAGAACTAAATCAAGTTATCCATTATTTGCATCAGTAAATCCTCTCAAACCTTGTTGAATATTAATTAAACACCCCTTTTCTATACTATGAATTTAATATGACAACAAACAATAATCTAGTTTGTATTTATGACTTTTTCCGACATACAATACTTTATGAAATCTTATACCTTATTTCAAAATGGGGAAATTTTCTTCTTCTTGAAATATTATACCATGATGATACGTCATGACTTTTTTTCAATGAACAAGGAAACTATTACTTTTCAAGACTAGTTGTGACCTACAAATATGTATTTTTAATAGATGTTAAATGTTTTATTCTCATTGACAATCTGATCATTTAATCAAAATATTTCTTGTTTAGGTATTGCAAAGATTTAAAATGAAATTTAAGGCCTTTAATTTACAAAATGATGCACATTGATAAGACAGAAACCTTCACTGTCCATTGTTTAACAAACAAATAATAAATGCTAATAGACAATAAATAAAACATCTTCAGGCAGTCAAAAGGTTTCAACAAATAATACCGGTTCTGTTCTACACAATCTAATATAATGTAAAACGACTAAAATTCTGGATAAATATCTTTAAAAAAAAAAGAAAAGCTCTGAAGCGATGCTCAAAGTACCTAGACAGCATTTTGCTTCAGTGGTATTTCCTTACTCTGAGTTTTCCCAGCATTATCTGCTTGTCTTTTATTTTGCACAATCATTCAAACATAAAAACGGTGTCGTTCGACTGTTACACTTTCCATGGGAGCAGATGGTGATGTTTTTCCGGTACACCTCTTCTCACCTCGACATCTGCATCTCCATCCGGTCAGTTGCTCCTCCATCAACCATTCAAAAGAGGATCATTGCATAATGTTCATTAAAATAACAAAGATACGCAAGACAAACCTGGAGACTTATCATCATAGTTCCCACGGACTGAATAAGTCATATTTTTAATGTATGGATATGTGTGTTAAAGAAGCACAGGGATCCGCCATCGTTTTAAGAGAATAGTTGCAGCCTTTAAATTATCCCAAGAAGAAAAAGACAGACACACCAACTTGTTTCCAACTATGCTGCTGTTATGCAAAGTGTTTACATCAATTAAATCAGTCATTCATCTATAAATAATAAAGCAAGATTCTGTCCCTTGCGAGGTAGAACATCTATTTGGAGATGAGTAGATGTGATGTGATTAAGTTGTGATGTTTAGTTTTTGTTTTAGTCTTTGACACACACACACACACACACACACACACACACACACACACACACACACACACACACACACTCACACACACACACACACACACACACACACACACACACAGACTTTTTCTTATATTCTTCACTTAAATTATCTTATTTTTTATGCCTACAATAAACAACACAACAATCCGGAAGTTGTCACATTATCACAATGGTGTAATCAAAAGAATTACAGACCAAACACGGGTTCAAAAGTTACTGAGGAAAAAAAAACTATCCACAAACATTTTGGCAGATTATTTGGCACTGAGGCAATACAATAATAATCACTTGTGTGTAGTGTATGCGCCGTACGGTTTGCATCAGGCATTTATATCTACGTAGTCTGCCTTGTTTCCACAGCAGCCATTCAGGTTTTACGTTATCTGAGCTCAGACACAAACACACACACAGGTCGATCAGATGTGCCGCTGTGGTGGACTCCACCAAGGTAATAGTGACTATACTTGTTACTGTACATCAAAGGAAACATTTGAAAGTAAAAGAAAATATCTGTTAGACAATAAATCTACGCAACAAGAACTGAGATGCAAATTAAAGTGTACAATCAACTTCAATTGTCCATCACTATGTTAAGCACATCCCCTAAGACAGTTCTTTATTTGGTAAACTGTTCTGCTGGATGAAGCAGTCAGGAGGACAGAAGACAGCAAGGTATCTCAATATACATGTCACAATACAATGCACAGCAACACATTTTGATGCATTACACACTACTTTACTCTTTTAAAAAATATGGAAACAGCTAAAACACAACTTGCCGTTTCCTGGATACTGACATACATATGTCACATTAATAACTCTCAAACTACATCAAAAGCTACAGTTGTCCTCAACATTTATCACCACCTATGTTGCAAATATGTACAAATGTTCACCTGTTTTCAATATCAAGACTTGGTGGCAACAGGCACTGACGTTTATGGCTAAGTTCTCATACTCCACTACTACTGACCCACACCTCAAGAGAAGCCGGCTACATGCTGCAAACCTGTTAATAAGCTATAGAAGTTGTGGGATTCTATTCTGTGGAACTTTTTGGCCCAGCTGTACGTCTGGCGGAGGAAGTAAGAAGCATCTGCTGAGAAGAAAACCCGGCCTGCAGTGAGATGGATTCAATCAAGAATCAGGAAATCCAAGGAGAAAAAAAGCTGAAGCTCAGGCATCATTGACAAAAATACCTCAAAGTCAACCGAGGCTTGGTTTCAGGAAAGGTCCTGGAAGGTTCTAGAGTGGCCGTCACAGTCGTCGCCTTGAAGCCCGAAGAAAATTCCTTGTAAGATTTGAGCAGCACGCAAACCCAAAAATAATAGAAAGCTTTATTTTGAGTTTTTGCACCAAAAAATGATTAATGGCGTCGATCCAATATGTACTGCATGGGGACAATCTCTTGGGGGAGTTGTGCCTAAGAGTATCAAAAGTACATTTTAATTTCTATTGCACTGCATCTGACTGTAATAATAAATTATGAATTTGATGAGCGTGACACAGCAACACATTAGCCAAGAGAACCCACTGGGATGCCCTGAAAATACCTCCTTGAAATATCTCTTTAAGTTTAGAAAGAGAGACGTTCTGTTCTTGTCTTAATTAACGTCAAGTGCTGGAAGCATTTAAGTGTTTATTTCATGCGCTGGCTGCCGCAGAGGAAAAGAATAACTTTCTTTTTTTTTTCTTTTTTGTATTTTTCCATTTTCCTCTTTATTGATTTAGTTTTTTCGTATGTCGGAGTGAGAAGCTCAGGCTGGAGTGTGATGGATCCTGCCGTGCAGGAGGAGAGGAGGGGGCGGGGGGGGCAGAGTGTTAGGTCAGGCTGATAGAGATGTCAGCACTGCTTCAGTAATCTCGTGACGCCCAAGAGAGCGGCAGAAAGAAGAAAAAAAGAACAGGGAGGGGTTTGGGGAGCGGCTGAAAGACCCGCGGCTTGGTGACAGCAGAGGCCGAGACCACCCCAACAACGGCATCGGGGGATGTCGGCGGGGGAGGGAGGGAGGGCTGGCATGGGGGTCGAGGGTGGGGTGGTGTGAGGAGTGGAGCCGGAGGGGGGAGCTGATCTTCAGTTACACATTATGGCTGATAGTTAACCCTCCTCCCCACAACAATGTGTTAGAGAGCGAGAGAGTGGCGAGCCAGTTACGGAGGCAGTGGAGGGTTTAAGCCTTGTCTACCTCATTTAACATCTCCATCAGAAGGGAGTTATTTGCTGTGGTGCCGACTGAAATGTGCCTAATGAAAAACACAGGGTTAGGGATGAAACAGGGGATCAAATAAAATGAAATGAAAACATATCTTAAACACGGCCTTTTACACTTTTGATCTGAATCTGTAATTGTAAAGTATTTTCCTCATTTAAATATTTTTTGCAGCACAGATTTGTACAAATCTTTACAGACACGGTGTCCACGCTCTCCTCACATGCAGACGTATCGCTTTGCTGCCATGTGCTGTCATAAACATTGTTCCGACAGAAACAATGTCATGTTGTGTACTAGGCTGTAAAAGGAGTCTGGCTTCCTGTTGACCCCAATAATGAAATGTGATGCAGGCGCTAGATGGATATCTGCAGTGAAATATCTCTCCCGTCTCACTGGCTGCAGCCCAGACGTCGCCTTCTGCTCACTCCCGCTGTAAAACGTGATTTGCGGTGTTTGGCCTTTTGTCCGGGATAATTATGTTCACCATTAGCACGCTTGCTTTTGCTATTGTTTACGGTAATCTGAGACGAAGGTGCTTAGAGATTTTGTGGCAATATTGTGAGCTATATGGGGGGTAATTAATGCCACAAATAGATACAAGACTTTAGAAAACATATTGCTACATATTATAGTAGTTTAATATTATATAAATACACCTTAAACCTTTTCATTGCCATTATCAGCTACAGTATTAGCAAGCAGGATACCTAAATGGGTCAATTTAGTGTGAAGTTTGAAAAGGTTAATACAAATAATATAGCATATTTCTTTAAACGTAACTGTAATACTTTGAATCTCTTAGAGCGCCAGTATTTGGATAATTTTAGTGCGAATGTCAAACTGCACTTTTATTGGGGTTGGGGGACCTACTTGCAGTCCCAACATCCTTTCGTGTTGCTTGTGCTTGTCTGTGGCGTGACTAACACCTCATACCTGGGCAGCATTCCAGCATCCCGGCATTCCCTCCATCCTCTTTGTGTGAGCTGCAGAGATAACTGCAGGACGCCCATCAGTGGCGGGGCTCAGATAATTACTTATTGATAGGAAGGGATGCTGGGTGTCCCCTGTGCACATTAGCATGATGCTAGTTGGTTACAGCACCGCTGCTTAAACCGCCGGAGCGTAGCTGAGTCAATTACCTGCACAGGGCCTGTGCACAGAGGTTGCATTGCTATCAGATTTACTTTCTATACCTTCTATTTACATTATTGTTGTATATATATTAGAGGGATATATTTGCCATGGTTCCTCAGTGAACCAACATTTTTCGATGTCATTCTCAACTTTGTCAAGAAGGACTGGATCATATTGGTATACAATACTGTATACAAATCTGTAGCATTGACTAAATGCATGACCACGTATTTGTATATTTCTAAAAAAATGTTTATTTTCTTACACAAACAGCTCTGCTTCATATTCTCCCTCCGTCATTATGATAAAAGCTCAGCACATCCAATGGAGATGGAGAATTCCCACCCATTACCCAGTTGACATCCACGTACCCTGAGATGAAAAACATTTCTTACGGGGCCAAAGAAATAAGTCTGACGCATCAAGGGAGCTTGCGAGAGGGGAGGGAGGGGACACGGTTTGCGAGATTCCCAGCATGTCCACAGATGACAGTCCTTCGCCCAGGGCTGGCCGACGCAGCGACATTGTGCGCCTGTCATAGCTGCCCTTCAACAGCAGATGAAGCTGTCAGCAGGACGATGACTTTATTCTGACAGCCGCTCCACCCTCTCTCTTCAGAGCGTTGCAAATAAATATGTTGGGTTTCAAAGCTGCCAAGGCAGACGTTGCATAGTGGGTCAGGGGGCCAAACGCGCAGTAAAAGCATTCCCTTCCCCTCGTAACCTGTTCTCAATGAGCCTGGTCACCTCGCCAGGGCACCCATTCAGCCTGAGCCATCCAAAGGGCCCCAGGGCCCCAGATCTCACACACTGCCTGCCGGGGGAGCTGTGTGAGGCTCTGTCTCTCTCTCTCCCCGTGACAGCCATCACTCTCTCTCTCTCTCTTTATCTCTCTGTCTCTCTCTCTGTTTCTGAGTGAATCTCTGTGTTTGCCACATTGCAGAGCCAAAAATATCCTCAGCACAGAGAAACAGCGCGTACACCAGCAGTTCAGGCCGTTTATGACAGAATGTGACTCAGACTGATGAGGAAGAATAGCTTTTCCCCACCGACGCCAAGTCTGAAAAGAAATATTTGTTCATAAACTTTCTCTTGATGATGAAGGGGACATTTCATCATCAGAGCAGCATGCAGGTGAAAAAGAGGCGCTGGTGGTTTGAATGGAGCTGACAGTCTGCAGGGTTGGAGGCCTCTTCCTTCTCCTCTCACATCCTTTTTCTCCTGAAACCGTGACTGTTTTCTCACTTTATCTTCGTTTTGAAACCCAATATAAAAATGCATATATACCATATATATTTATATGCATTTTTATATTGTATGTTTATCAGCGATCTTTTTAATACATTTGATACATTTGCTAGCTGATTGTACACATATTTTTTTCTTTATTATCAGTCCAAACTTAGTCATATAAGTACTATATTTTAAAATGTACATTGCTTTGCATACAGCCACCAAAGTAAGCTAAAGATTTTTTTTTTATTGCGCATTTTGCCTTCATTTCATAGCAACAGCATTGTGAGGATTGACATTGAAACTATATATCCACCATGTCTGTAGCAAAGGCTAAAGCCAGAAATAAGGGTCATTTAACATTACGTAGGGAATATTTGTATTTTAACTCAAATGTGTTGCTGTCTTACAGATGGGCTCAGCAAGAAAAAAATGCTGGAACCCACCAGTGGAAGCAGAGTCCATTTCACTACTCAGTTATTATATAACAGATTACAGCCTTCCATTATATAAGACATCTAAATGGAGAAACTCTTTTTGCACTCAACCAAAATACAAAACTGATGCTGTTTTTTGGATTAAGATTCCTTTGTTTCACATCATGGATTTACATCTGGGCGTTTTTGACAATATCATTTATTTATATGAGACATTGTGTCCTAGTGTCCTATTATAAGAGCAGGACAGCGGACGGTCACACAGAAACTTAAAATCCAGATGAACTTTGAACACAAAGGCAACAAGCATGAGCCATCAATGCAAGTAAAGGCTTTCATATGTAATCATGTGAAATACGTGCCGCTAATGCTGTTATAAACATCACTAAAAAGAAGGCCTATGAAGCCAATCATATGTAAATAAACTCAAAGAAATTCAGCTCAATGCCTCAATGTGCCACAATTAGAGATGCGTTTGAGCTTTGAACTGATTTACCTACATCACATTTCCCCTCTAGACTGCACGGATTTAGGAATCCAAATGTCTTCTTAGATACACTTGCATTCCATTTTCATTAAACTCTGTAGTCTCTCCCCTAAATAACTGTACATCCACGTGACTCAAGCTTTAAAATAACAAGCAGTATAATTATTTGGCACTTTCCTTCATACTGTGTTTAGAGAATAGATTCCAAGCCGATGATGCATTTTAAACTGACTTTTATAAATAAAAAGAAAAAATGTTGATAATCTTAATTTGATGTGTAATTTTTGTCCATGTTTTTGCTGGCAATTGTGGACTTTGACCAAACCACATGAGGTTCTGCGTACTGTGATGCATTATGACCTCTGTGCGAGATGCTTAACGCTGGCAGGACGCAAAGCTTCACAACATCACCGATTGCTTTCAGATCAACACACTTCCAGCTAGCGGCCCGATGGAGACAGAGACCCAGTTCCCTCACCTCATGTCTTAGATCCATTGCCATGTGATCTTTGAACGGGGAGAAAAACAAAAGCGACATCCTACAAGCTAAACTTGAAGGATTTCGATGATTCTCTGTCGTCCAGTTGGCCAGACCAGCAAGAATGCAGACAATCAGTAGTCAGGAGACCAAGAGGTCACAGGTCACAGCACACGGACAATCTTCTCGTGACCCATGAATGATCATTGATGATTAAGAGGTGCTGAGAAGGAAGTCAAACTATTTCTGTCTTTGTTCAGAACAATGCTACACGACAGGCGAGAGCAAACACAGGAGACAAACAGTCCTGCCATAACTCTGACGTCTGTGAAGCTTATAGCCGACTGCATACCATCCATTTTTGTTGCAAGTGATGACGATGTGGTCATTTGGTTCGGTATGTGTCTAAAATGGAGTTAACCCTCTAATACATAAATATGGTAGACTACAAACACTCCACCCTGCAAAGAGGCTCCTCCAAACTGCCACGAGATCAACCGCAGGTGTAGTCAGATTAGAGATTTGGGAAAAGGAAACAATTTCTGATACCTCACAAGTATTTCAAAATGAAAGAATCCTATTTATTTGGCCAACAGACAGATAATGCAATGAGAGGTTTTAAGGAGAGACGTCTCTTTGCTGCTAACAACTCACAGACATCTGGCTAACAGTCACAACTTGGGTCGGTAGCCACTGTTTTAATCAAAAAAGGGAAGAAAAGTATGTATGTATACACTCACCAACCACTTTATAGGTACACCTTGCTAGTACCGGACTGGACCCCCTTTTACCTTCAGAACTTCGTAGCATGGACTCAACAAGGTGTTGGAAACATTCCTCAGAGATGTTGGTCCATATTGTTGAGATGATATGATCACACTGTGGTCATAAAGAGATGGACAAAGTCAGCAACAATACTCAGGTAGGCTGCAGCATTTAAAATATATGCTCAATAGGTGGTAACGGACCCAAAGTGTGCAAAGAAAATATCCCCACACCATTACACCAACACCGGCAGCCTGAACCGTTACGAGGCAGGATGGATCCGCGCGTTCATGTTGTTTCTGCCAAATTCTCACCACACCATCTGAATGTTGCAGCTGAAATCAAGACTCATCAGACCAGGCAACGTTTTTCCCAAACTTCTATTGTCCAATGAGCCTGTGCCTTTTCTCCCCCGTTCTGATGCTCTGTTTGGACTCTAGCAAGTTGTCTTCACTATGTGTAGATGGCTGAATGCGTTGAGTGCTGCATGTGATTGGGAGATTACCAATTTGTGTTAAGAAGCAATGGCCGGTGAATATATGAGACATATATATATAAACAGTACTTGAATGCTCTTCATTACACTGTCAAGAAAAACGGTGACAGTTATAATAACATATCACATATGAAAGAAGCAACAATTCAAACCAATCAGCTGCTTTGTTGCTTCCACAAAAGAACATTGTGTTGCTTTCAATGTTAGAACGTTTACAATCCTCCTGTATCTTGGACATTTTGAATGACTGACAATTCGTTTGTGACTTTGACATGTGCTTCATCCGATGAGAATTTACTGGGGCCTATTTTTCTCTCTGGACTCATCTGATTTACGTGCCATATTGTCCGATTTACGGCTTGGCATTAATTTCTTCATCCTGTGTGATTTTTCGCTTTGCTCCAGTTGCCTTTTGAATCCCAACAATACCCGAGAAAAGTCAAAGTGGCAGATGTACTTTTTCATAGATTTCAGCAGAGGCCCTTTCAGCACACGCTCTCAGAGTATCTAAATAAACAAAACACATAAATGTACGACATTTCACGTGGGCTCTGATCTATTGTCCATCTAAGCTATCTGTGTAATTAAAGATCACTGATTGCAACGTATTAGCGAGGGATTACCATGACTTTCCCCCTGCTTGTGCACAATAAAAAGCCCTAATCTCGGTTACTGGCTGAGAGGCGGGGCCACCGGGTCGGGGTCTGGCCAATGAGGTGCCCCGGTGTCCCGAGCGCGTCCCCGCCCATGTTGGTGTGTCCCGTGGCGGGTGCGCTGCGGCCCGGGCCAGGCAGCAGACGCGGTGACAGACGTGCCCCTGGGATTCCACCTGTCATCCGCAAACGCACTAATCGACATGCCTCGCATAAACTGAACTCTCTGCCACCCCTCTGTCAAATCCTCATCTTCTCATTCGTCTGACAGACTCCCTCTGCACCCCCCGCCCCCTTCGATGCAGCCCGGACTCCGCCCATCCACCAGCCTGCGTGCAGCACGCCAGCACGCAGCCTGCTTCTCGCAAACCCGCAGTCATCCTCTTCTCGCAGAAAGACGGGAGTGGGTTTGTCAGGAATAATGCCAAATCTTCTGTTCGGCTTCTTAACACTCTTAAACACCCCGCTCTGCACACACACACACACACACACACACACACACACACACACACACACACACGCGCACACACCCGCCACCTCCCTGCCTTTCAGCTGTAATGTGACAGAGGTGGGCTTTAATGTTCGGCAGTAATTGGGTAGGAGACGGAGAGCGCGTTTGGGTGGAGGAGAAGGAGGAGGAAGGGTCATGGTCAGGTTTCTCATGGAGGTTATTCTGCATCTGTCTCTTAGCAACGACAGACCCGTCTTTGTACAGTCCTAGAGATGATTGGTGCGGGGTTTCTCTTTTTTTCTTTTCCTCATTCTCCTCCTCGGTGGCTGAGACGTGTTTGGGGGGGGGGGGCAGCCTTCCTCCCACGTTTGCTGCTTTTAAGAATGTGTTATTCGCCTGCATCAGATTTGCTCGTTGAGGCGTGGCACTCACCGTGGCTGAGTGTAAATGTGCATTATTCACGTGAGGAGAAAAGAAGAGGAAGAAAGAATCCAAATTTATGATAATTAATAAATTGCCAGAGAGCAATTGAGACTCATGTTTACTTAAGCGACGATTAATAATCACTTTTTTAATTTAAGTTTGGATGAATTGATTGTTGTGGTTCCCTGAGCATCTCTACACTATCATATCCCCCTTTTCTCTGAGCTCCATGTGAGGAAAAGGGCAGCTTGAGGTCAGAGGTCAGTGGAAGGAGCCGGGGGACCTCTTGATTCACACCGTCAGCTTGAAGACATCTGAGCAGAGAGCCCAGAGATGTCAGTCCCTACACACGGAAACAGGATTAAAAGGGCAATTTGAGGACAAAGGAGCAGATATAAAGGAAAAAAGAAAAGAGCTTTGACTCCTCTTCACAAGGAATTCAGCCACAGAGAGACAGAAAGACGGAGATATATGGACAGATAAATAGATAGAGGGAGACAAACAGACAGACAGATAGATAGAGATAGACAGACAGGCAGACAGACAGACAGACAGACAGACAGACAGGTAGATATAGACGGACAGACAGACAGGTAGATAGATATAGACAGACAGACAGAGTGAAAGTAGACAAACGATTTCCAACATGATTGAATGAAAATTAAAACAATGTAGTACTTGTCAAATGAAGGTATTAATCACAGGAATATTTCTCTTTGATCTGACCTGGTTTCCGCGTTCCACGTGGTTTGCACCGACTTTGCCTTTGAGCGGCCCTTTCCGCAAAAAATGTTTGCTTCTCAGATGTTCTGCCCGCCGGTCCGTTTAAGGCCAGCTTCAGACAGATGGAGCTTCATTTCAGCCACGAAAGTGCCTTTTTTTTAAATGATATGGATCGCACAGTAACGAAAGGCTCAAACCAAGGAAGGTGGCATCCGGCTGAGAGAACTTTCATCGACGCATTGAAGGCAGCGGTTGTGTGTCGAGGTAAAAAAGAACTTGATGGTGTTACTGCGCATCGGCCTGTGTGCAGCATCTGTCGTGGCGTGCAACTATTTCCCGAAAGGACAGAATCCACCGCTGAAGCGCAGTCATTGCGACAACAGCGCAAAATGAAGTAATTTAAGGAGTTGTGAGGGAGAGATTTAGCGCTCAGTAAAGCGATCATAAATAAAGGGAGAGAGATGCAGGGTCGTACACACAGAAGGGAAAACTAGAGGAAGAATGAAAAAGGTGTGCAAATCACATTTGATCGCACTAAAAAAATGTATGTATTCGTTGAAAATGATCAAAGTATTGTATTGATGTATTGATAACAACTACCAAAAAGTAAGAGCACACATTTTTCTCTTTCGGCTTATTAGCGGTATCACACACACGCACACGTGTACTATTCACTATCATGTGTATTGCCTTGTTGCTTTCCCACTCTGAAATCAAAGCGTATTTTTATTATTAGTAACTCTCAGCAAAAATACCCATGTAACTGAGTTATGTTTTTAAATGTTCTAAATGTGATGATTATTATTATTATTTTTTAGACTGGATTATCGCAACAGAAACTTGAGAACAAACAGTACATTTGAAATGTGATCATATAAAACATTCATGGATTTAAAAAAAGTTTCTCTTTTTGGACGGTACATTTCTTCCGGTGAAATCCTGCTTAGTAAAATTTAGAAAAAATGTTATTATCATTAAATTTCTTTATAATTACCATTCAGTATAATATTTAGCTTTGATATTATCCACAGTATTCTGTGAATATATGTTAATAAAATGTCCTCTGTGAAGAATGATCCATTTCAGCCACAAGTATTGACCTAAAAATAGTTGAATACTTTATTTAGGAGCGCAGCGGCTGTAACAGGATGAACACTTCATTCATTACATGTATCTCCATTAGATTTAATGTTATTAAATCCACAATGAGCAGCTCACGTCGAGCCAAACGCACATGGTTAAAAATAACAGCAACACGCCAGAAATAAACAAACAACAAACGGACGATATAAATGACTATGCAGACAAAATTTTCAAGGGAGTAAAAATCGCACCGTCGGCCTACAAAAGGCAAAGAAGAACTTAATAAAGGTGACGTAATCAAAAACGAGATTCGAGGAAGGGATTCCCATTTGATTTAATCTAAATGGATCCAAAACACGTATTTATTTGTAAACTCCTGGATTTATAGAATCTGTATTTCATGAAGGTAAAGTTCTTTCCACATATTTTGAAATAGGTGTAAGAGGGACAATCGTTAGTTTGAAATATGCCATTGAAACGGCTCCGAAAGTCCGCGTTTATTCAGAGTAAACTATGAGCGGAGCCACGTCCCAGCAATGAAACGATACTTATTTATTAACGCAGTATCGAAGCAGATGTAATTGCCACAGAAATATTGATAAATAAATAAATATAGATTTTCCTACATCACTTTGCTGTTAAAACTAAACCGTTCAAGGAGACAAATCACCGACAGTCCAGTAATTTAACCGTACGTATCTTAGTATATACAGCAGCATACCTCAGGCTAATTACATATTGCCCTATATAGATCATATATTGCCCTATATAGATCATATATATATATGTGATCTATATATATATATATATATGATCTATATAGGGCAATATGTATATGAATGGTGACGCGAATAGTGACAAGTGCTTATTTATTTTTAGGGGTAATGGCATTGATCGCATAAATACTACTGCTAGTGTGTGTTATCACTTGACTACTCTGAAGTGCGAGGCCTTGCCTCTAGATTGAATTGTCAGTCCTCACTTGACACAATGAAGAATGGAGAAGAAGAAGAAGGGGGAAAAAACAGTTTAGAAGCGATCTGATTGGCTGGTCGTTTCCCCTGCTGAGCGCTGGTTGGCTGGGCTCAAACCGCGCGGCCAATGGCGGCAGAGGACGGCGCTCCCGTACTTGTGACGCGCACCGAGAGACGGTAAACACGGAAGAAGGCGAGAATCCGTTTGAGTAACATTGCCGCTCGCTGCTCGCTGGTCCTCCTCCGGGCCGCTCTCACAGACCTCCTCGGTCTTTTCTTGTCTCGGACCTGGACGTGTGTGGGAAAAGGCGCCATTGTTTTGCGTTGGCCCCCTGGCCCAGAACACCCAGGGGCCGCGCGGCGCCCAGCCTCATCCTCCTCGGGGTAAACTGTTGTGACAGAGCACTCGGGGGCCCCTCATTAGCTCTCTGTCCACTAAGAAGCAAAGAAGCTGCTTTAATCCTCTCTGTCCTCCTCAATCAACACAGAAGTGATCATAATTCCGTTTTCATTCTGCTTTCTCCTCTTGTCTTTTGCCGAGTTTAACCACCTTTATGAATGAATACTAAGCTTGATGACAAAAAGAAGCCTGTTTGTTAAGAAGTGTTAACTCGGCGACAAGCACTGGTTTAACTTTAACTAACTGGATAATGCATTTGGCATTCTATCACTGTTTGTGTATTTCTGGATAAGAGTGTGTTTTTTTTCTTCTTTTTTTATCTTGTTATCTCTTGATGTTTTTATAGTAAAGAATGTATTTGGTCCAATAGTTGTTAAAATAGTGAGCAGCTGCTTTTGAATTAAATAAATACATCTTGTCAACATTTAGTTTAAACTGCCTGATCAAGTCCAGCGTAGCAGAGCTGCAGAGACATAGAAAAAAATGTCCTGTCTTCAAATAAGTCAATAGACTTCGCTTTAGCTTCCCTGCTTTGAAAGTCTGTTAAGTGACAATACTGCAGTGAGAAACAGGCTCCAGATCGCCTCACTCATGCTCACACACACGAAAAGGCAAAATAAACCAAATACACTTTATTTATAAATCTTGAGTTATAATTTAATACGGTACCAATATGTTAACCAATATGCTTTCACAGTACATCAGAGTGGTTGTCAAAGAAGAAAATACAAATACAAATACAAACACTCACTCTCTCTCACACACACACACATTCACACACTTTCTGTTCAGCAATACCCTGTAGTGGTTTATTGTGCCTTTAAGTGGCCTGGGCTCATATATGCACAAATTGTAATTAAATAGATCTTTTAAATGAGCTGCAGTTGTGTGCAGTTCTTTTCTCCCATGGACAGGATGAAGTATTGATCCAGTGCTCTTAAAACCTCTCTGACACTGTCAATGAAGCATAAATAAATCAGCTTCATTTAGTGTTTGGTAATGAATGAATTTACCGTTAATCCAGTAATGTTGTTGATTTTCCTTGTAACAAGTTACTAGTCAAAAGAAACCATTGACCAATGTAAAGAGAACTCAAATTCAGCTTTTTTTTAGGGTAAATTAAGAAAACATTAAACATTAAGGAGATAATTAAATCAGCAAGGAAATATTAATTAAAATATTCATGGAGATACAAATGTAAGAAAGTAATGATATTACCTATGAAAGGCGTAATGCATTACTTGGCGCAGCCTAACACTGATCATGAGAAGTGCATTTACCAAATGTGTTTTTGCTTATTTCTTTTCATTCTTTGTACGTCAACGATGCCGACAGAATAAGACTCCAAAGTAACTCAAACCGAGCATTAATCTCACCATTCCGTCTGTACACAGTTGAGCAAGTAGCTTAAAGTCAGTTGCCATTGAGTTTCTAACGCTTGCTTTAAATCTTTCTGAAATGTTCATTAAGTCCAAAGTGCCGTGTCTGGAAGGTATGAAAACAAAAAATCACAACAACAAAAAAACAACAGATCAACACAAGACGATCCCTGCCGTTTTCTCACTGGCGAGGGCAAAAGTACATAAAACATTTTAAAAAGGAGTCAAAACATAATTTACAAGCACGATAAATATACACAGAGGGTCCAATAAATATCGTTCGTTATCTCAGAACCAAAGACCGTGAGTGGTCACCACGCTGCGGGAAAAATGTCTGCCATTTTTGTTTCACCTCGAACACGTAAAAAAAAAAAAAATCCGCGGGGACAAATTGTTCAGCATCGGCTAAAAGGTTCATTCCTATCAGGGACCTTTCTAGACAAATAGTGACACGGTGCAGCATAAAGAAAGATAACCCCTCAAGGAAATGGCAGTTTGTACAAGATAAGAAAAGGATCAATTCCAATATTTTTCTTACATTTCAAATACCTGTCATTATCTCATTCCACTGGCAGTTTTCTTCCCCTTGTCCCGGCGCACTGACGTGACTTGCTCTGAGGTGTGGGACCTTTCCCTCTATTGAATAGGCATGTACGGCCAGTTGAAGCTGCTCCCGGACAGCAGCATGTCCCTGATCAGAGTTTCAATGGGCGTTTTCCCCACAAGACGGATGAAGAAGAGCTGCTCTATGACAGAGGAAGAGACGGTGCGGAGGGAAGGCAAGCGGAGCAGCAGCTTCCCAAACCGGTTGGGCTGGTTGGGATACTGGCTCCTCACGTACTCCTCTAAAGCACACTGGGATTTCTCCTGCAGACCTTCCACGTGCGCCACGTCCGACAGGCCGCAAGCATCTGCAGACAGAGAGAACGACACCGAGACAAAAACAAAGAAACAAGGCCGGAGAAGAAGCGGTCAGGATCAGAGGTGCAACCAGGAAATCAAAATCGACGCCAGCGGACATGATTGATGATTAAATGTTGCAGCGCGGGGAGGAAGGAACAAATGAGTGGTTGAAGTATTGTGGATTAACTGTGACCATCATAAGGCCAAAAATAACAACAAAATATAGCATTTTCTGGCAGAAATCATTATGTGTTGCTCTTGGACACGACTTTAAACTATTAACTTACACTAATCATGGTGTTAAAGAAACCGGCATGCAGTGTTACGGACAAATTAACCTTTGTGGCTGACTTGAACTAGTTTATTATCTTAAAATAAGCAGATACATCTGGGTGAGATGATCGGAAAGCAGTAACATAGTCAAATCACTCAAATCTGCTGACGTGGCCGCTTGGAATAAATTATTATCTCATCAATCTTGTGCGGCATAAAAGATCTAAATCAAATCTAAAAAATGACATTCGTAATAATAAATTAGAAAAACGGAAATGTATGGGCACAGGCGGAGTTCCATCCTGTGTAGCATGACCCCACTGTTTGTACTGTAACGCTGCAGGCCGGATGGCAGCAGGGGTTAAAGAACAGTTTCTGTGTCCCAGTTTAAAGACACGTGTTCAGATGTGCTCATTGGGATTAAAATAGACCTACACAGGAGACCTTCTTTTATCCAGTTGATACTGTTAATGACCCGGCCGTCAAACCCCCATTCTGACTGTTACTCTGACACACGGCATCACTAATTTCACTAAACGTCGTTCAGTAGCTGTGAGATCAGAAAATATAACAAAAAAGAAATCTACTTACATTCATATTTCATAATTCCTTTTGAGGAGAGGACGAGAATTTGTTCGTTTTTTAAAAATAACCCACATTTAGTTATATTGCTATGAAAGTCATTTCTGTTAATTTCCGCGCCTTATATTTGTGACTTAAATACTAGTCATTAAAATCATATGTTAGATTTATATCAAGCAACAATGGAATAAAATGTTATCCGTTACGCTATCAAAAACTCTCAGCCCTGTTTTTATTTGTAAAAGCTACTTTGTAATTCATTCAGTGTTTTATTTGTCAGGGGCTGCAAATTAGATGCAGTTTCTAAACTCACAAAAAGTCACTAACATTTCTTTTTTAAACTGTTAATAACAATAATAATTCACGTCATGATACCAATAAAGTTAACTATGTCCCTTTAAGGGCTGACAAAATGCCCGAGGGCATAGGTCAATGTGTTCCCTAGCAAATAAATTATATGATGACGTTATATATTTCTGGTCAGAGTTCTGATATACATATAATATAAATGATATACATATATGATAATAGATGAATATAAAATCTTCTGCATCTAACAGTTTCTTCCATTTGTCCTTTTTTACGCATTGATCAACATTTTCTGTAAGTTAACCCCCAGCGTACCTTGTCTTTACCAAAACATACATTTCATATATTTTAAAAAATACAAATATATTTGTGCTCTTAATCAGGGCATCTGGGAATTTCTTAGAAAACCAACAATTTATTTGAAAATATATTTAGATTTTTAACCAGCTGTTGTGTTTTTTACACCGCTTTAACGCTTAGACGTCATCATTATTATATTTAAATTGGCTAGTTATTTTGTTCCAACTTTTGATCGTATATATGTATATATATATATAATTTATATGATCTTATTTAATTAACCCTTTTCTTAAAAATCGTTTTTTGTAATTGTTCAACCATATTTTATATTGCTACGCATGCGCGATGCGGTCTAAAGTGATGTTTTTGGTGATATTTTTTTGTTTTGCTGTTCATACTTTTTCCCTGGATATCATGTTTTGTACAACACCACAGCCACTACACCCACTTCCAGACAACAAAGATGGAGGCTTTTCTCTACAAACACACCCAGAGAGAAAGAGAGAGAGAGAGAAGGAGAGAGAGAGGGAGGGAGAGAGAGAGAGAGAGAGAGAGAGAGACCGTTTACCTGTGGTGAACAGAACGATGGCCTTGATGCAGCTGTACTCCGCCGAGTCCACGTGTAGCACCTTGAGCTTCTCAACCTGCTCCTGGAAGACCCGGATGTGGTCCATGAAGGCCACCACCCTGTCCGCGGACATCGGCGAGGCGTGGAGGCCCGCGGCGGCGAGCAGCGGCGCCACGTGCACGGGCATGGAGCACTGGGCGGCGTTTAGGACGAACAGTTCGCTCCACGTGAGGCGGAGCAGGGCCACCTGGTCCGTCACCTGCAGGTCCGGGAAGAAAGGGATGTTGCGCGCCCACTCCACGGCGCTGAAGAGCATCCGGGCCGCCAGCTCGCAGATGTTCTCTATGCCCATGATGTTGTTGCTCTGCAGGCACTGGGAGCCGAACCTGGAGGTCGGGTAGGGCTCGGCCCGCAGCAGGAGAGAGATGTACCCCGATAGGTAGGAATGACACTGCAGGGGGTCTCCGTTGGTCAGAGCGAACTGGCCGTGATAAGACTGGGTCGGAAGTCTGCCCCTCTGGACAGCTGCGGAGAGAAACAGCGCACATGTCAGATGGAGCTAGAAGGCGATTAATCCCAGACAGGTGGCATTTAGAGGAAACAAATGCAACGACGCTAAGGACGTCGGAACGACACATTGTAAACACAAACGGGCCTCTCAGGCCATTGTATTTCACGTCTGCGGTCTACGTGGCGGACTAGCTCCTGTCAATTGAACGAGTGTTTTAGGCCGCTCCTGCAGAGGGAAAGTCGCATTTTTCTAGGCCACGACCTGCGGATGATGTCCAGCGAGAGTTTCTGTTTGTGAGTCGCAGCTCCCTCGTTTTAAATGGTTTTCAATCCACGCCAAAACTGCACCTGGCCTAGAAATCACGTGCTCTAATGTGAATTACACCCAATAGATACTTTATTCGCACGAACCCCACTTCACAGCACGTACTAAGGGCAAGGCCTCTGATTCTAACGCCACGTTCCACCTTATACAAACGTCCAGCGATGCTGTAAAACCCTCAGGTATCCTCGGCTTATTTGTGGATAACGGTAACAGCGGGCTACATATAGGCTGCCGGGCCCGTACGGCCATAATATAATAATTAAAAGCACACGCGCGCGCGCGCGAGTTCGCGCGCAGTTTGCGCTCACGGTGCACACATAATCTACCAACGCATGCACGCCATCTGAAGCTAAAAATACAACGAAAAAAAATAGAAGAAATGTGAACATGTGACATATGATGCGGACTCGGTCCGTCTGAGCCACACAATGGCTGCAGGACGGCCATGCTACAAGGATGCTAGGTCACCATTAATCTCTGCAACATCTCGGCTGGCTCTGCACGCAGGCTCGCGTGGAGACCACTAGCCCGCCGCTGATAAACACACGGTAAAAAATATATATATACACGTAAATGCATCTCCCATATCACTTAGAAGGCAAATGCACCACTGTGTCTAACAATGAATCATGTGGACACTAGCTAGCCTGCACGCAAATGTAGCCATGCACGACATTTACATCAGCTTAACAGCCGGTTGGTCAAGCGACCACATCGCGATCAACAGACAGCAGGAGGACGCCCGCCCGTACCTTCCCTCCTCATGCCCACTTTCAGGCATTTCTTGAGGCGACAGTACTGGCACTGGTTGCGGTGGTGCTGGTCCACGGGACAGTTCCTGTTGGCCCGGCAGGTGTAGGACAGGTTCCTCCTGACGCTGCGTTTGAAGAAGCTCTTACATCCCTCGCACGTGAACTGTCCGTAGTGCTTGCCGCTGGACTTGTCCCCGCACACGATGCACTCGATGTGCTGGCTCTGCTGCTTGTCCATGGACGAGGAAGAGGAGGAGGAAGAGGAGGTGTTGTTGTTATTGTTGGCCGCGGCGTTGTTGTTGTTGTTGTTGCCGGGCGGGTTGGGCGGCGGCGCGCCTTGGTGCGCTCCGGCCGCGGCGGTGGGCGGCGGGATGTTATCCAGAGAGGACACCGGGTTCATGTGTCCCGTCAGCTCCGCGGGCAGAGACACCGGGGAGGAGAGCCCCCCCTGGGTGTCCCCGACGCCCTCGGCGGTTCTCCACGCCACCATGGCCATGTCGACAGTCTCCGAAAACTTTGCGCGGCCAACTCTTCCTCTTTTTTCCCCTAAAACGAACGCGCTCTTATTTGTCCTCGCGAATGACCAACACGCGCTCAGGAAAACCGCAGCATTGTTTGACAAAATTAAATGCAAGTTGCGCCCGACTAAAAAAAAAGAAAAAAAAAGAAAAAAAAAAGAAAATCAATGAGGCTCACGAGGAAACGACAATGTAATTATAACGCGCGACTTCACAAGTAAAGAGCCGGCAGTCACCCAGAAACCGCTTCGGCGCCGTCGAGATCGGCAAAAAAGAAAAGCTTCATTCAGCCCGAGATAATAATCACTTTAACATCCACAGCGGGAGGAACAGAGACAGCGGAGCCAAAAATCCACGACTACAATATCGTCCCCACCAACATGCATGTATACACACACGTATGTGTATACATAGACACACCGTGTGATCCGTTCTGTCCACTGTGTTCAGCTTTAAACAAGATCGGCGCGCGCGGAGAGGCTTCCTCGGAGGTGGCGTCGCCGGACTCAGACGCTGCGCGCTCGCCCGGTCGCTGAGAAGTTACAATAAAAAAGACACCGGAGGAGAGAGAGAGAGGGAGAGAGGGAGAGAGAGAGAGGGGATGCGATGGTTTGATGATTTTGATGATGCTTTTCTCCCGGGACGGAGGAAGAGAGCGGAGCGTCCGCGCGTCACAGGCTGTGACACGGTGACGTCGATGTTTGGGGGGCGGGACTAACGCGAGGCGATTTGGGTTCCAGTAGAATTTACTGCTGTTACTACAAAAGCGGAGTGTGCGGGGGAGTTTCTCAGCTTTCCTATTTGCCGGCCCTCTCCTAGTCGTCTTGTCTCTCATTTTGTCTTTTTGGGATGTATGAGCGCTGCACCTGCTGGACTACGGCACATGCAGCGGTTCGGTCATGGACGGGAAACAAACATTGTTTTAGCTCGCGCTCCATGAGCCTCTTAAGAGGAGCTCCTGCTCTTAAGGCAGCAGATGCTAACTGCAGTAATTTGATGCCACCTAGTGTCATGAGTAAATTACACAGGAAATTAGCTTTTTACTAAAGGGTTTGTATCATTATATTATTTCTTTATTAGAATATTGTTTTAAGTTTGCATGTGGAAGATTAGATTTCATGTGTTAAGGAAAAATATTATTAAGATATACACTGATCTTTACGACTGAACAGCAAAGAGAGCCCTTCTCTCTTGTGTTATTATCATTGCTTTATAGGTCATACGGTTTTGATGGAAGCCATGTGTCATACAAACATCTAAATATAAGTCTGATCTCATCCATAGGCCAGTTTCACCATGTAGAAAGTATAAAAGCATTAACTGGCTTAATGCAACCCAGTCTCACAGCAAAACGTGTTGTGGAACGTGGTATTCTCACGCTTTATCCCCAAAATCGTGACAATACTACATTTTATTTTGGCCCATTCATTTACATTGCCTTGCAACTACGTCACTAGAAACTAATAAACTGAAGGCCTTCTACATTCTCTGATACAATATTATGAAAATATAACACGCACTTCTTGTTAGAAATGCCATCGAAATGCATACAAATGCTGATGCTTTCTTAAAATATTGTGTTTTTCACAGATAACAGACCGACAGTCCGCCATTTTCTTTTTTTAGCTGAGGGGAAGTTGATAGTCACGTGACCTAGTTGCAACTAAAACGTTGCATAGTCACGCTTTCTCCCCAAAAGCGTGAGAATACCACGGTCCACCACGTAGCTACTACACGTTTTGCTGTGAGACTGGGTTGCTTAATGTCAAAATGCATGATTCCACACGCTTTGCATTGGTATGGTAGAGCGTTGTGTCTCCTCCACTTTTAGCCCCTATTGTGAATCCGCGTCGCAACACTCTGGGTGATTCCTGTCCGTTTACTCATTTTATTGCCGTTCAAGATTCAATTATCTTGGTGCTCATAGAGGCCTGCCATGTGAAAATGTCTGCACGAACCTTCTGCTGTTGACTCATGTTGCATGAGTCCCAGTGCGCCGTCACTTTCTTCCAGACGGCCGGCTCTGGAGTCATCCAGTGACTGCTCACACGCTCTCCCTCTCTCACGCACGCACGCACACACACACACACACACACACACACACACACACACACACACACACACAAGCTCTGCTCTGCCCGCTAACAAAACACACGGCTGACGTCTAATACCAATCAACAGTGGAAGGTCAAGGCTAAAGTGTGTACACTGGATGACAATGATGCATTCCACCACGTTTGACTCACTGAACTCTCTATGGGAAAGTCCAGTTAGCATTAATCACAGATTTGGGAGTTTTAAAGATGATCCCATCCCCCTTTTTCGGGTGATCTGTTGCCCTTTGACACTGATGTCGCACGGGGAGCTGAAAGGTAGCTAATTGGATACAAGTTGAGGGAAAGTATGGCCAGCGGAGACCTGCTGTGTGAGCAGAACCACCAGGATGCAAGTGTTTACAGCACAGTGGGAGGCGGGCGCTGGCTCGCTCTGCAGAGATCCGCAACATCTTTTTAGGCTCCAAGGTGGCCAAGTAATATATCGTTGAATTACGGCTCCCCGCTAAGCTGTTTACCCCCTTCTCACCAAGCAATGGCACCAGATGGCTATCTGTTAAATCCACCCCGCGTGTAACGGTAGGGAATATGCAGTACATCGGTACGACAGTCCTGCTCAGGATGGGAGAAATAGAGCAATGACAGCCGCTGTAATTATCTTCAGGATGAGAGCTAAATAGGACAAATACACAAGCACACGCACAGACGCACAATCAGGATGGTCAAACGTTTTTAATTGGGAAATGCAGCAGTAAGCTTGGCATTTACAGTCAAAAGTGTAGTGTAAGCTCATTATGTTAATGAGATGAATGGTTGCGATCTAAAAGTACACTGTAGCCTCGGGTAACCTCTGGCTGTGCCTCTCACTGGTGTAAGGCACGGCACAACTAGGCTCTCCTCCGGCAATGTGGAGGAAGCGTGTGATTGCATGTGAAAATCAAACCAAAGGCTAATAAATGGTTATTTAATGTGGCGTTTTTCAGTTGGAGGTAAACAGAATAAAATGTGTAACGCACAAGTGAGTGACAGAAAGGCGGGAGGCGGCGGAATGCATGCTGGGAGGGAGGGCAGGTACAGAAACACGCAGGCGTGACCTGGACTGACATACAGAGCGACCCGTTGTCTTCGTCATTCACTGGATGTCTGATGTGGACACGAAAAATCAAAATTCACGCCAATGACTAATAATTTAAGAGAAATAAAGGTTCAGCGAGTGCGGTTAGGGTTCTACCAAAGATCTGTTTCCTTACACAAATGCATGTGTGCATTCCCTGTTTTGCCACAAACTATTGTAAATCTCAGGTCAGAATTGAACTGTTTACAGTCTGTGATGCTCTCTTGGAACTGAGCTCACGTAATGTGACCAGGCCTTAACCCGTCTCGTCGGAACTCACAGGAGACTGAAGGAGATGTCCATAAGCTGCTGATGGTACTCGCCCTCGTGGTCCTGAGGGAGTTCTAATCCAGTCAATGTAAATCAAAACACTGGCGTGCTTTGACCACGGCTAAGTAGAGGCTACAAGATTACATCCCATTTCAAGCGCTTTAGACGTTCATGTTTTATATTTAAAGTTTTACTAATGGTCGTCTGTATGAGCAAACAACTCTGTTGTATGTGAAGATATAGAATAGTGATGTGAACCTGAGCACTAAACTAAGTCTCTCCCGCTGCCTGTGTGTTGTTATCCAAGCTTTTCCGTGCTTAGTCTGCGTAGCCGGCTGCAGGCTCCTGCTGGTGCGTCGTTTGTGCACGTTAGCGTGATCCACTGGCGAGCCCCTGCTCTCCGTACCGAGCGTGTCATTTTTAATCGAGCGTGTTTAAATAAAGGTCAACGTATTACAAAGATCTGGTTTACCGTATATAGAACACTCACCGAAATTAGAAATATTATGTGCAGGTACTAAGAATCTGAACGCTTGCTGTTGACCTTGCAGCTTTTATAGCAAAGCTGGAATCTCGCGGCTCGGTCAAATTCTAGACAGATAACCTGTCCGTGGGATTATCGCTCCTTAGCCTCTTCTTTACCTGTGACCACTGAACCTTCTCTGACCCCAGGCTGCTGACCTTGGTCTCCTCGTGCGGGGGAATTGCATGCTTAAGAGGCCCATAGTACTTTTGGTCATTGTCCAATGATAATGCAACGCTAGTGATCCTCCCAGTTGTGAACGGAGCCATCCTGGCGAGGGATCCTCATTAGGACTCGTACAAAGCCGTACTTAACCTCTGACCTCACGGAGACCAGCACTCATTATCTCACCCAACATTAGTCCACGTGAGTGTATCATCGAATCCATGAACGAACAACTCAACTCTGAAATGAGACACAATCTTTACGCTAAAATAAATTCTACTTTTTTAATTGGCAAATGCTGTTGTTGCCTTCTGTTTCTTAATGAATCAGCATCAGCTCTTCAAATATTATGTTCATGTTGACTTCAACGAATTGCAATTTGCTACCATAAACCGGGGAAAGTGTGTTGATTGTATTTATAGACAAGAAAATACTGTTGTTGAGTGGTGTGTCGTGTATTGTGGCTTTTCATTGGACACTGATATGGAAATGTAAATAGGTGTTAAGTGTCACCATTCCCATTGCACACAGCACGCTCTGCTTGTTTTTCTTTGCTATCCATAAATAGATAAGATGATAACACTTTCAAACTTTAAATAATGCTAGTGACAAATTCCAGCAGGTGTTTGGAGGATTTATTATAATGTAATATAATGAAAGGAGATTCTCACAGTAGTTTCCTGTTGCTACGTGGCCAGTGCCGGGCGGTCTTGTGAGGTTGTGATGTACTGGATGTGTGAAGGCCAGAGGGGACACGGACAGTGCGACGCATGTCTGAATGAAACAGAAGCGGGAACAAAAGCACGCGAGATTTTCTTTCCAAGGTCAGGTGGCCCAAATGACTGTAAGAGACTGTCCCTTTGCATCTGTATGCATCTGGCAAACAGCTGCAGACAGGCAGGTTGCATAGTCCTTTAAAACGGGCATTATGCATGGGTAATTGCAATATAATTACTTTAATTTGGCATTTAACGGATGCAATGTTAGATTTTCCAACCACTTTCTCTGCAATACTCTCTTAGCTCTTCATTTTTTGTAAGCAAAAGCACAACAAAGACACAAGCCCTCCCTCTCCTACTTTTTACCCCCCCCAATCGCCATTCAAAGCAAAGACACGTCTTTTGTCCTTCACAGCGGAACGTTTCCTCAGACCGAGAACGCTGTCCGGGCATTTTCTTGATTGATCACGTATTTGCGTCTATTCATAGACGCCAGATTCATCATTCCAATTTGTCAAGTTGCTGCAGTGCTGAGTTAATTATGTGCAGGAGGGCCAGAAGAAAAGAGGACAGCCTCCTGTTTAGACTCATCCGAGTTTTTCCCGTCCTCACCTCGGCTCCAAACGAGCAGGCAAAAAGCTTCACCGGGCTACCGGAGCTGCCTGGCACCGTGGGTAATTAGTGTGATGAATGCTTTAGCGGAACAAATCGCGGCGGTCGCCTGTCTCGCTCATCGCGTGGCTGTGCTGTCGTACCTCGGGGCCCGTGGGCTCATCAGGGTAATGGATGATTCTTCTGCGGGACCATCCCTCAACCAACAGCGCCACTACTACTCAGGAGGAAACACTGGGTTTTACAGGGGTTTATTTTATTTCCCTGCCTGAAACAGCACACCTTCATTTCCTGAAGGCATCTATGCTGCTCATGGCTGCCAAGCGTGTGTTTGGAAGGTTACTGACACCCAATAACAGCTTAGTCAAGAAACATGTAATCAAGACAGGCCATTTTAAGCCCTGGACACAGGAGGTACAAAGGCGTGAAGTGACACATTAACATGTGTTAATACAGCCTCTGAGGACTGCAGACCTTGAGGTGCAAGCTCCTTCATTCTTACCCTCTGAGGGATTTGCTTCCAAGCCGCGGTGTAGAGCTGCTGAAATGATGGATCACATTATTAGATTACGGCGGCACGAGGACAGGCGGGCAGCTGGATTTGCGATTCACAGCCTCTTTTGTGCGTGGACCTCTTCTGCATGAAAGGGATAATTGGGCCGTTGTCACTGAGTCAGAGATTGTTTTTTTTAACAATGTGGGGAACCTTGCAATGAATCAGGTCCGCTGTCGGAGCCACGTCAAGGGGCTGGGAAGACATTAGTGATATATGCAGAATAATCCTGTTTGCATACAATGTAAAGAGGAATACAGTATAATTTAGTCACAGCCGGGCCAGTCCAGATATCCTAATTTCTTCCAAAAAAAGAAGGGCATATGGTGATTTGGTGTGGTGAATGAACGAGGGCAGGGGCAGCCTCCAAGGTCTGTCATTTCTGCACCAGCTAATGGCCTGTGCTTAACTCTGTGCCTTGACTTTCGAACCCGCTGTGACAGCGATGAATAATGCGAGGCACGTAAGGCTGAATTCCCTGCCATGTCATCCGTGTAGCGGAAGCTGAATAGGTTGACTTGTCACAGACAGGTAATCCATAGGGATATCAGGACGAAAGAAGAAAAAACACCAGTCCGGCGGATTGTTGCGATAGCGGCGCGACCCGCGGCCAACGGAGCATGAAAGACAGGCAAGGTCGTGGAAAGGTTGCTCCTGGGTCCAGGAGGTGAGACTTGGGGGATGTGGACACGTCAGTTCAGCAGAGTCCTCGGGTCAATGTGAAGACAAGTGGAAGACACATCTCTCTGTCAGCACGCAGAGAGCCCGCGCGGGTTCAGGCTTTCGTGGTGAAGTCCCAAGTCATTGAGTCAATAGCCAAGGAACATGACACAACCTCTCAGAGTCACTCGGCATCAAGCGGAACAGGGAATGGCATGCTTTCCATTTCACTGCACCGCGGCCCCGGCGAGACCCCATCTGCACTCGAGAAACAGGAGCGCTCCCAAAAGCAACGCCGCGACCCGGCCCCCAACACGTACGTCGCTGCTTCAAAACAGCGGTGCAAGGTGATCCACCGGTCAATCCATAACCCCGGTTATTATCTCCAATGGCTGTCGTAGCGCGGCAGGGAGGCCCGGGGATAAACACGGGGCTTAGATGACAGGAAATTAGATCATGGCAAAGCACAAGCACATTTCTATTAAACCCATGTCAGGATTTATCCTCTTCTGTCAGTGCGTTTAGAGGAAAGAAATGAGATGTGACCTTTCAACCCCCCTGACCAGGCGTGCACCGAGTGAATACAGCCAGTTAGCACAAGCATGTATCTACATGTCGCACAGGAAGCTTTCTGTTTTTTCTCCAGGGAAGGTAAATTATCTTTCAAAAGTAAAAAAATAAAAGCAACATAGTTTGAAATATATTTTTTCTTTTTGTTTTCTAGCTTGTCAATCATCTAAAGACACCTTGAATTGGTGACCAATCCACGTTAATGACCTTTAGCACAGACAGTCGTGGTCCCCAGAGGATCAATCCCACTGACCTTGTTGATCCCTTTGCTTTTTGTCTATTCCTGCCATAAGATTCACATTGTAGGTTTTATTTAAATGTCATAAGGACACCATGTGTTTAGTGCCGAATATTAGCATAAGATGATGAACAGTAACAATGTTTGACTGCGTAACTCTCGGTCTTGTTCTGCACAACCAAAGATTTTCTCGCGTAAACTTCTGTTAAAAAATATCTTTGCTTTTTTGGATGGAAGTTGATGTGATTCTGGCATGTTGAAAATTAAAACTGACATTTCAATGGTGTTAAGAATCCGCACCTCAAAAAGACAATGAGATCTAATTGTGCTCAAAATCACCATGCAGTTGTTGATAGTTATTGGGCAGAAAATGTCATGTTAAAAACAAAAATAGTATATTTAATGTATTTACAATAAACATACAATCATGTAATCTTTTTCCAAGAAATATACAGAACATAAAGCTTTTAAATATAAATCCATATTATCCAAAGAAAAAAAGAAAATAATTCCAAAGAAGCAATAGAGCATATTTAAAAAACCTTTAGTGATGCTTTGAAAATATAGGTGATATTTTCTTATTTCAATGTCCTTTTCTTTTCAAAGGTCCTCTGCATAGAGCCATGAAATCCCCACATGGAACATCACCCGCAGCAAACGCGTCACTCCAAAACCCTCACTAACATGGTTAGCACATGGTTTCACTTTAATCAAAGGCAACATGCTGCCTGAAGGCTCAAACCAAAGGATTTTCTATCTGCATATGAAGAGTTTGCTTCCAAAATAACATCCATCATTTACAAAAAAGTGACTGTCCGTACGAAAGAATTATTAGCAAAAAAAACAAATGATGGGCGTATTTACAGGATAACTGTCCACCGATGTCAAAATGTCTCTTGAATGATAAACCCCAAGAGTTGTTGTTATTTTGCCCAGAAATGTCATATTTTAGCAGTAAACTCTTCATACGTTAATACTTCTGTAACTGTAAGTTTTGCTATAAAAGTCAATCTGCTGTTACCACAAGGCAAGGTCATCCAAAGAGAATAATGAGAGAAATAGGATGTAAAAAAAAAAGCCCCAAAACATTTATGCTCCAAAATTATTTTCTCATCACAAGGCAAAACAGTCCTGTCGCGGCAGGTGAATACGAGGTCAAGCAAGCGCCGCCACGCTCGCCGGCGCACCAGACGGACCCGGAAAACGTAGTGTTTTTCTCTGCGTGTGTTGAATGTTACGGTGCACGGGTTGTCAGGAGGTCTACGAGGAGCTCCTAGCCTCCAGGCACGGTCAGGTCTGGTCCGTAACCTACGGCCAGCCTCGTCTACTGGACGATGTCAGGCTGGAGCTCGACGTCGGTGCCACTTGTTTCAAGCAAAGTGTTGTTTTAATTTGGACCTAAGCAACAAACAGTTATCAGCGTTGCCACTAAAGACAGATTAATCTAAATTAGACCTTCACTAGTCGAAAGGTCCTACATATCAACAGTTATTACATCCTAAATAATACTGTTATCTAGACCCATTTACAATATCTTATAGGCAATGTGTTTTCTGGGACACTTTAGTATGATACGGTGAAAGTAAGTGGAGGGGTTTTACACAGAAAGGCTACATCCAGCTGGAGGATCCGCTCCGAGCTCCAGCGTGGTGAGACAAAAAGTTCCCCGCAGGACGTTACGGAACACTTTTACGGTGTCACTTTGGCACTTGTATGGCACTTTTATGTACAGTCAGCACTTTGCCACATTGGCCGTGACAGATATAAAAGACAGTGACCCCTTTTTGGGGGGAGGGGGGGGGGGGGGGGGGGGGTATTGAGGAGGAGATGGTGGCCAGCTGCTAATGTTAGTTAACACCCTCCTCCCGGTTAGAAGCTCTTGGCATAATGTCCGGCTCGGCTGAATGTCCTGCTAGGCGCCAATCCTCCTGCCAGGGACAGTCAAATTTAGGGCATGGAGACGGTTTCAAGCACTTGAGTTTAAGTCTCACTGCTGCGCTGAAAAGCCGCGTTAGCCGACATTCGTCTGGTCGGGCTCCGTGCTGCATGTAGGTCCGATGATGATCTCATACATGTCTCATCCCCTCGTTACAGAATGTCCTCTTTATTATTTAAGATGCTGGAGCATCATCAATGTATAGTTTGAATCTCACACTATTAGTTAATGAAACACTAAACTACATACATCCTATGACTAGTGTGGATCCCAGACAGATTCCACCATTCGCAAAGAAATGTACTCATTAAATATGAGCGGCAGCATAAAATGGGACTGAATCAACTTAAACTGTAAGGGACAGTTTTCGGGAATACGCTTATTTACTTTATTGCAGAAAGTGATTGACAGCTCCCCAATGTCTGTTCATTATGTACGAGGCCAGAACCAGCAGCTGGTTATCTCAGCAGTAAGACGGAATCTCGGATCTTGTCACTTACGGACAAAGTCGGGGTATCATTCGCCCCTATTTCCATTCTTAAATAAGCTGGCGTGCAAACACGAGGGCGGCATCGATCTTCTTGTCAAACTCTCGACAACAAAGGGATTAAGCTTACTTCCCAAAACGTGGAACTGCTCCTCTAACTCCAAACAACAAGGGGATAAAATCTATGCGATGGTGAGTGTCGGGACAAAGGTCCGTATTTTTGATGCAAAACATATTAAATACTTACAAAGTAAGCCAGAAAAAACAATACATTCTATTTATAAACTGGATATGTCAGATATCAGAATCCTACAGAGTTCCTAAAAACTTAAATATCATTAGACAGAAGAAAACGATTTGTTTGTAGACAATCACTGCAGTGTGAGTGAGTCAGCTGAGGTTTGCTAAAAAATTGTCAACATCACAATGCAGTATGCATTATAAAGCGTCTCCATGGTCTAAAATAGAATTTGAAGGCCATTGGAGTTAAATGTGTATTTAACCGTTACCATGGCCACCAAACCGCAGCTTAGTGACATAGTGAATATCTATTTTTTAACATTGCATGCATTTACCAGCATGCTTTTAAATGAACTAATTCTGGCAGGACACTGTGCGTCATGCTATGCTGTGTCTGCTGACAGCCAGCCCACCACATTCATCGTGTCTCAGTGCCTCGGCCCTATTTAAATGCCTCCACACTCTCGCTCTGTGCAGCCATGTGAGCGTTGCTGCTGTTACAGATTCCATCGGCGAAGGCCTCCTCCACCACCACAGCCTCCACCCGCCGTGGCCCCTCTGCGTGCGTTTACCCCGCGGAGTCTTATTTGCGATGTAGCAGTGTATTCCATGCGTTTCCTGGAGTAGAATTACACCACCAAGTCAACTGTATTTCTACCTCCGTTTGCCATCGACACAAGTGTTCCTGGCAGAATTATAGGACGGTCAGATGAGCGGTGGGAGAGATTTCACAGGTTCAGGGGCCGAGTCGGCTCAGGCCTCGTCCGACTACTCGCGGGTGGGCCACCGAACGCTTGCATCCTCTCTCACGGTCCGTTGCTTTTTAGTTCGCCAGCTAAAACATCTGGGTGACTGCGTTTTTTAAAACTTACTTTTGGAAGTTGCACCTCATTCCTATAAATGCCAGAGTGAGGACTAGCAATATGGTTTGAAGTTAAAAAAAACTCGACAACACAGTAAAGGGATCATTGTTACTTACGGGCTCAACGCTCAACCCAACTGCCCTCAACAAATGTCCTACAAGGCCTCTAGAACAAGATCGGACCGATTACATCGAAAGCCACTGAGAAAGATTTTCTAAAATCTCAACAAGATGTGCAACGTCAACTCAAACTGAACTCCACCCTCTGATCTCGTCAGACAGGAGGCACAAAAGATAAAATCTATTTTTGTGACAAATATTGTTCTACTGTTCCCTGTCTCTTTGTATATATATATATATATATATAAGATATTGAACGATAAAAATACCAAAATTCTTTTCTTTTCTCCTCTTGAGATGAAATGCAGTTGTTGTGTAGTTGGGTATAAATGAATTGGTTTTCAGGGGGATTAAGCGATTTGTATTGAAACTTTTTTACATTTTGACTCTGCAATGCTCTGAGGCTTTAACAATGTAACCAGGAAACAGAGCGTCCTTCATGTGATATGCTGCCCAATATTATCATCAATATTTCATCCTGTACTTGTTGATGTTTGTTAGTTCTCCTTTGCTTCGTGCCCTTATGAGCCTCTGTAATCATCATTTGTTGCAGTGAGCTTTGCCAATTAAGTGAGGGAACACACAACTTTGTTATTAATTCTCTGCAGCAGGGTTGCTTAGTAGTTCCGACTGTACGTACGTTGTGTACGTTGTGTCTACTAAAACTACTCAGAGTGAAAAGAATGCACAAACTAACGATGAACAACCGCGCTGTCATCCTTTCTATCTGGCATCTGGACCTGAGAAGTTCTTCCTTCTGAAGGAAAATAAACCGTGGAATAAAGATAATAGTTCTGGTCTCTTCATGAATCAAAAAAAATCCAGAGCTTCTTGTCAATGAACTAGAAGTAAAGTGGAGCGTCTCGGTGGATCAGTGGTATAACGCATTAACTGCAAAGTCATTCCATGTAATTCCTAATTTATTTCCCCGCGTTATCTGTCGAATTAAGGAAGTGTGAAGAAAATGATAAAGTCAGCTTAATATTCCGTCTGACTATAATGGATAGGATTGCCCGTGTACTTAGTAAAAGGTGCAATGGGGATGTAGAACATTTGGGGAAGCATCTGTTTAAGTGCTTTCCCCACGTCTGATGTTTTGGGTGAGAAGAATATAAGGAGCTTACTAAGAACATTCTTCTACACTGACGTGGCACCGAGGAAACATCGCACGTCACTCCAGTTGCACATTAACGGCCTCGGCTCCCGTCCGCGGTGCAGACCGCCACTATAAAACAGACTCCATGTTGTCGCACGCATCTTGGTCCTCCAGGTTGTATATGAACTTTGTCCTGTTGGCCGGGTTCTGGGTGATCTCCTTGCCCAAATTGTCCAGAGTCACGTTGGAGGCGAAGAGTTCGGTGGGCGTGAGGTAGCCCTCGCTGTTCTTGATATATTTCCTGTAGTTCTTTCTCAAACACTGCCACGTGGTGGCGTACAGGACGAAGGCGGACGACTTGAGGGCGATGGCGATGCTGACGTACAGATGCCTGTAGGCCACGTTGTCGTACAGCATGCAGGCGCCCTTCTCGCCGCAGACGGAGCTCCAGAACAGGCAGGTGGAGTCGATGCCCATGCCGAAGATCAGCGGGGGAGGGATGAAGCCTGCGGAGAGGGAGAGGCTTACAGTTTGAGTCTCCTTGATATCCGAAAACAGACACAGACGGATCGCGACAGTTCCTTTTAAACCGAGGTGATCAGAGCCGCAGGCCGACAGAGGACTTGTCACGAGCACAGCAGGAATGTGTAGCAGGTCAAACGAAGAACAAATCACTTTCTGTGGTCATTAATGCAGAAAAGACGAATGTAAAGTCAGTATATTTGACATGTCTCACCAATCAGTCGCAGGAGGAGGAACAGAACTCCAAGGGCGTACGATTTCAGCTCCGGACTAACAGTTCTGAGAACAAAGACAGAATTGGCATAAACACGTTGGACTAGTGAGTCGAAAACAAAATGTTGCTTGAGTACAGAGAGCGCCGTCGACCTGCTGATCTAACTTATCTCCCAAAATATCCAACTGATATTGAGAAAGGGAATTATCCTTTCACTGTCTTTCTAGCAATGTTGACACGTTCACAGATCAAACAATTTAAATTAAAAGTACATAGTACGAAATACCTCCCCACCACATCCAATTTTGTTTGACACGATGAAATGTGCATTATTTCATAAATGTATGTTTATTACACATGTTACATGTATATGTCTATTAACACAGTATGCGTGGTGTATTTTGACGTCTTTGTAATGAAGATGATTCCAATCCGTTTGCCCGTTGAGGAGATTAGAATATCGGTAGCTCCCTCTAGTGGGCAGTCCAAGCGTAGCAGCAGGTCTCCTTACCTGATGAGGATGATGACAGAGGGCGTCTGGGCCATTGCTCCGATCATGCTGCACACACAGATCACACACAGGAAGGTGAGGAAGGCCTGCTGACAGCCCGGACTGGGACACTTCCCCGGTAAAGCCACCGCCTCCTCGCTGGAGCTGGATATACACGTGCAGCTGGTCAGGTTCTGACACAGAGACAAGAAATCAGATCAAAACGTTCATCTAAAGCACGACTGATGATGTATGTATTCTGACATTTATTTTGAGCTCTCCCACGTCCAGAGACAGCTCATTTCAGTCGGCGTTAACTGTTCACTCACAGGTTTGGTGCAGCCAGCGAAGCAGGCCGAGAGGTAGGTGACTCCATTGGAACCGCAGACGGGGCTCACCGATGCTGTGTAGCAATTGCAGTTATTGATGCACGCCGACTCAGGGTGCTGCCATGACCGCAGCGTCCTATGGAGGAGGTCACAGGTCAAGCTGGGCAAGCTGCTTGGAAAGTGGAGTGAGCTAAAGTACTAGCTGGTCTGCATTAAATGACGACCACAGCGCAGCCTAGGACACCGTAATCAGACAGCGAATGCTCACGGGCGTAATGAAGACCTACAGCTCTGCTAGCTTCCAATCGAGTGAGCTCAGATGTCTGCACACCCAGCGGGATTGAACTAAACGTCCGCGTGCGGAGGAGAAAGCTCTGCTAACTTCAGAAAATGCTGGGGTCAATGTAGGTGGAGTGGACCCGCCCTCGTTTTATTATTTTATTTATAATTATTATAGCTAAAAGCACTACATACTGTAAGTCTACAATAATGGAGAAAAGCTCCATGAATCATTAACACCCCCTCCCAGCTGGCTCATATGGCTCATAGTGACAAGAAAGACGGATGTACACGATATCAGCATAAACTGAAATGCAGGTAGTTAACAAACCACACGTATAACCTTTTTTAGTATTTCAACACATTTTTTAGTGTCTAGCAAATATGAATATGAGTCTGGCTTACTCGTTGCCGTAGGCTACAGTGACCCCGGCGACGGGTCCGGTGTCGCAGCCCAAGAAGAGAAAAGAGACGTAGCAGGCGGTGGACACCAGGTTGACCATCATGGCCATGCGGACGGCGCCCAGAGCCGACAGGTTCAGCTTCTTCACCAGCAGCCCCCCGAGGAAGATACCCAGACAGGCGCATGGGATGGCTGTCATTCCTGGGGAGGAAACGACAATGATGCACAAAACCTTCCCAGAAACGTTGACTCCTTAGTAGAGGATCCTGCACTGCACGGATGTTCCATTTTTGTTCGTTTGATGGTCGGAAACAGAACAAGGAAGGTTCGTCCTCCACTTGGACGCGGCGATGATCCGCCTACCTAGCAGCTGATTGGCTGAGGAGGTGGTGAGGTTGAACTGCTGCTCCAGGTATTTCCCGAGGAAGGCAGCAAAACCGGCGACCACAGCGATCTCCATGCAGGCTGCCAGCGTGATGCAGCTGAACACCGGATTGGAGAGAAGGTGCCTGGTCACCCGGGGGATTACTGCGTCCATTCAGAAGTAAAGGGGAAAGGGGATAAGAGGGACGGTGAAGAATTATCTTTTCTGAGACGTCACTTTTGGAAATTCCCCACTTGTCTTCAACCTCTTTTCCTCGGTGTCTCCACCTTCTGAGCTCCTCCTCACCTCTCAGATGCTCACAAACTGAGAGTCCGCTGTTCATATCGAAGCCATGAACGGCCCCGTTGGGTTTAGAGTCCTGGCACTCCAGGGTCAGGGAGGAAGGCAGCATGGCCTGCTCGCTCTCCCCTCCACCGTCCATGTCCTGCTCGTCCAGCGCCTGGGGGAAGCCGAACATGAAGAGGGATGAGACGAAGAGTAAGGCACCGCAGAGGAGGAAGCCGGCCCACCACGCCCCGATCCAGCGAGGGTCATCAGGAGTGATGTCCAGCTTACCTGGACAAGAGGCAAGGACATTTACCGCAAAGGAGGGACGTGGAATAATGTTTTCGGATGGAATTTCACTGATTTATTTGAAAAATCTGGATTCCAGATCCAAATTAATGTTGCATTATTAACTTTCCCAGTCGGGTTAATGAAAATATTACTGGAAATTAACGTAAATTCAACGATGTACCTAAACAAATACGAAGAACATGCAACTCACTGGTGTCCATGAAGACAGCATCAACGTAGACTTTGGTACAGACAGAACCTAAGATGAAGCCACAGGCTGGACCGAACACTAATGTCGAAAATAAAATGCCTGCAAGACAGAAAGAGAGAGGACACACAGCAGTCAGTTTGTCAAAAGTGTTTTAGCTGAGCTTAGTTGGACACGCAGAGACCATATACAGTTCACATTATTGTTTCTGTTGTTTATACTTTCGGTGTAGATGTATAAGTGTATAGCTCCTACAATCTGAATTTAATGTATACTCCTGCTGTTATTGTGCTTTTTTAAACTTTATAATAACATTTTATATATATATATTTGTGCATGTACGTGAGGATGTTTCAATACAAAAAAAACATCTGTGTAGGAGTCTATATGGTCATTTTTTTTAATGTCTGAATGAAACAATAAAAATCCCAATTGAAAAAATGAAATCAAAGTCTATCCATCTGTCCATCATGGAGAAACTAAGAGAAAAACACTCGTAGAGTAAGTGCATTTCCCCTCACCCGTCAGCAGAGGGCAGCATTGCATTAAGACTGCAAAGTGGCCACTACTGAATGACTTTTATTAAATATGTGGTTTGTTAACCCATTGTCCTGGTATGAAATGCTTTCAATTCAAAAGAAGATGAATTACTAAACTCATAACAAGGGACTTTTGATTTAATCAGATGTCTCCTACTGGCAGATTCATTCACATTACTGTAATATGCTGCTCATAGGTTGGACAGTAACTGATCCAAAACTAGATTATCCCACAGGATCATGAATAATCAAGCAGGAAATGGGTTCTTAGTCTGAGAGCAGTGGGGAGACCCTGGTGCAGCGGCTCGGGTTTTCTCTTGAAAGCTGCCCTGCTTCAGTCCAGACAGAGGCTGAGAGGTTTCCGGCAAGCGAGAACAGTCTGTGCACAGTGTGTGTGTGTGTGTGCGTGCGTGCGTGCGTGTGTGTGTGTGTGTGTGTGTGTGTGTGTGTGTGTGTGTGTGTGGCGCTGAAAGTCACTTATCCATGGAAGTGGTAAGTGGACCAGCAGAAGTGAGCTGCGGTAGTGACTGCGGGGCCGCTCCCTACTGAGAGAGCCACAGTCCATTTTTGTTTTCGGTGATGGATGTAATAATTAGTGATGTTGTCATCACCACTGATCGATCTGAAAATGTCTCTGTAATATAAGCCAGGCCACCTTTTTCAATCGCTATTTAAAAAACCCTTGAACATAAAAACATGTTTTAACCACAATTATTTTGAAGACTTTTTAAATCCTTTAATTTGATTATCGTAAATACACCAGTGGTAGGATATCAGTGTGATTTACGACTGGTGTCTTGAAAAGCCACATTGGTGCATATTTTAACACATGTGGTCTTAATGGAGCACAGGCGGCCAAATATGTACAATAGGTAACTAACTATTACAGTCAGATACATATAAACATCAAACAAAATGTTTAGAAAGTTGTGTTTGGTAGATTATGTCTCTGTTGTAACAACGCTACTAGGCAATACATTTTATACCGTTGGAAAGCCTGTTAATTTCCTGTTTAAATGCCGTCCCATGTGTAAGGAACAGGCATTTGCGGGATGAGCAGCACAGCTATGAGGGTGCACCAATGAAAGATTTGCCTAATCGTCTCTAATGCCAAACAGCTTTTTCGCCTACTGCTATTGACTCTTGTTTGGTGTTATTTAGGGGATTGAGTGATTGAAGACTATCAGTAACAGGAAAGAAAGATAATTTTACAGTCGGGAGCCTCGGTAGTGTGTGGAAGAACCATTTGCAGCCACAACAGCCTGGAACCTCCTCCTCATGCTGGTCACACACCGCTGACCAACGTGGTTGTGTTGGTCACTACAGCATGAACAGCCCGCCCAAGCTGCTCCCACAAGTGTTCAATTGAGTTGAGGTCAATTGGCGGGCAATTTTCAATTTTCACAAATTGCAAATTATGGAGGTAGCGTCCGATAAAGCCCGCTCTGTGGAGGCGAGCATGGTCATCTTGGGAGGATGGAGTTCGATCCCAGACTGTGGAGAAATGGGATCGCCGCTGGTTGCAGAATCTCATCTCCATATCTCTCTGCATTGAGAATACCTCCAATGAAGACAAGCCTCGTTTTCCCAGTGATGGAGATGCTGTCCCACACCATCATACTCACTCCACCAACGGGTGTTACTCTATTGGGGCGGCAATCAGCACACCCTTCACCCCGTCTTCTCCGCACTTTGACCCTACGAACCAACTTCCGTTGGCAGAATCTGGACTCATTGCTGGACAAACAGGCCTGGTGAGAAAAGCACCCGTGGCCCGATGGGCCCGGAGATTGTGTAGTCTGTTCCGGATCGTCTGGGCCGAGAGGCGTGCGCCATAGTGTCCTGCACACGGTTCCCAAAAGGGCGAGAAACCGGTGGGACGTTCCCTGCTCGGTCTCGCTCTGACAGCCCTCGATACATGGACCTTGGCCTTCAGTTTGGAGATGGTATGAGGGCAAATAATGCTGCAACTTTTGCAGAACACCAGCTTAAAGTTGCCCTATCGCACGTCCTTATCAAGATCAGACAAACGTGGCCTGCTGATTCTTGCAGCGGACGCCGACTGACCCCTGTAGCCCATGCTCACAGGTGCTGACGATCCGGTGCCAATCTGAGGTACCTGTCTAAACGTCCACGTGAAGCTGCTCCACTGTGACTCTGTGACTGAGTGGAAACAGCTGGCGACCACAGCAGCAACGCGCATGGTGACTTAGCGGTGAACCGTGCCGTGGCGAAAGAGCTCATGCTGACGGAACAGCTGCCCGACGGCCGTCAGGACCGGTGGCGGTCTGGTGTCTGGACTTAACAGCTGGTGCTGCTAAACCCATTTGTACTGCTATGAACTACAGGAACTTTAACCATACAGGGCAAAACTTATTGAAAAAATGATTTTAATATGTGCGAGTGTGTGCTCAACTTTTGCAGGAAAATGCTTTTTTACTGTAAAAACATGGATCTGTATATTTTGTGCTCAAGTGGTAGGTGTGACTAAAACCCAGGAAACGTTCCCACAAATTGTCTAACCCTGTACAACCACACAACATTTGAGCACTTTCAACATTGTGCTGTTGAAATAGAAGTTACTGCATCGTGATTTGTGGAGATGGTGCAAGGAAACAGCAACCTTTGTGAAAATGTTATGATGTTTGCACATTCCAAATAACAATGTACATTAATAAGAAAAACAAATGTGTCTGAGGTTGATTTTCAAAGGATTGAGTGCTCGTTAGGGGCTGCATGTAAATCCCTTTGGATTTATTGACTTTCCAATGATTGCAGTTCTGCCCCAGTGTAGCCGAGGAAGAGAGGCGTCCTCAGTTAAGCAGCAGTGTGACTAGCACATATCAATGGATTGATGCCTCGGGGACGTGAGGGACAGGGAGACGTCTTACAGACCAGCGACACAAAGAGGGAGCATCCAGACAAAGCTCACATAGGGGATGACACTATTTGTTCCACTAAAACACACACCATCAAAAAAGGGGACACCTGTAAAGGAGAGACGTCCCATTCCAAAACAAAACAAAACAAAAACTACCGGGTGTGTTTTTGGAAGCAATGAATATGATCACATGAAGTTCTTCATTAAATAACCGTCTATACAAGTCATTTCAAGGACTTTGCGTCTATATTGCCAAACGGGATGAAGGAAGCGCCACAAATAATTCATGAACGTGTATATTCTTGGTGCTGAACTGATCTCATCGTCATGGCCGATACATCGCAGTAAAACATTTATCATGTCTTTGGTATTTGCATGAGCTTTAAAAGGGCAGAGAAGAGTGCAGGTTGACATGTGCAAATGAAACGTGACGCCCGTGTCAGGCACGCGCTGTGGGCCGTCCTGGCAGGACACGCTCTGCCCTGGAGATGCTGTGCGCTACGAAATATTTCCATGTGGAACCGTAATGGATTTCCAATGTTTGTATTCCAAAAAAAAAGAGAAAGAAATGACTGCTGAGGTATATTTCTTGACTATATTTTCGAACTGCTTTGTCTGAGAGCAGTGGCGATGAACACAGGCGCACAAAACAAAGATCAAGGGACAGTAAAGTGTTCCTGGTGGACAAGAAACGCATGGGAGATTAGTTTAATCTGATCAGTGACCCGGGCTCTCTGTGCCACAGCGTCACATGATGACTGAAGCTGATTGTACGAGGACGGCACAATTCTCAAGATCATTTATTTAAGTACCGAGCTTTAGTGACGTCCCCGTAAAACTGACAGCTTGTGCGAATGGCAGGTAGAGACACTTCACTTAAAGTGGGAGCTTGTACAGGATGTAACAGCTCCTACTGGATTGTAACACTACGATGTAATACAGGCTGCCACTTGACCCGAACCTCAAATGGGTTTGTTCCTAAAATAACCGTTATTAAACGTGTCCAGAGTATATTGCTTTCATGATTAAAGCCTCAAACACACATATACAAAACAAGAAGAGATGTCGAGCCAAAATCTTTCCACATATCCAACCACGATGGCTGTTAACTAAATGGTTATAGATGAGAGTTTTAGAGGTAAATAAGTGCAGGGAGAAATTTGGTAACAGCAGGTCTATAGTGCATTATGAACATACAATGCATTATAATAAAACAACGTATAATTATAGTAATAAGCAGTCGTAACTGTCCATAATAATTTGTATTCATATTCTTGCCACATGTTTATTTATGGTTATTGTTGCATAAATCATTCCTGCATGAATTCAATTGAATATTTTCAATTTTACTTAAAGCCGACATTGACCATTCAGAGTAACTCATCTTCACATTATAATGCTTTATACCAGTGATTATAATGCATCATGAAGTGATCACAATGAATTAAACTTAAGCATAAAGCATTTATAATACACTATGATAACAATGAAGTATTATAGCATACCATACCATAGTATAGTATAGTATAGTATAGTATAGTATGGACATGGGCATCATAGAATGCGTAGAACATCCCTGTGGTTTAAATAATGAGTTTTGTGGTGGCAGGTCACATGATACCATGAACACAACATTTAACAAAACACTTAGCATTAGATAACATATATTGTAATCTCGTGCG